AAACGCAAATTGAACCCTTTGGTGATTCTACATCAAAACGTCACCTAAAGTCGTAATGCGTAAGGGTGGAAGGTGGTTTATTAATGGAATAGGTTACGTGGCACTATCCTGTTTCACAGAAATACTTCACGTGGATACAAACTGCAAAATAAAGTTTATAAAATAATTTCTACAAACAAATGACATAAAATGGGGTTTAACGTTCCATTATGAACGATCTCTGATCGGCCGATGTTGACATTGTTTGGTAGGCTATTGACGAATGGTGTCTTATTAAAAATGGTTCCACTACTGATACCTTCGTCTCTGACTCCAGCCAGTGGGTGGTTCTAAGGACTTCCTTTCAGCAGATTTTGTACTCATTTAATTACAAAACAGTTACCGGCCTTTAACTCCCGTAATTTCCGTAATTTCCGATTAAAGGGGTAGATCTACTACACATAGTTTCACACACTGATCAGCAGTGAATATTCGCTAGGCCGCGACAATCACTGATAAAGATGACATCGATGCGACTTAATGAGCCACAAATATTAAATTTTTCCTCCGACAAATTAAATTCTAAAACATTTTTTTTTTATGTATTAGAAAAATAAATAAAGACGTTTGAAGTATTTGTAGGTAAAAATTATTTCCTATTTGAGTGTAAATGGGTATTAAAATGGACAAGGCGCCATTCTGCTTGAATCAGTAACGAATTATGTAAACAATGCACGAGCCATTGAGCCAATGATTGACGACGTGTGATATGACGTGATGTGTTGAAGGCAGTCATCTTTTACAGAGATATTAGAAGGCTTTCCTAATACTCTGTGAAACAGATTGATAGTTTCATAGATCATTAAACAATCTACATTCAAAGAAAACTGAAACCGTACAGCACAGTTTTATGTTTTTGAAAAATCCAACTGCTACTCTAGATGTTACGACGTGGGTATCGCCAAGGGAAGGAGTGCTTATAACGCCACCAAACTGTCATTTCGGGACTGACATAAGGTTCAATTGTATTCCAATAATTTACTTGCAGTCGGGGGTCTTATTTCTTATTTAGCAGTGGGAGGACAATTAAGGGCCCAGGGGAAACCCACGGGGTTGGACAGGCGACACTATACTATTCGTTACGTGCAAGCCGTGAATCGAAACCCCGACATTTGACTCAACGCCCAACGGCAAACCTTCTGCCTTCACGCGCACGCATTAACCATTCAAAGATTTTATATGTTACTGTTAGCTTTACGTGACGGACGAGCGAACCGGCAGCAATATACGATATCAAAATAGAACACGAACGTACAAAAAAAACCCAACCCCGCAACATATATTAGTAATTATAATATTAGGGGCACACTCAACAAATACACAAGATAATGCCGCGGACAAGACACACAGTATATAGTCCGGGACCTAGGTGGGTTTTGTTCAACATGGAAGGTGCGGAAGGTTTGGGATGCTAGTGATGTATGGCTGGGTTAGGAGACCCCAGAAACCCAATTCTTAAGTTGCGGCAGTGGTGGGTGTGGTAGGGGGAGCCACCCATAGTACCCCCAAAATTGGTTTATTCAACATGGAAGGTGCAAGTTACACTCCAGTGGCATTTGATAGAGGAATGTGCCCTGAATTAAGAAATATAACTTAAGAATGGGATTTGTGGTGGAAAGGCCACTTAAGAAGAGGTCAAAGGTCATCAATTAGCAATTTTTCGATTTTACTCTGAACGTTTTTCCCGTTATCTGGTGACCTATTCCAGGTATATTACACAGAACTACTTGGGCATGTTTCATACTGCTAGGACAAATATGATATATAAAATTAATGACATAATCTCCAAATTAACGAGAATATCACTTGACCCCCCCCCCCCCCCCCATCATCGATAATTAAAATGTTAATCAATATGAAAGGTGCGAGTGGGAAACCAAGTCTAAATTATACGGAATGATATCAGAAATCATTATCATCAACTTAAGAATGAATTTCCTAGTGGTCGGTGTAATTTAGAAGAGAATAATGCTGGTTTGCACCGAGTGACCCCTTAGAAATTTAATTAACATGAAAGGTGCGACATTGGATAAGGGTGTAACATGTAGGGGATGATCATAGGATTCACGACCACAATCTTAAGAATGGTAAATGAACTTAAGAACTGCAGATGTGATCAATGCCCATAAAAAATCATTGACAAACAGTAAAATAGGCCGGAATGTTAAGTTTCCTCTTCATCTCTGATGATAATAGTGATACATTAATTTCCACCCACTTCCTTCGTTCCAATGATCATTTAAAACATTGATCTATGTCATGTTATTGCAGACATCAATCAAGACCCAATCAACCAGAACCTAACTTAGGAGACGCAACTGTTTTCATCAGAGGAAGCAATGTCGAGGTCATCATGAGAGGTATCCTGATCGACTCCTTATTCCTCATTGTCCTCCTTAACCAATGACTCCCGAAATTCAGGACCATTAAACCAATATGATTTCATCCTCCTTTTCCCTTAACTCCCAACTATCATATTCTGGCGATGGGTGGTGGTTAATTTCTGATTTCTCAGCGCTTCCCCACATCTTTGCGACCAAAAATGCCCCTTTGATCTGTCGTGGTACTTCCGATGCGCAGATAGGAATCATGCCACCACCGATGCCCTCCAGCTTCTTCAGAAGATATATTTCCCTTGACATTACGTCTTTTCAAACACTGTGTAGCGATGCCTGTTGAGTTGGGAGATTTTCCTCCAGCCGCAGTGTTTTTTACAGGCTGTGCATATGACCGAACCTTTCCTTTTCACAGAAAATGAAAGGTTCGTCTATATGCACAGCTTCTAAAAGCGGCTCAGAGAGGATTTTCGGTGATGGGTAGATGAAAGCTAGCAGATGAGGATCAAATCAATAGGCGCTGATATCATTGATAACTAAGGTACAAGTAATGCTTTTACTCAACAGGCATCGCCACATTGTGTTTGAGAAGACGTAATTGGTCAAAGGCAAGATATACAAATCTTCTGGAGACACTAAAGGGAATAGATGATAACATGATTCCTCCGTGCGAATCAGAAGTATCACAACAAATTAAAAGGGGCATCTTGTGTCGGAAAGATGTCGGGAAGCGCTGACAAATCAGGAAGTAAACAATGATTTTTTATGGACATTGATCACATCTGCAGTTCTTAAGTTCATTTACCACCAACATATTCATTCTTAAGATTGTGGTCGTGAATCCTATGATCATCCCCTACATGTTACACCCTTATCCAATGTCCCACCTTTCATGTTAATTAAATTTCTAAGGGGTCACTCGGTGCAAACCAGCATTATTCTCTTCTAAATTACACCCACCACTAGGAATTTCATTCTTAAGTTGATGATAATGATTTCTGATATCATTCCGTACAATTTAGGCTTGGTTTCTCACGCACACTTTTCATATTGATTAACATTTTAATTATCGAGGGGGGGGGGGTCAAGTGATATTCTCGTTAATTTGGAGATTATGTCATTAATTTTATATCTCATATTTGTCCTAGCAGTATGAAACATGCCCATGTAGTTCTGTGTAATATACCTGGAATAGGTCACCAGATAACGGGAAAAAAATTGCTAATTGATGACCTTTGACCTCTTCTTAAGTGGCCTTTCCACCACAAATCCCATTCTTAAGTTATATTTCTTAATTCAGGGCACATTCCTCTATCAAATGCCACTGAAGTGGAACTTGCACCTTCCATGTTGAATAAACCAATTCTGGGGGGTACTATTGGTGGTTCCCCCTACCACACCCACCACTGCCGCAACTTAAGAATTGGGTTTCTGGGGTCTCCTAACCCAGCCATACATCACTAGCATCCCAAACCTTCCGCACCTTCCATGTTGAACAAAACCCACCTAGCTCCCGGACTACATTTCAACCATTTCAGTTACAGTTTTAAAATAGTAAGATAAAATTCAAAGATACTGGGTTGAAGCCACGAGAGCTGCGCGTTTCTAATTTTGTTTACGCTTTTTAATCTCCATTTGGGCTTTTGGCAGACTGACAGACGACGTATGCTACTATGTCACGCGCTATGGCGTAGCAAACAAAAACAGGTAAACAAAAGGCATGAAAATAGCATTTTATTCATAAATACACAGCTAAATCTTAGCGTATATATAAGGAATATATCATTTCGTGTTTATGTTTCAAAAGGTAAGGATCAAATCAAACATTACGGCTACAATGCCGACATTATCAACATTCAGACCGTGGGAATGTTTAAAGAAGTTTGAATGAAGTGACGCAACATGACGTCACGACCATTCGTGACGTATTTACGAAAAAAGATACGAGAAAAGTTTAAGAAAATAATTACGCCGGCCTCTGTGAAACCGGCGTAAATAATTCGTAAGTTTTTCTTAATGTAGTTTTTTTTCTTAAAGTTACGCACTTTTGTGAAACTGCCCCCAGTGTCCCAAGCAATATTATACGTATTATTATAGTCTAGCCTATACGGTGTCTGGCTAAAACCGGACTTTATTTTATACAAAGTGTAAGACAGTACATAAAGGTAAGTGAAATTTATCTTTCGGTATCAAGTACAGCACATGGGTCATTCACTATATAGACCTCTTAAGAAACGGCAATTGATTATCAGGTCACCCAAAGAAAAAATTGACCCGAAATCTTAAAAGGGTTAATACGTGTCCGAATAAGCAGTTTTGACATTCACGTCCAAACGACTCAGTATTTTGAGCTGAAATTTTGAGACAAGGTAAATACGCCATTCCTCTATATTTTGGAGCTTAAATTTCATACGTACTCGAGGACTTTTATTTTTTGAGACTCTGTCCCTATATAAGCTCCCTATATAAAACTCACCGATACATCTAAAACCTTTTTGACGGACTTTGAATTGATGAAGGTCCTTGGGTCGCGTGTCTTAAATGTAGTTGTCTCCCTTCTCAAGGAGTTCATTGCCCTTTGCCTTTCGATTAATGACAGATGGCAGTGTTTTGACATTCGACGATTATACACTTATAACTGTTATAATTGTAATGCATTTTATTCGTAAAATCGGATGGAATTAAGTCTAAAGATTATACGGATATACATGCATTTGCAAGAAGAAAGAAGTTTATGATTTACTCCGGTTCTGTAGGCCTATAGTTTAGAATGAACCGGTAATTCACTACATTACTCTCAGCTAACTGCCACTTGACAAAACTGATGTTGAACGACAATTAATCGGCAATTATTATGCTAGGCCAAATGTATGTAGTAATCGTGCAACGGACATGTTATAAATTCTGTTAATGGGGAAGTTGATTTATTAGAAGGTCGACGGATGGTAGTGTAAACTCCAAGTTCTGATCTTCGCAAAGTAATTAAGTGAAAAATTAAATGAAAATGTCATTATTATTGATGATGCAATTTGAATTAGAAGCAAAGCGGATTTGCCTACTGCTCTTGTGATTGACAGTATAGTTTTTGCCAAGTTTTTAATTAATTAAATTCGAATTTTAGATTTTAGACTAGTTTGATATAAATGTATGATTTATTTAGTGGCGATCGATAATTCATTTAATTAATGTGAATTTCAAGCATCAATAAGATTGGGGATAATATTAATTAACCTGTCGAATCGACTAACAATAGGGCCTAGATTCAGTTATACACGTGATGTAGACAATTTGATGCACCGTAGACCTACTGTCGTTAACACTTATATGATACGGTATCGGTACTAACTGTGTAGTTACTGGTTGATTGAAAATATTGTGAACGTTTCTAAAATGTTTTCAAGGCTTGTCAGATTTCGACGCGGAGATTCTTACGAGGATCTCCATGGAGATGATAACGCAGATAAAGTTGAAATGGACATCACAGACATGTATCGTGAAATGAATAAAGACGTACCGCCAGATGAAAGTAGTAGACCAGATCTACCAGTTGAAACAGTCGCAACAAGTAAGTAGTAAATGGTGATGAATTAGAGAGAGAGAAATGGGGTTTAATGTCCACTCGAGGAGCCACGGTGGCTAAGTGGGTAAGACGTTGGCACGCTAGTCTGGAGGTCGGGTGTTCGATCCCTGCATTGGCCGAGAAAGTTCATCCAGATTTTCCGGCGTGGTTTCCCCCTGTCAGAGATGCAGGACGGAGGGCCTGACAAGGACAGCTGTCTAGTCCTACGGATGATACGAAAAACCGAGGTCCTGTGTATACATTGGAATGCACGTAAAAGATTCCTTGGCAGTTGGAATTCGATATAAGAGTAGGCGATAGTGCCGCTGCCCGGGCAAAATTTCCCTCATAGCACTTTGTTTGGCTTATGCCCATCTTCATTAGCCCAGCATAGGAGCAGAACAGTAGGACGTTAAACCCCATTTCATTTCATTTCATTATGAAATATATCATTTTTTGTAAATCCTTTTTCAAAAGATAAACCTGATTTATATATAGAGCAGACATGAATTGAATACAGAAATAATTTTGTTGGAATCGAAATGTCTAGGCGGATGGGTGACCTGGATTTTTAATGCATCCGTTTTAGATCATAAGATTTAAGATCGTGTCAAGTGGTGTGCTTTAAGATCCCAAGTTTGTAGGCTAACTGACGTGACAAGGTGTCGACTCGCCTGAAAACTTGTGTCATTTCTCCTCATCCTCTGGTTTCCTCCGACTTGGACTGCCACTGTAAATGAATAATAATTGAAAAAAACCAAAAAAACAATTCATTAACTTTGTGTCGAGTGGATGGCAAACCCTTCTTCTCTGACACGGACCAGTTTGGGATTAAAACTTAATGAAAAACCCATAAAACATTATCAAAATATTTTGAGTACTGGTTGGAATCTTTATTTCATGTGAAATATGTATTATTAAAGTCTAACATGATTTCTTAATGGCGCTCGCCAAAGTTACTCATGATTTTCCAGAGTCATTTCCCCCCCCCCCCTTATCAGTGGTGCATGAAGGGGAGCCTCTCAAGGAACAAAATCTAGACATTTTGGATCGGTCGAAAAACAGAGGTCCTGTGTAAAGAAACTCGATTGACTATTGGAATTCAACGACGAGTTGGCAGACACAGTGCTGTCCAGAAGAACATCCCCTTGTAGCTGGGTTCGTGCAGGAACATAAGATGTTAAACCCCTTTTCATTTCTATTTCTACTTAAATTAGTAAATGCACCACACGCAAATTATTAGATGTTCCAAGATAAGTTTCCTGTTTTCGTTACCTTGTAAATAATGTCGTTGATATTTTATTTTCAGAAACTTTTACAATCCAGGAAGCCATTGACACCATTGGGTTCGGAAAGTTTCAAGTGAAATTGTCAGTTTTGACTGGATTTGCATGGGTATGTACTGAATAAACTATGCGTTTAATTTTACTTATTAATCACTGTAGTTAAAGAGGCATTAACACTTTGGGGTACTTTTATTTTTAAAGAGACATTTGGTTAAAATAGATTGATAAAACAATGTCAATTATGCCTAGAACACATCTCCATGGTTTCCAGACTTGCTCAGATTAGATCAGCCATTGAGGTTTTTAACCCAAACCCTAATCTCTTACCACCTGTCTAAGTCTCAAACTTCACTCGGCCTTCCACGCGGCATATGTTTTGACTAAATTCATAAAGAAGGACCATGGGCAGGCTTTTTTTAGTCTTGTCACATACTAGCTTGGAATTGATATGAAATGTAAATAAAATGAAATGGGTTTTAACATCCTGTTGATCTGCTCCAACTGGGCTAATGAAGACTGGCATACGTCATACAGTGTGCTATGAGGGAAATTTTGCCCGGACAGTGGCACAAAGGCCTACTCTTATATCAAATTCCAACTGTGAAGGAATCTGTTACGTGCACGCCAATGTGTACACAGGACCTCGTTTTTTCGTCCCGTTCTAATGACTAGAGGGCTGTCCTTGTCAGACCCTCCGTCGTGCATCACTGACAAGGGGGAACCACGCCGGAAAGCTTGGAATGGAAGCCACACCATTTGTCTCAATGACAGACACCTTGAACCACTCGACCTCACCCCATATTTTTGGGATGTTAATTTATCTACAGGAAATATATTTCTGTAAACCTTTCTTAAAGGAGCTCAACCTCTAACTCAAATTTCCCCAAATTCCAAATTAAAAACACAATTTTTAATGCAATATTGGTCCATTTCAATCAATATTGATGTTGTTATCTTGCTGTAAAAATATAGGATACTAATATCCAATATTTAAGACATAATGAACATTTTAAAATCAGTAGGCCTACACAAGTTTTATATTTTTATGGTTGATAATTAAAGATAAGTAATTAGTAACGTCTGATTCACAAACGACAAAATAATATTACAAAAAACGTGGAGAATAGGCTAAGCAGGCGTTATAACTTCCGTTCAAATTGAACTGTTCACGATTATTTCACCGAACAGAATTGATTAGAAATTAAAATGGAGATTTAAATATAAAATACATTAATATGTCCTTTAAATAGAAGGGGGGTTGGATGGCTGAATGGTTAGCGTGCGCGCGCTGTATCATAAAGTCTGTCATTGAGTCGACTGGCATGGTTTCGAATCCCCGGTTGTACATGACAAGGAGTAGGGTCGCCTGTCCAACCTTGTGGGTTTTCTCCGGGTCCTCCGGTTTCCTCCTACTGCTAAAGACCCCTACGCGCAAGCGAATTATGTAAATAAAATTAAACCATACGTTAGTCCCTAAATGACCTAGTTTGTGTCGAGTGGACGTTAAACCCCATTTCTCTCTCTCTCTCCCTTTAAATAGACCCATTTTCGATTATTTTACGGTTCCTATTGAAAGAAGCCATATGCCCTTTAAATGTACACAACTTGTTGGGAGCGTAATTTGCATTCCCTCGTTAACTTTTCCACCTGTAAGATCCCTGATTATAGTTTTAGGAAACCCGATGGCGGAATGCTGGTTGATAGTTTATTGTTTAGTTAATGTACCATTACTATCAACACCTACGGTACATGTATGTCGTTAGTCATACTCAGTTTATGTTCGTATGATTTTATTGGATTGCGTCAATATGTTCAACGTTAATAAATACCTATATTCACTCTTCCATGCACAATTTAATACAAAAACTACTTAAAAATTTCCTATAGATTAATTTTATTCCAAATTTGATTTTTATTTAAAGTGAATTCATCGACGTATTGATTAAGCTATCTTATTGATTCAAATATATTATTGATTCAGCTATCCGATTGATTCTACTACAGGTATCTTAATGATTCTACTGTACGACTGATTCAGCTATCTTATTGAATCAGATGTATTATTGAGATTCAGCTATCATATTGATTCAACAGGAACATTTATTGATTATTTCTTCAAAATATTGTGGATAAATAGTGATTAAGGCTCTGGCTCCCTAACGAGGATGTCCCAGATTCGATCCCGACATGCTTTCCCCTTATTAGTTGTGCAAGATGAAGGTTCTGACAAGGATCAGTCTCTAGTCGTTTGGATGAGGTCCTGTGTACACGTCCTTGGTGTGTATGTAAAAGATCCCTTGATAGTTGGAATTCAATTTATGTCCTGGCAAAATTCAATCTGATTAAAATACTTTTGATGGCCTACACTACATGAAGGTCTGACCAGTTGCAGTGGAAGGTCGTGACAGGGGTCATACAAATGGCTTTTGACCCTATGAGGTCAGACATTGATTAACTAATCACCATTGACGCTTCTAGTGGTTTATCCACAGTTCCATTGGTCAATCCCTCATACCATCCAGAGCGCGGGTTATATAACAATTCTTCCAGATCCTAGTGTAGTAAAGACAAGTAAAAACGAAACAAAATATGATCAGTGTTCGATCAGATTGGATAAAATTTCCTTTATAGTCTTGAAGCAGTTGGAGTAGAACAGTAGCACGTTTAACACAAAGCATTGTATTATAAAAGGCATGAAATATTATAGTGAAATTATTGATAAAATTTACTAATTTGAATTTTTCATTTGTCTTTAATTTTATTACCGTTGTTAATGTCATGACATGCTGGGTAATGTACATCATTTATATATAATTTTAAAAATATGTTCGCAGACAAGACAACACATTATTAACTTTAATAATGACTGAGTTTAAAAAATGTAGCGAATCTAATCGAAACAGATCAGAATTAGATGCACAGAACATTCAATCAAGTCACAGGTTCAGGATCCTTTCCACAGCCACCTTACACAAATATGTTAAAATATTAGGCAAGAACTACGACAAAGGAGTTTTTATAAGTTAATTAATTCAACATTTGTAAATGTGGGTATAAAACATTCAGTCCATTTAGTTTACCCATCACGGTATTTTAGGTGAAAATTTCAGCATTTGATAGCCTTTTGCATGTATCCATTTAAAGATTTTTGTCAATTGATTACTTTTAAGCAGCAAATAAAAAAAGCTACATTAAAATGTTCGTTCTTCCACTATCTTAATGAAATTAGCTAGTATTATCATTATTAATTATTAATTTTTATGTAGCATCATTTAAACAAGAGTGGGGGATCACATGGCTAAGTGGGTAAGACGCTGCATTGGCCGAGAAAGTTCATCCAGATTTTCCGGCGTGGTTTCCCCTTGTCAGTGATACAGGACGGAGGGCCTGACAAGGACAGCTGTCTAGTCGTTCGGATGGGACGGAAAACCGAGGTCCCGTGTACACATCGGCGTACACGTAAAAGATCCCTTGGCAGTTGGAATCAATTCGATATAAGGGTGGGCCATATTGCCGCTGCCCGGGCAAAATTCCCCTCATAGCACACTGTTTGGCGTATGCCCGTCTTCATTAGCCCAGGTTAGGAGCAGAACAGTCGTAGAGTGCGCCCATTACTTTTAAATACAAATTGATATAATAGTAGGCTGTAGCGCCGTCGTCCTGACTCAATATCTCTCATAGCAAACTGTATACCCAGTGAGAGTAGGACTTCACTACTAACTGATAAAGTTGGTATAAATATAAATCATCCATCAATCAGGATATATAACTGTGTGAATTATGATGAATAGATGACATATTATATATTGGTTGGTTGTTAAATCGATACAATCTTTACTATACAAATGTTTTTACACGTTGGATGATGATGTTGACTACAGTACGACAGATATTGATTATTGTAATCTCATCACGTTATTGCTGTTTTTACACCGTGTTGCCATCCGTGTCTACTTCTCTTTACAAAAGATAAATTTTTAAACGGAAAACTGACTTATTAATAAAAGATGAAATCATTGATTTTCGAGTTATGCAACTTGTACCTTGTTGAAAAAAATTTATTTCTTTATAGGGAACCAGGATGGTTCAGTAACCATTGTAACTCATAAGGGCTGGCTCAGCAACCATGGTAGCTCATAGGGGCTGGCCTAGTAACCATGGTAGCTCATAGGGGCTGGCCCAGTAACCATGGTAGCTCATAGGGACTGGCCCAGTAACCATGGTAGCTCATAAGGGCTGGCTCACTAACCATGGTTTCCATCCCTGATGTAGGTACATGTGGCTTTTCTCTGGGTACTCTGGTTTCCTCTCACGTGAAAGACTCCTGCACGTCCACTATGATAATAGAAATAAGACAACTTGTCTGAGATATAGCCTTCGGCGGTGGAAGCAGACATTAAACACAATAGAGGGAGAGAGACAGAAAGGGGTTTTACGTTCACTCGACCCAGACTAGGACATTTCGGGACTAACATGGTTCAGTATTATTTCAATTAGGGGTCTTTAGCAGTGGAAGGAAATCAGAGGACCCAGAGAAAACCCACTATAGGTTGGAGGCAAGCGCTGAAATAAGCGGCCAGACACGGACAATGTCCGGGCGAATTGACCCCTTTTGACAGGCCAAATTGCCTTTCGTCCGGACATAATTGTCCGACCGTGTTTTTGTAAAACATTAAGCCAAAAATATTTGAGTCGATCGCTATTTATTATTAGACTCGAAAGTCCAGGACCAAAAATATCAATGACCCGAGTCATAGTGAAAATGTTACTATTTATATCTCGGCTGCATGCAGATAAAATCTTCAATAATTTTTAGAATCGACTCTTTTACGCTGGTTATATCAACGACCCGAGTCATAGTAAAAATTATTATTATTTATACATGTATCTCTCTCGGCCGCGTGAAGATAAAATAATGAATAATATTGAGAATCAGCTCTTTTACACTGGTTATTCGAGTCTCGTAGCTAGCTTTGCGTTACTTTCGTATATGATTAGCTCTAAATCACACCTAACATGACATGTAATTATATAAATTATTAGTAATAAAAGTAATAATATTTTAAAATTAGTTTACAAGAAAATGTTCAAGTTGACTATGGATGTAATTAGGGACAGACTTTTTATACGAAAATATCTCACTTTGTTGGACACTTCCGATGTGAATGTAAATAGAAGAGCTGTGAATGGCGTGAAAACATTTCAAATAAAATAACTTCTTACTTTTCCCAACCCTCGGACACGGATATCCCGGCTAGTGGGACCGTTCCAGAAAATTCAAAGACTGGTACTGTGTCTAATGTCTCTCATCAAGACACTTCTAAACGGGGGCCGTCGCCAGTTCAAAAATTACAAACAAGAACCGTAGAAAAGTGGATCAAAAATGACTTGGCAGATTCTGAACCATTTATGACAACTCAAGATGTCTATTCTTTATTTGAATCTTAATCAGAATTTTTAGGATTTAGTCCCCAGCCCCACCAAAGAGATTAATGACATTATTATACGAACTATAAAGTTGTATTGCATATATACATATAAAAACTTAAAACTCCAGGTTATGAGTCATCAATTTATTTTATTAATAAACTAGCAGGATACCCGGCTTCGCTCGGGTGTCATAACTCCGAAACCGGAAGTGGTAGACTAACGCCACCTAGCCTATGTTACTCCCCGGTCCGAGCTACCCCTATACCCCAAATTTCAGACTCGGGGCAGACCTAGTGTAGCCGCCAACCCCAAACAGACCGGCTTAGCTCGGGGGTCATAACTCCGAAACCGGAAGTGGTAGACTAACGCCACCTGGCCTATGTTACTCCCCGGTCCGAGCTACCCCTATACCCCAAATTTCAGACTCGGGGCAGACCTAGTGTAGCCGCCAACCCCGAACAGACAGACTTCGCTCGGGGTCATAACTCCGAAACCGGAAGTGGTAGACTAACGCCACCTAGCCTATGTTACTCCCCAGTCCGAGCTACCCCTATACCCCAAATTTCAGACTCGGGGCAGACCTAGTGTAGCCGCCAACCCCGAACAGACCGGCTTCGCTCGGGGGTCATAACTCCGAAACCAGAAGTGGTAGACTAACGCCACCTGGCCTTTGTTACTCCCCGGTCCGGGCTACCCGTTTACCCCAAATTTCAGACTCGGGGCAGATGTAGCCGCCAACCCCGAACAGACGGACTTCGCTCAGGAGTCATAACTCCGAAACCGGAAGTGGTAGACTAACGCCACCTGGCCTATGTTACTCCCCGGTCCAAGCTACCCCTATACCCCAAATTTCAGACTTGGGTCAGACCTAGTGTAGCCGCCAACCCCGAACAGACCGGCTTCGCTCGGGGGTCATAACTCCGGAAGTGGTAGACTAACGCCACCTGGCCTATGTTACTCCCCGGTCCGAGATACCCCTATACCCTAAATTTCAGACTTGGGGCAGACCTAGTGTAGCCGCCAACCCCGAACAGGCAGACAGACAAACGACAGTCACAAATATATATATAGATGTATGTATAATAATATATATAAACATAGTAAATTTCAACAGTTTTTTGGTTTAATATACTTTATAAAGTATTTGTCAGGCTGAAAATCTGAAATGTCCGGCCAAAAATCAGTTCAGCCTGACATGATGTCAGGCTGAACCTTAGCAGTTATTTCAAGGCTTGGTTGGAGGTTGGACAGGCAACCCTACTCCTTGTCATGTACAACCAGGGAATCGAAACCACGCCAGTTGACTCAATGACAGACCTTATGATGCAGCAGGCACACGCTAACCATTGAGCCATCCACCCCCACCCTCCCTAAACAATAAGAACAACAACCATGATGGTTAATTAAGTGAGGTTCTGGCTCACTCACCATGATGGTCCAGAAAGTTCATCAGGATTTTATAGGCTGGGGCAGGATAGACAACATGGCAAAAAAACGTCTAGTTGTTCGTCCCTTGTGAATTTTGGGATGCATGCAAAAAACGTCTAGTTGTTCTGGTGGGACAAAAATCTAACATCCCTTGTGAATGTTGAGGTGCACGTTAAAGAATCGTGACATTTGGAATTAAATGGCAGAAATTAAAACCACTGTTCAGACAAAAATGTCCATATAAATATCATAGTTATAGTGTTTTCAAATGATGTTTGCTGTTTTGGAAATACAGTTATTTACGATTAGTATAAAAAGAAAGTACCTAGTCTGAATCTATTCGGGAGCCCCCCCGGTTGTACGTGACAACGAGCAGGGTCGCATGTTCAACCTCTTTGGTTTTCTCCGGGTCCTCCGGTTTCCTCCCACTGCTAAAGACCCCTACGCGCAAGCGAATTATTGAAATAAAATTAAACCATATGTTAGTCCCGAAATGACCTAGTTTGTGTTGAGTGGATATTAAACCCCATTTCTCTCTCTCTCTCTCTCTCTCTCTCTCTCTCTCTCTCTCTTCGGGAGTCACTAATTCAGTTAGACGCTGGCTCTAGCCCGGAGGTTGTGGGTTCGATCCCGGAGGTTGTGGGTTCGATCCCATCCCGGTGTTGGCAGGGAAAGTTAATCGGTATTATTCAGATTGGTTTCAACGTGTCACTGGTGCAGGACGGAGGGCCTTACAATGACAGCTGTCTAGTCGATCGGATGGTATGAAAAACCGAGGTCCCGTGTACATTGGCGTGCACATGAAAGATCCCTTGTCAGTTGGATTTCAATATAAGAGTAGGCCGTAGAGCAGCTGTCTGGACAAAATTACCATCATAGCACACTGTATGGCCTATACCCTTCTTCATTAGCCCAGTCGGAGCAGAACAGTAGGACGTTAAACTCCATTTCAATTCATTTCATTTCTGAATCTATTTCTGACCTTGACTAGCTGCACTTACTTGGGATAGAAAAACTGTTTTTATGTCCTCTCTACCCTGTATAGTAAATAGCTGTTGATTGTATATTTTATATTGTAGATGGCCGATGCTATGGAGATGATGATATTGTCGATATTATCGCCAGCGTTACATTGTGAATGGCAGTTGAAGGGTATACAGGAAGCGTCAATAACAACGGTAAAAACAAAACTTATTTCTGTAACCTTAAATATTATCAACTGAGAGATTTTAATTACCAAAAGGAACAACTACTATTTAGTAGGTTGATGTATGTACAAAGTTTGATATGTCTTCAATGATTTATGAGATATATTCCGGCAAAACATGTAGGATGCAAGAATAACAAACGTTTCCCCTTGAATCAGTGATGGGATTTAAAAATATGTCTTGTCAGACATTTTCTCCCGAAAATAAAGGGACATAACTCTTACATTATTTAAGCCGGCATTTTCAGACCACAATTAAAAATCATGGTCAACAAGATATTCAAATTCATGTGTAATAAAAAAATAGGTGCACCTGGTTATTTTTCATATTTAATTCCCGTACGGTATTCAAATAAATGTCAGTAATATTCCCTGAATATATGTTCAATAGCTTTATTTAGTTCCACTTCAACTGGGGGGATCACGTGGCTAAGTGGGTAAGATGCTGGCTCACTAGACTGGAGGTCGGGTGTTCGATCCCTGCATCGGCCGAGAAAGTCCATCCAGATTTTCCGGTGTGGTTCTCCCTTGTCAGTGATGCAGGACGAAGGGGCTGACAAGGAAAGCTGTCTAGTCATTCGGATGGGACGAAAAAACGAGGTCCTGTGTACACATTGGCGTGCACTTAAAAGATCCCTCTGCAGTTGGAATTCGATATAAGAGTAGGCCGTAGTGCCGCTGTCCGGGCAAAATTTCCCTCATAGCATACTATATGGTGTATGCCTGTCTTCATTAGCCCAGTATAGGAGCAGAACAGTAGGACGTTAAACTCCATTTCATTTCATTTCATTTCATTTCCACTTCAACTGAAGTGATGTCACCAGCAATACTATATCTGGTTTTATTTCTGTGGTATATTTCTATATATCAGGTTGTATTCTGTGGTATGATGTTGTCATCTAGTTTATGGGGCAGTATTTGTGATAAGTATGGAAGAAAAAAGGTGAGTAATCTATCCCTTTCTTTAATAGCTTAAAAAATAATAATTAGAATTTTTAATGCACATTCAATAATGCTACTATCACTGTAACCCCCAGGTATCGTTTAATCTTGTTTATCTAGCACTAATTTCTTTCACATTCGTTTAATATCCAATCTTTGTTTAAAAATTCGTAAAAACTGTTTAAAATAACCATATATCATTTAATGTGTCCAATTTACAAGTGTTTAATTTCTCAATCATTGTTAAAAAATAAATTACCCAATTGATTAATTAAGTATAATGATTGAATTTTGAACAGTGGTCAGGAAATTAAATACTTGTAAATCAATCAGCTTCAAACTGGACACAAGTACAAATTAGATGATTTTTGGTGATTTTAAACGATTTTTATGAATTTTTAAACAAAGATTTGATATTAAACGAATATGAAAGAAATTAGTGCTAGATACACAAGATTAAATGATACCTGGGTTACAGTGTATATATTTAAAACTACTAATGACAAGATAGTCTATGATTTAAAATGTAGATTAACAAATCAGAACGGTTCTACCATTATTTAGACTATCCATGTGACCTTCGATTTACTCAGAGTGCCTAGATGGCGGAATCGTCTAAGATGTGCGGTTTAGACTATAAGGTCAGTCATTCAGTTCACTGGCGTGGTTTCAATTCCCCTCTTGTACTTGACAAGGAGTAGGGTCGCCTGTCCAATCTCGTGGGTTTTCTCAGGGTCCTCCAGTTGGCTACCAAGACAAAACTCCTAAAATAATATTGAACTATATGTTAGTCCCAAAATGACCTGGTTTGTGTCAAGTAAACGTGAAATCTCATTCTCACTCTGTCTCTCTTGATTCACTTCATCAAATATCCACAAATCTGATCTATATTTGTGTCTATTTCATGACGACAGTATTTGGTCGGGTGGGCAAATAGGTACAAGATTTCATTGACTAAACCTCCAACCCCATCTTAACGCCTTGGACCAGTAAGAATTGAATCCTACTGTGACATCATTTCAGGATACTATTATTCAAAATAGCACCTGTATAGACAGCCATATTAAATTAGATTTTTGCTCTCGTTTTTTAATTACAATCTTTTTTAATGACATTTCTCTTTATTTCAGGAATTAATTCTGTGTTCCGTTTTTACGTGTTATTTTGGAATTCTCAGCGCTTTCTCTCCCAACTTTTATTGGATGTTGATACTCAGGGGTTTAGTTGGTTTTGGTATCGGTGGTGCACCACAATCGTAAGTTCATATTGTACAGATTGATGTTATAAACTATCAAGGCACTGTAAATATATACGCTTCAGATTCAAAAACTTTTGAAGAATATCCTTGCGAGTTTGGAATCTGATTCTGGGAGTCAGTTGTTCGGATTGGCTAAAAAAAAAAACGAAAAAAAAAACCAGGTCCCAGAACAAATACTTGGAACCCTTATTAGGTCCCTTCAAATTTCAAACATTGTCGTAGAAAAAAATTATTACAGAATATTAGTTCACTACTTTAGACTAGAACATACCAGATATGATATATACATTAGTACCTTAGACTAGAACATACCAGGTTCGCTGTAGTACTTCAGACTAGAATGTACCAGGTACTTTAGACTAGAAAATACATGTACTAGTTTTGCTCTTCTACTTTAGACTAGAACATACCAGGCTCACTTTAGACTAGAACATACCAGCCTCGGTGTACAACAGATTCCACACCCAATTTATATTTGTACCTAATCTAAGATATTTTTTACTGTTTTTTTTTTGCTTTCAGTGTAACGTTATATTCTGAATTTTTACCTTCAAAATCCCGAGCTCGATGTGTAGTTTTAGTAGAGGTATCATCACTTTCTTTCTTTATTTTACGTATTGTGAGCCACGGTAGATCAGTAAGTAAGATGCTGGCTAGATATTACACGGCCTGACAACTAGTGTCTAGTTATTCGGTAGGGATGAAAAACCGAGGTCCCATGTACACATTGGCGTTCACACTAAAGAACCATTGACAGATGAAATTCGAAAAAAGAGAGCTGTAGCGCCGCTGTCCCGGAACAACAAGTAGGCTGTAGCGTTGCTGACCCGAAAAAATTTCCACTTACCTTAGAGAGCATTAGAAAGATCCCTACACAAAAGCAATCTATATAGAAGTTTTAGCCCTGAAATTCAACCCCCACACTGTATAAAAACTCTCAGTTTAGTTTGAAAATCGAATATTTAAATAGAATAATTAGAAAGAAGTAGGCTATATCTATTTGACTTGAATTTATCTTGATTCAACCAGATTCAACCAACTGTAATTAACAACAGGTAGATCATATAAACATACTGTATATGTTTGAGGATACAGTAAATGACCCATTTATTATTATATACATTTTTCTTGTCATGATATGTGTTTTATGTTTCAGTCAGATCTTCTGGGCACTAGGAGCCTGTTTTATTAGATATATTTTTATGTTTCAGATATTCTGGGCATTAGGAGCGTGTTTTGAGGTTTTATTAGCATTAGTTGTGATGCCACGATATGGTTGGAGTACTTTATTAGGTCTCTCCGCACTACCTCTGTTGTTCTTCTCGATGAGTTGTGCTGTAAGTGTATATATATATCTATTATATATTCTACTCTATAAGTTGGGGGGTTGGATGGCCGAATGGTTAGCACGCGCGCACTGTATCATAAAGCCTGTCATTGAGTCAACTGGCGTGGTTTCAAATCCCCGGTTGTATGTGACAAGGAGTAGGGTCGCCTGTCCAACCTCGTGGGTTTTCTCCGAGTCTTCCACTTTTCCTCCCACTGCTAAAGACCCCTACGCCCAAGTGAATTATTGAAATAAAATTAAACCACGTGTTAGTCCCAAAATGACCTAGTTTGTGTCGAGCGGACGTTTAACCCCATTTCTCTCTCTATATATATATATATCTATTATTCTCCTCAATAAGTTGTGCTTTAAGTATATATACATATCTATTATTGTATGTATGTATACAATTGTATAGGGGTCGGGGTCGGGGGTGACCGAATGGTGTGCGCGTTGCATCATAAGGTCTGTCATTGAGTCAAGTGCCGTGGTTTCGATTTCCCCCATAGCAGAATGTATGACGTATGCCTGTCTTCATTAGCCTAGTAGGACGTTCAGGGTTCGTACGCTTCCTGGAAAACCTGGAAAGTCATGGAATTCCACCTATGAAAATTCCAGGCCTGGAAAACCTGGAATATAAGTATTTTATCATGGAAAGTCATGAAATTTTCACCTCCGTCCAGTAATCACCCTTTCTACGAAATTTGATCCATTTATTCAATTTGTAAAACTTATACGAAAGAAAAGCACGGTAGAGAAAAATAGATCCAAGAGTAGACAAACTTTCGTAGTCTTTTTTTTTCCAGACGCAACAGTCATTGGCTTGACAATCAATTTTTTGGCTTGATAATCTGGACTACGTCCTGTAGCAGTCTCACAGACTTGGCTGAATTATCTCCCTTTCAGTTACTCGTCTGCTAGTCAGTTCAACTAGTTGTGTTTTTGCTTTCGAATAGCGTGACGAATTCTGTTTGATATACCCAACTAACTACTACAATATTAAAATGCCCGGTAAATGTACATTTCAAGACTGTTGGATGACAAAAACCGATTTCTGTTCATGGTTAATGCGTGACAAAACTAATTCACGAAAAGCCTGATGTTGCGCATGTCAGGACAGAAGTCCTTTGATATATCTAATATGGGGGAAGCAGCTGTAAAGAGCCACATGAAGGGCGAAAAACATTTAGTTAATTACAGAAAATTAAAAGAGTGTGGTCAGAATCCTATTGGTCAGTTTTTTGTCTCAGCTTCGGGTCAAACAGGGGGTAGTACAACTTCGGGTCAAACAGGGGGTAGTACAACTTCGGGTCAAACAGGGGGTAGTACAACTGAACTTTCAACAGAAAGTTCTAGTTCACATTGTGATAGTTTTGGCACTAAAACCGAAAGTAGGAAATCCCAATCATTGACTTCTTCATTTCAAAGGAAGATACAATAAAATCCGAGATATTGTGGACTCTGCACAATATAGAAAACCACCACTGATATAAATCAAACGAAGGTATTGATCAATTATTTAAGAAAATGTTCCCTGATAGCGACATTGCACAGAAATTCACCTGTGGAGAAAAGAAGATGGCCTATTATTGCAACTTTGGTTTAGCACCCCATTTTTCAGATTTGCTAAAAAACAGTGTGAAGAATAAAGATTCTTTTGTACTCCTTTTTGATGAAAGTTTGAATATCAAAACAAAAAATAAACAGCTAGATATACATGTGAGGTACTGGGATAGGGATAATGTGATAACTCAATACTATAACTCCAAGTTTATTGGCCATGCTGCATCACATGAACTTTTAGAACATTTTACCGATTCTGTTCAAGATTTGAACCTGTCTAAACTTGTACAAGTGTCTATGGATGGACCTAATGTTAATTTAAAATTTTGGGATCTCTTTTCTGATTATATACAAACTAATTATTCTAGTAAAGTCTTGAATATAGGAACCTGTGGGCTCCATATTATTCACGGTGCATTCAAGGACTTTTCTTCAACTTCTGAGTGGAATCTTGACAGTTTGTTTAGAAGTTGTTACATATTGTTCAAGGACACACCTGCTCGCAGGGAGGACTATGAAAAATTAATAGGAACTGATAATCATGTTTATGCTTTAAAGTTTTGTAAACACAGATGGTTAGAAAATCTACCAGTAGCTTTAAGAGCCCTTGAGATCATTCCATTACTTAGAAAATACATTGATCAAGTTAACAAGAAAAAAATAACCAACCACAAAACAGAGTCATATAAAACGATTGTGGAAATGTTAAAAGACCCTCTTTTAGAAGTTAAAATAAACTTTTATTTCTACTGCACAAGACCTTGTATCAGACTGACAAACCCATGATTCCATTTCTAGCTGAGGACTTGTATCTGCTGTTGAAGGGGCTAATGGGAAGGGTGATTAAATCAGATGTACTAAGTAAAAGTGGGGGTACTGCTTACTCATTACTGAAGATTGACATAAATGACAGAAATAATCAGTGTGAAATAAAGAAAGTTGACATTGGATTTGTGGGAAATAAACTATTGAAATCACTTGTGTCCGACAAAAAAGTAAACGAACAACAAGTTCTAGACATAAGAGCTCAGGCAAGGGCTTCAGTTATCAAAATGATTTCTAAAATCCAAGAAAAATGTCCCCTGAAATATACACTTGTGAGGTGCATGAAATGTTTAGATCCTAGGCAAATGTGTAATGACAAAGATTTTTGTGTAGAGAAATTGGAAAGAATACTTGGCATTCTTGTTGATCATAAAAAGATCAATGAGTTAGAATGTGACACAATAAAACATGAATTTTCTACATTTTTGACCCAAGATTTACCAGGATATTCTTCTTTGTTTAAAGATTTCAATTATAAAGAAGAACGAGTTGATAATCTTTTCTATAACTGCTTCTCATCAAAACAACAATATAGTAACATTTCGTCTGTCATTCAGTTACTTTTAATCTTGTCACATGGACAAGCATCTGTTGAGCGTGGATTTTCTGTAAATAAAGAGGTCTATAAAGATAATATGGACGAAAAATCTTTTATTGCGCAAAGACAAGTCATAGATCATATTCAGTCTGTTGGGGGAGCTTTAAATGTTGACATAAATAAAAAACTAGTCATGTCAGACAGTTCTGCAAGACAAAACTGAAATCAGACATTTAATTGCAAAATCCAATAGCCACAGAGAATCGGCAAAAGTCCAAAAATCTGAACTGGACAAATTGGATGAAGAAATTATTAAAATATAAGTCAAACTAATTTAGTTAATGTATCGGACATTGTTTTGTTCTCTGTTCTATTTTGGATTAATTTGTTTACAGTGAATAAATGAACTTTGTTTAAAGTACTTGATGCTTTAAGATAACATTTACTACTCAGATTGTAGCCTGACTTTTATTTGGTAATTTAAGTGAATACTGTTACTAATAAAAGTTTCATAATTTGCAAGAAGTTGATTTCTTTGCATGACGATGTAGATTAGCTTATTTGTGCAGATTTAATTCAGTAAACATGCGTAGACAAACTTCAGTGCAATGCTCTAATTTTGGTCCTGGAAAATGCTCTTTTTGGTCCTGGAAAGTCATGGAAAAGTCATGGAATTTCATTCACATTTTAGTGTACGAACCCTGGACGTTAAATCCCATTTCATTTCATATAATGTGTGATATATATTTAACACTTTATATAGGTACCATATTTTTAGGGGGTATAAGTTGGGCCTGTGTCTAGTACTCCACATAGACATATATGTGAATAAAGATAAAAAATTACATCCTGAAACAATAATTCTCAGTTTCCAACTGTCGAGTGACATCTTCTGCTAAATAATAACTCTTGTATGGTAAAGTCAAACTTTTGTATTCAAATACATAAACTTGTTGACATTTCTATATATAATTACCGATAGCTTGTATATATAACTCCTATTCAAAAACAGAACCCCATTCAAAATATAGCCATAAACCCTAGAAATACATCAAAATAGATTCTTTCTTCCGAAATATTCATGTGGAAATTTTCCCATTGCCATCTCTAGTAATTTCTTAATTCTTGTGTCGCGTCTTGAGAGAGTTCTACTTTAGTTATCAGTTTAATTAACCAATAATATATTTGATTCTATTTTTAGTAACATTCATTGTAATATTATTACCATGTACGATTGTGTATTGTCTAGTATTTATTGTATATATTGAAATAAAAACTGGTTGAAATAAACCAAGAAAAAAACTTTGAATATTACTAAAGTTAGTCTTAAATTTATTAACTGATTATTTTACATGAATTAATATTATTGGTCATCTTTTTAACCTACATTAGCGGGAGAGAAAGAGAGAAATGGGGTTAAACGTCCACGCGACACAAACTAGGTCATTTAGGGACTAACATATGGTTTTTGATTTTATTTCAATAATTTGCTTGCGCGTAGGGGTCTTTAGCAGTGGGAGGAAACCAGAGGACCCGGAGAAAACCCACAAGGTTGGACAGGCGACCCTACTCCTTGTCATGTACAACCGGTGATTCGAAACCACGCCAGTTGACTCAATGACAGGCCTTATGATACAGCACGCGCGTGCTAACCATTCGGCCATCCAACCCCCCGACATACATTAGCACAGAATTAAAGTAGACTAAACCTCATGTCACTCTGATTAAAATACAGACATATTTTTCGTTTCGTTTTTTTATACTTTCAATGGCCTACACTACATGAAGATCTGACAAGTTATAGCGATAGGTCACGTCAGACATTTGATTAACCAATCAGCATTGATGTAACTAGTGGATTACCCACAGTTCCTTGCAAAACACGCCTAAAGCTCGCCGTGACAGACTGTTTCATTGGCTTATCCCTCACACTATTCAGAACACGAGTTAAATAACAACTCTTCCAGATCCAAGTGTAGTAAAGAAAAGTAAAACGAAATTTTGAACTATAAAAACGAAACGAAATAGGATCTGTGTTTTTACTAGACTAAACCTCATGTATACATCTCAATAATAGATTGCTATCGTAGAGTTGAAAAACATTTGTCTTATATGCCGCTTCCATTTATTTATGGATGGAGGTTGGAAAAACAGTAAAATATGATGATTCAACTTATAGTTATACCCCATAAATACACTATATTATATTAATTACTAAATAATATAGAATTAACAGGTGTATATATCATATAGCTACCTGTATCAATCAATATTTATTGTTATAGTTTAAATAAAATCTAACTGATATGATCTACCTGTTGTTAGTTACAGTTGGTTGAATCTGGTTGAATCAGGATAAATTGAAATTAAATAGATAAAGCCTACTTCTTTGTCATTATTCTATTTAAATATTCGATTTTCAAACTAAAATGAGAGTTTTTAGCGACATAAATTGTAGATATTGATGTCAACTGCAGATGTTTATTTATGGTAAATTTATAATCGTTATATGAATTGTCCAAGAATTACCAATTACAGACAGTAGAATTATTAGGTGAATAAATAATTTGATCGAATGAAGAATGAATGAATTATTAGGTGAATGAATAATTTGATTGAGTGAAGAATAAATGAATTATGTGTGTAATAAGAATTGTTAGCATGTAAATTGCAGCCATTTTTGATAGAGAGAGAGTATAAATTATACTTAATTCATTTAAATTCAATTTAATTTAATTTCATTAAAGGGAGAGAGAAAAATGGGGTTTAATGTCCACTCAACACAGACTAGGTCATTTCGGGACATGGTTCAATTTTATTTCAATAATTCTCTTGCGAGTAGGGGTATTTAGCAGTGTTAGGAAACCGGAGGACCCAGAGTAAACCCATGAGGTTGGACAGGCGACCCTACCCCTTGTCATGTACAACCAGGGAATCGAAACCATGCCAGCTGACTCAATGATAAAGTGCTAACCATTCAGCCATCCACCCCCCCCCCCCATTTTGATTGTGATAATCTACCCTAGAATTTGAGTGAAAGGAAGAATGAATCGTTATTTCCATGTCTGTGACAAGCCTTCATTGCTTTATCTCATACCTCTTGGAGTATAAGAGAGATTATATAGGCTCTGTCTGTTTCCCAATCCTAATATTAAATAAAATATTGTTTATAAAAAAAAATAAGATACCTGTCTTATACACCTGTGTATTTATGTATTTTTAAAGATACATTATGGAAAATTAGATAAAGAGCTGGCAGTTCTTGCTATAATAGTTTAACAACTAGATAATGTAAAGGGAATTTGCTGAAAATTTCATTCAAATTGGTAGAGAGAGAGAGAAATGGAGTTTAACGTCCACTCGACACAAACTAGGTCATTTCGGGACTAACATGGTTTAATTTTATTTACATAATTTGCTTGCGCGTAGGGGTCTTTAGCAGTGGGAGGAAACCGGAGGACCCGGAGAAAACCCACGAGGTTGGACAGGCGACCCTACTCCTTGTCATGTACAACCGGGGATTCGAAACCACGCCAGTCGACTCAATGACAGACTTTATGATCAGTCAAATTGATCCACCCTGAACCTAGTATTTAGAGATTGTATTTTGGGCCTAGCCTCGATCATCATTACTAAAGTCAGTTCGATAATAAAAACCCATAGTCTCGATTATCCATTTTTTGATTTAATCAGAAGCAGCAGACCTGGTTATAATCCAGTAAATAGTGATGCCATCGAGAGTTGGTCTGGATAAGCTAATTAATGTTTGATTAATAATTTAAATAACATTTCACGCCTAAAGAAAGACGTGCAATAGGCAGATTTAGCTCTTGCATAATGTATGTTCAAATGAGGTTGTGTGTATTTATGTATATTTTATGTATATTCTAGTGGTTACCAGAAAGTGCACGGTACGATGTAACAAGAGGAGATTATGATAAAGCTGTCGCTACCTTAGAACGAGTAGCAAGAGAGAATGGAAAGCCAATGCCTGCTGGGAAACTGGTTGAACCAGTCACAGAGGTTTGTTATTAACACTTACTAGTTTTTCACTAATCACCTGGAGTGAAATATTTCAGTGAAATGTCATATTTCACTAATCACCTGGATCTGTCTTTTAATCCGATTATTTTATCTCTAGTAACTTTGTGTTAATTCTATTTATTTTATCTCTAGTAACTTTGTGTTAATTCTATTTATTTTATCTCCAGTAACTTTGTGTTAATTCTATTTTATCTCTAGTAACTTCGTGTTAATTCTATTTATTTTATCTCTAGTAACTTTGTGTTAATTCTATTTATTTCTTCCAGAATATAAAAAGAGGACAGTATAAAGATTTATTTATACCAGAAATACGAGTAACAACAGTCTTATTATGGATTATATGGTAAATATAATATGGTTGTATCATTGAAAGGGTTTTGTGGGGGTTGGATGGCCGAATGGTTAGCATGTGCACGTTATATCATAAGTTCTGTCATTGAGTCAGCTGGCGCAGTTTTAATTCCTCTGGTGTATGTTACAAGGAGTAGGGTCGCTTGTCCAACCACGTGGGTTTTCTCCGGTTTCCTCCCACTGCTAAAGACCCCTAGCAAGCGAATAAATGAAATAAAACTGAACCATATGTTAGTCCCAAAATAACCTAGTTTGTGTAAAGTGGATGTTAAACCCCATTTCTCTCCCTCTCTCCCCATTCGCAGGGGATAGAAAACCAAGATGTTATTTATCGGCATGTAACAAAACCCTTGCCAGCTGGAATTGGATGAATGGTCTAGATGCGTAAAAGTACCCTTGGCATTTGGAAATTCGATATAGTAGTAGGCTCTATCACCGCTATATCCTGGCAATATTTCCCTCATAGCACACTGTGTGTAATGTATGCCTGCCGTCTTCATTAGCCCAGATCGAGCAGAACAGTAGGCCGTTAAGCCCCATTTCATTTCATTTCCACGGTAATTGCATGGCGTATGACCGTCTCCATTAACCCAGTCATTGCAGAACAGTCGGACGTTAAAGGGCCAATCCGGATAATATTTTAGAGAATAAAACTGCTTAATTTTGGGTTAAAATCCCATAAAAGCCTCTACCTTAGGGCCGAGCAACTAACTCAATATATGTGATACGTTTTCAAACAACTTAAACCCGTCAATCTTCATCTGGAAATGGAAACCAGCGTCCCAAGCAGTATTATGCAGTGTCTGGATAAAACCAAGACTTTTATTTTATAAAAATAATGTGTCTGTGAAATTTACCTTTCGTTATCAAGTATAGCACATGGGTCATTCACTGTATAAACCTCAAAAGGATTGGGAATCGATTATCAGGTCGCCCTTCGAAAAATTGACCCGAAATCTTAAAAGGGTTACATGTCCGGATAAGCAGTTTTGAAGTTCACGTCCAAACGACTCAATATTTTGAGCTGAAATTTTGAGAAGGGGTATATACAATATTCCTCTATATTTTGGCGTTTAAATTTCATACGTACTCAGACTTTTATTTTGTAGACTCTGTTCAAATTGGGATAGTCCCTTTAAACAATATATCATTCCAGGTTCATATGATCACAACTTTAATTCAAACATTTTAATTTCCAGGTTAGTTTGTGCGTTTTCTTATTATGGCATAGTTCTACTTACAACAGCATTGTTTGAAAATCCAGATGGTTGCCATGGTAATTATCAATTAATATAATTTATATTCTTGGTAGAAGCTGTATATATATTTTTATATCGATCCCAGTTGACATACAAACAATCAAATTCTATTTTATTTGTGGGTTGTGTGATGAAGTTGTCTTGTTTTAGTCGTTAAACCACTTGGAACCCCTCGAGTGATATAAAAAGCTATGGCATCCCTTCAAGAAGAAGTTTACTGCCCTGTAACCGGAAGATTTACTCACATATCTCCGGTGGTTTGAGACAGTCTAATGAACAGTAGTTTCTGACAAGTTTCAGGCTGTCCAGGGATTTACTCTGGGCCATTTTAAATCTCAATTCATAACACTCTTTTTTTCAAAACCCTGATCTGTAAATAATCAGTGAATATAAAAACCAACAGCGCCTTAGAAACTGTTTTCTTCATTATTAACGCGCTTTATAAATGACGATATTATTATTATACTGTTAGGGGGGTTGGATGGCCGAATAGTTAGCACGCGCGCGCTGTATCATACGGTCTGTCATTGAGTCAACTGGCGGGGTTTCGATTCCCCGGTTGTACGTGACAAGGAATAGGATCGCCTGTCCAATTTCACGGGTATTCTCCGGGTCCTCCAGTTTCCTCCCACAGCTAAAGACCCCTACGCGCAAGCAAATTATTGAAATACAATTGAACCATGTGTTAGTCCCGAAATGACCTAGTTTGTGTTGAGTGGACATTAAACCCCATTTCTCGCTCTCCTCTCTTTATTATACTGATATGAAATATATGATTGTTCTTTCCTTCGAGGAACTGGCTAGAGTAATTAATATTTACATGCACCTAGTTCTAAAGGATTGAATATACTATCGGTATATACCTTGTGTTTTATGTTGTGGAATAATGTTTTACAAGTTCAGCTAGAGAAGAAGCTCAATTCAATTTATTTTTAAAATCCTTGAGTGGCGTTTAGTGATTGACCACAATAAAAACCAACCCATTTATATCTAAAACAATCACTGGATAGACCTACAATCACTGGATAGACCTACAATCACTGGATAGACCTACAATCAAACAAATATATTTGATTATAATGATAAGACAATACTTCTTTAAATGCTGTTGTGTATGTAGGGCTGTACGATATTGCAAAAAGGGACGATATCGATATTGGCATTTTTTTTCAACGATATAGTTAAATATCGCGTTGTTTAATAATAATGTCACTTTGCTATTAAATAAATTAAATATATATGCATTAAAGCTGACTACAGTGTGAGTAAGAATTGTGGGTAAGAATTGCTTTATTCATACACTTTAAACATTGCTTTTTTTATAATATAGATTTATTAAAATGAACAAGACAACATCCTTTTTGGATAAAAATGTTTTAATGCCTTTAAACACAATAACGTACAGGGGACATTACTTATGCCTGTACATATAATTAAATTAAATACAACCGCTGATATTTAAAAAGCATCTGCTTGTGACCTTGTGTAAGAAAATTCTCAAATATCACGTGCAGCGGAAGTAAGTAGATGCGGTCTTCAAGTCTTGTAATTGTAAATTCAAACAGTTTAACAAATACTAAATGATCCGGACTATCTTCCATTCAAGCATTCGATTGGCTGCGGTATTCCTGGCCTAACACTGACAGTAATCTATTTATAGATCGTTTTGTTTTTGCTTTCAGAAATTAAATTTGGTAGAGTGTTCTAAAAATATTTTTATTTTAAAAATATGACAACCTATTTATAGCCTGGTAATTAGCCGCGATCGTGGGAAATTTCAGGCGTTTAGTAGGCCTAAGCTTTACATGTAGTAACAACTAACAATTTATTGTCGACTAAAAACAAAGTAAAAGTAACGCATACACGATACAGTGAAAAACGGCAGCGGACACAGCGCAAGTGTTTTCAACATTTAACGATTCTCAAAACATTAGTTTTATTATAGTTTATTGCCGTTGGCTAATTTCCACTGCTGTATAGTGTATTTATTATCTGTTTTTAAGATAATTTTTTTCGATATTTGAAGTTTTTGGCGATATTCGATAAACCACTATATCAACGCTTTTTTGGCCACATTATATCGTAGTTGGGTCTGAAAATACCATATCGCGATAAATGACTATATCGAGAATATCGTACAGCCCTATCTGCATGTGTATATAAACTAGTGTTTTTTTCCGTATAAATTCTCATCCCTTCATACCCTGTGTTTCATGTTGTATAAATTCTCATCCCTCCATACCCTGTGTTTTATGGTATTGTATAAATTCTCATCCCTCCATACCCTGTGTTTTATGGTATTGTATAAATTCTCATCCCTTCATACCCTGTGTTTTATGGTATTGTATAAATTCACATCCCTTCATACCCTGTGTTTTATGGTATTGTATAAATTCTCATCCCTTCATACCATGTGTTTTATGGTATTGTATAAATTCTCATCCCTTCATACCCTGTGTTTTATGGTATTGTATAAATTCTCATCCCTCCATACCCTGTGTTTTATGGTATTGTATAAATTCTCATCCCTCCATACCCTGTGTTTCATGTTATTGTATAAATTCTCATCCCTCCGTACCCTGTGTTTTATGGTATTGTATAAATTCTCATCCCTCCGTACCCTGTGTTTTATGTTGTTGTATAATTTGAAATGATGTTTTGTTACAGGTACCGACGTAAAGAGAAATCCTGAACCTAAATGTTTTCTAGAATGTAAAACTTTAACTACTGATGATTATAGAGATTTAACATGGACAACATTTGCTGAATTTCCAGGTTCGTATGTCAATTTTATAGATAGATTGCTTGTATGTTAATTAGGTGATATGTTTACAGCCCCCCCCCCCTTCCAAATTTCCAGGTTCGTATCTCAATTTTATAGATAGAGTGCTTGTATGTTAATTAGGTGATATGTTTACAGCCCCCCCCCCTCCAAATTTCCAGGTTCGTATCTCAATTTTATAGAGTTCTTGTATGTTAATTAGGTGATATGTTTACAGCCCCCCCCCCCTCTTCAAATTTCCAGGTTTGTATCTAATTTCTGTAGATAGATTTGGGTTCTTGTACAATAAACAAACAAACATTATACAAGAGCTACATAAATCTGCCTATTGCAGGTCTTTCTTTAGGCCTGAAATGTTATCTAAATTATTAATTAGACATTAATTAACTTATCCACACCCTAATCAACTCTTGATGCAATTGGATTGGTCCGATTTTAAGCAGATTAGAATGGTTTGGCCATTTAATGATTTAATTTAATAATATTGAATCAAGGCTAAGCTTCGAATAACGTTGGTTATAATCAGTGCACACATCTTGTCAAACCTTCAAAGGGTAATATCTTCGCTCAGAATATCAGAATAAAGTAATTTGAATGAAAGTTTCAATATATTCATTTTGCATTATCTATCTTGGAACTGTTACAGCATGAACGGCTAGCTCTTTTTTGAAATCTTACATAATGTATCTTTAATAAATAAAATAAAGTGATGAATATCCAAAATGTTAGACAGGTTTATTGGCCTAATCTCTGCCCTTTCCAAAGAACAGTAGACAGAAGTGCTGCTCTCCTGGCAAAACTCTCCCTCACATACATTACACATGTGACCATGCGAAAGAATCATATGTTAGTCTCAAAATAGCAAACGTTGGCCAGACCTCAAACCCATTCCAGTCTCATGTTGGCCCATCTTCAATAGAAGGCTTGATCTCGCCTTAACTACGTACATCTTATCAAGCCCTTCACGCAATACCCTGCATATTTTAGCACTAATTTCGATTGGGTATAAGCCCAGCTTGTGATCCTATCAGATTCCCTCGTTAAAAATATGGTTACAATTATCAAGTCTCGCGCTTCTAGCTAAAATGTCTACATGTGACAATTGAGTTGCAAAGTTCCAGGTTCGATCAATGTCAAGGTTGCTGGAAATCATGGTTGATCAACAAAGGCTGTAAACTTGTCTATTTCTTTTTCTATGGAGGCCCCCATATTTGTTTACAGTGTGTTATGTGCCACGACCTCTAATTGGACAATGCTAATTAGTCACGTGTAAACACAACGAGCGCAAAAATTCGGGAATTGTTGAGTATTGAAGCAACGACTAGATGTTGTAAAACTTGCGGTCGTTGCTTCAGGAACATGATGTTGGCCAGACTTTAAACCCATTCCAGTTTCATGTTGACCAGACTTTAAACCCATTCATATTATTTTGTTGTTTTATTTTTCAGGTCTTTTTGTAACAGTTTTTATTATAGATATATTAGGGAGAAAAAAGACGATGGCTTTCCAATTCTTTGTTTTTACTGTGTTCGTTCTACTTGTTAATATCTGCACTAAAAGGTAAACAGAATAAAAAAAATAACCATATTACATAAGAGAGCCACGGTGGCTATGTGAGTAAGACTCTGGCTCGTTGGTCTGGAGATCGCGGGTTCGATCCCAGTATTGGCCGAGAAAGTTCATCCAGCCAGCGTGGTTTCCTGGTGTCAGTGATACAGGACAGAGGGCCTGACAAGGACAGCTGTCTAGTCATTCAGATGGGACAAAAAAACGAGGTCCTGTGTACACATTGGCGTGCATGTAAAAGATCCTTTGGCAGTTGGAATTACATATCAAAGTAGGCTGTAGCGTCGCTGTTCAGGTGAAATTTCCCTCATAGCACACTGTATGACGTGTGCTGGTATTTTTTAGCCCAGTTGGAGCAGAACAGCAGAACGTTAACCCCTTATCATTTCATTTATCATTTCATAGTTCATAGTTATAAATAAAGTTTAACATTCACATGACAAAAACTAGATGTTTTCGGGACTAACATGGAACAATAACTTTTATTTCAATCATTCGTTTGAGAGTCAGTGGTCTTTAGAAGTGAGAGGAGAGAGAGAAATGGGGTTTAACGTCCACTCGACACAAACTAGGTCATTTCAGGACTAACATATGGTTTAATTTTATTTACATAATTCGCTTGCGCATATGGGTCTTTAGCAGTGGGAAGAAACCGGAGGCCCCGGAGAAAACCCACGAGGTTGGACAGGCGACCCTACTCCTTGCCACGTACAACCGGGGATTCGAAACCACGCCAGTCGACTCAATGACAGACTTTATGATACAGCGCGCGCACGCTAATTCAGCCATCCAACCCCCCAGCATTTGGAGGAAAATGGAGGACGATTTAATGATTTCTAGAGATATGGTTCTTGTAACATCAGTGATTTCTGATAATAATCATTTCGTGATATCTTGTGAATGCCTTATCATCAAAAAGTTTCATCTGATCTGCTTGAGAGTGAGATAAAGAGAAATGGGGTTTAACGTCTACTCAACAAAAACTAGGTCATTTCGGGACTAACACACGACCCAATTGTATTTTAATAATTCGCTTGCACGTAGGGGTCATTAACAGTGGGGGGAAACCGGAGGACCCAGAGAAAACCCACGCGGTTGGACCAGTGACCCTACTCCTTGTTACGTACAACCGGGGAATCGAAACCACACTGGTTGACTCAATAACAGACCTTATGTTACAGCTTGCAAGTGCTAACCATTCAGGCATCCATCCCACCTTAATCTGTGTAAAACCTTGATTAATTGAATATTTATATATTAACAGAGTATGGTTAACGCTGTTCCTGTTTGTAGCTAGAGCGTTTATTTCTGGTGCTTTTCAAGCGGCATACGTCTATACACCTGAGGTAAAGTAGAATAATCAGATTATTATTTCTCTCACAAGATATCATGGGGATAGGCATGTTCCTGAAGTAACGAAGGCGAGTTTGACAGCATCTAACCATTGCTAGAGTAGTCAGAAATTCCTGAACGTATAGCTACGTTATCTCCCTTTAAAGGCTCAATACCACTCTTGTTGTAACTGAATAATATGTCCCAATCTTTATTCTGGTCAACAAATATTTCAATTAATTGATGATCAAATTTCATCTTAACACACCGTATTTAAAAATTTTGAAAAATTCAACATTAAGGTTTGAAACGTCTAACGTAAACCTTTTCAAATGAAACTTTGATTTAAAAATATTTTCGAACCCTCTGGACAAGTAAAATAGGATGTAATGGATAATTTACACAACAGGTAGGACACATAAACATCTAGTACTTAGATAGAGATATTATTTATTTTCTGGAGCTTTAAAGCCAGCAAGAGTGTTATTGTCCCTTTAATGCAGACATGTGAACAGAAGCTTTCAATCAGAGGTTGTGACACAAACACACTCAAATCAAACATAGTGACCTCCAGGAAACCTTGACATTGAACGAACCTTGAACTTTGCAACTCGATTATCACAGGTAGACATATTAGCTGGAATGTGCGAAACTTGGTATTCGTGATGATCAAGGAATCTGATAGACTCTCAAGCTGGGCTTGTACCCAATCGAAATTATTGCCGAAATATGCAGAGTATTACATGAAGGGTTTGATAAGATGTACAAAGATAAATCGAAATCAAGCCTTCTTTTGAAGATGGGGGCTAGGGATATATCCCTTCATGAAAGTAGCAAGACTAGACAAAGCCTTGACGATGTTAATTAAGTTGATTGACAAGTCGTAAAGGAGGGTTCTGAATTTACCTCATGCTATGATTGAAATCGGTATGATCCTATCAGATCTTATTATATATTGTTTTTAGTCGTAGCAATCGTGTTGATCGTATCGAAACATATCCGAATGTATCTGCACTTACCAGATCGTGGACTCAAAAGGAACAGTTCTATCGTAACGGATCGTCCTACAGTGGTAACCTAGCATTAGATTGCTGGTAAAGATGTTGTTATGTTTAATTACACTGTCTTGTTTGTTTTAACATAATTAGCAGTAAATCGTCAATTGTATAGCAGTATATTAGATTCAAGATTCAAGTTAGACGACAGCATGACTCAAATTTAGAATTTTGGATCTAATATGCCGCCATAAAATTTATGCCTAACATTGTCTTATGTATGGACTTGTTTACGTTATTATTTTGTTTCATATTTATTTGTTTTTATACGCCCACATTTTCATGTGGACATATATTGTTGTCGCCCCCGTCCGTCCGTCCGTCCGTCCACAATTGTTTGTGAACAGTCTACAGGTCGCAATTTTTATCCGATTTCAATGAAACTTGAAATATAGGTTTATCACCCTAAGATCTCGGTTCCTTTCGATATTGGCATGTATCGGACTGTAACTTCATGGATTATGGCCCCTGATTGTACGAAAAATCACGTTTTTAGCTTGTGAACACTGTAGAGGTCACAATTTTTATCCGATTTAGTTTAAACTTGGAATGTATGATTATAACCCAAAGATCTCGGTTCCTTTCGATATTCGCACATATCGGAACGTAACTTCCTGAATTATGGCCCCTGATTGTACGAAAAATCACGTTTTTAGCTTGTGGACCCTATAGAGGTCATAATTTTTATCCGATTTAAAAAACCGTATTATTATATCACCGTTACACCCTAAGGACGGCTGAGTAAAAATATGGTATATCAAGATTGTGGACCCTATAGAGGTCACAATTTTTATCCGATTTTGTTGAAACTTGAAATGTAAGTTTATAACCCAAAGTTCGTGGTTCCTTTCGCTATTCGCGCATATCGGACCGTAACTTCCCTGAATTATGGCCCCTGATTGTACGAAAAATCGCGTTTTTAGCTTGTGGACCCTATAGAGGTCATTATTTTTATCCGATTTAAAAAAACGTATTATTATTTCACCGTTACACCCTAAGGACGGCTGAGTTCGAATTTCGTGAAAATCGGCCCAAAACTGACAGACAAAATGGACGCCCTTCGTTCTCAAATAGCGTAAAAATATGGTACATTGTATATCAAGGTTGTGGACCCTATAGAGGTCACAATTTTAATCCTATTTTGATGAAACTTGAAATGTAAGTTTATAACCCAAAGATCTCGGTTCCTTTCGATATTCGCGCATATCGGAACGTAACTTCCTGAATTATGGCCCCTGATTGTACGAAAAATCACTTTCTTTTTAGTTTGTTCTCTATCCGTCTCTCGAAAATGTGGGCGTATCCTGCCTGGCAGCCGCTGGTTATAAGAGTATTATGAAATGTAAAATGTATTTTGTATATTTTAGATTTATGCCTGACATTGTCTTATGTTTCATAGTTATTTATTTTTAAGAGTAATATAAAATATAAAATGTGTTTTTTAGATTTATCCTACATCAATGAGAGCTTTAGGTCTGGGTGCTTGTAGTGGTATGGCAAGAATAGGGGCTATAGCTACACCTTTTGTAGCACAGGTAAAGTTTTTATATTATAATCTTATTCAAATAACATGGCAATTTCATTGTGTTATTGTAGTCATGGTGACACAGTGGAAGAGGTGCTGCCTCACTAAGCAAGATGTTCCAAGGTTTTTTCTGGTTGGGTTTCCTCCATCATTAGTGCAAGATGGAGGGCCTGGCCAAGAAAAGTGTCTAGTAGTTCAGACAGGACAAAAACCCAAAGTCTTTTGTATACAGTTGGCGGGGCGGGGTGGATGGCTGAATGGTTAGCATGTGCGCACTGTATCATAAAGTCTGTCATTGAGTCAACTGGCGTGGTTTCGATTCCTCGGTTGTACGTGACAAGGAATAGGGTCGCCTGTCCAACCTCGTGGGTTTTCTCTGGGCCCTCCGGTTTCCTCCCACTGCTAAAGACCCCTACGCGCAAACGAATTATGGATATAGAATTGAACCATATATTAGTCCCGAAATGACCTAGTTTGTGTCGAGTGGACGTTAAACCCCACCTCTCTCTCTCTGTCTCTCTGTATACAGTTGAAAGTTAGAATAAGAGGAATCTGTATGTGATATGCCTGTCTTAGACCGGTTGTGGGGGGCGTTAAATCATATGGCCTGTCATATGGGTTTTTTCCGGGTCCTCCACTTTCCTCCCATAGCCAAATTCCCCTACGCACAGGCTAATTATCGAAATAAAAAAAACTGAACCGTGTGTTAGTCCTGAATGACCTAGCTTGTATCGAGTGGGCATTAAACCCCATTTCACTCTCTTAGACAGTTCGGAGCAAAACAGTAGGACGTTAAACCCTATTTCATTTCCATTTCTCTCTAAGTTCATTTCATTTCATTTCATTTCATTTCATTTCATTTTCATTTCCATTTCATTTCATTTCATTTCATTTCATTTCATTTCTTTTCATTTCTTTTCATTTCATTTTCATTTCATTTTCTTTCATTTCCTTTCCTTTCCTTTCCTTTCCTTTCCTTTTTCCTTTTCTTTTCTTTTCTTTTCTTTTCTTTTCTTTTCTTTTTCATTTTATGTTTGAAGAGCTGCATGTATTAAGTGTATATTAAAGACCCGCTTGTAATTGTGTGCCGTGAAAGTACATCCAGATTTTCCGACGTGGTTTCCCCTTGTCAGTGGTGCAGAATGGAGGGCCTGACAAGGACAGCTGTCTAGTCCTTCATTTATTTTCATTTTCATTTTCAATTTCAATTTCAATTTCAATTTCATTTTATGTTTGAAGAGCTGCATGTATTAAGTGTATATTAAAGACCCGCTTGTAATTGTGTGCCGAGAAAGTACATCCAGATTTTCCGACGTGGTTTCCCCTTGTCAGTGGTGCAGAACGGAGGGCCTGACAAGGATAGCTGTCTAGTCCTTCTGATGAGACGAAAAATCGAGGCCCTGTGTATATATTAGAATGCACGTAAAAGATCCCCTGGCAGTTGGAATTCGATATAAGAGTAGCCCGTAGCGCTGCTCCCCAGGCACAATTTCCCTCATAGCACGCTGTATGGCATATACCCGTCTTCATTAGCCCAGTATAGGAGCAGAACAGAAGGACGTTAAACCCCATTTCATTTCATTTCATTTCATTGTAATTATGTTTGTATATTGAATACCTGCTTGTATATTGTATATTATGTGTATATATTTGTAGGTTTTATTGAAGACGTCACCGTATTTATCTATATCTATATATGGTACTATGTGTTTAATAGCCACAGTAGCTTCGTTATTGTTACCAATAGAAACAAAGGGCAGGGAAATGGAGGTAATATATATTTCTTTATTCCTTAATTCTAACACTGCTCTGGACTAGGGTCAGCTGTCTGGATATACAGGTCTATCTGATCTGTACTAGGGTCACCTGTCTGGATATACAGGTCTATCTGATCTGCCAACTGCCTGGGTATACAGGGGTTTTTATCATCCCACTGAAACACATAATATGAAGTATGGTAACACCATATTGTGTTAGTTCGAGTGAGTATAGATCGTCTCCAATGATTCTGCCTATGGATTTTTCAATTTAATTTCTTGTTGTCGGTGGTGCAGGTATGAGGTCTTGGCGATGAAAAGTTTGGTCTAACGCGTGCACTTTAATCTATAGGCATTTAGACATGTTGCGTAGTTTGGATCTAAAACTTATACATCTACCTAATCTCGTGGGGTTTCTCCTCCCACGACTAGCACCATTATGCTCAAGCATATTACATTAAACTCAATTTCTCTCTCTCCCACACATACAGAATTCTTTTCTATTTGTATATGCCTACATGAAAATGTGGTTGTATATTGCTGTCGCCGGGTCAGTCCGTCCGTCGTCACACAATGTCTTGTTGACTCTCTACAGGCTACATTTATCATCTGATATTGTCTGGAAATGCCCCCCCCCCCCCACACACACACACCACTACTACCAACAAAAGAATAAATATGCGACAACTCAGGCGATTTACCTGCTGTGGGCGTATTTTTTGTTGCCTGGCACCCTATCTTTATGATACAGAAAAGTTTTCAAGTAATTCAAAGAGGTATTCATTTTATTTTAAATTGTTTTCAGGATACAAGTCAACAGGCGGTGAAGAAAGAATCAAAAGATAAATCATAAACCAGGAATCTATAACATTTTATTATTAAATTAATCTGAATATCGTAAAATATAGATTCCCACGAAAATATTAATTACGCTAATTGAATCAAGTTGAATATATAAACCAGGAATCTTTAACTTTTTACTATTGATAGATTATTTAAAGATTCTTTACCTTTTTATTATTGAACTAAGTTGAATATCTTAAAGATAGATTCCCATGATAATATTTATTCCATTTATTGAATCAAGTTGAATATATAAAGAAAGTTTAAGGTATATTCGAACTTAGTTTGACAAAATTAAACGAATCAGGTAAAAGAAAAACCATGTAATAGAAAGATTCAGATCTTAAACCATCTAACTTGTTTATTATTTTATCGAATCAAGTTGATTAATTTACGTATTTAAACCCTAGCGTAAAACCTTTATTCTTCATCTACATTTCAAATCTATTTTACATCTTATAACCAAATTCACAATTTTTCAACATGAAATGAATGCATTAGGATTTTGTGGTCCATTTTTTAGTTGGTATATTTTATTAAGTATAATTATTAAAAATGGGGCTAGATCCGTTAAACTTTTGTCTACTTAGCCTTAGATTTAAAACAGGGGCTAGAACCTTTAAACTTTTGTCTACTTAGCCTTAGATTTAAAACTAATTTTAACACTTTAGCACTTGGATGTCCGTATAACTAGGGCTGCTTAGATATCGCCCTACACAGCCCAGCTTCATGTGGAGATCTGTGACACCTCTAAGATGTATTATACGATCCTACAATTAAACCACTGGAAACTAGGGCTGTTTATCGCCCTACACAGCCCAGCTTCATGTGGAGATCTGTGACACCTCTAAGATGTATTATACGATCGTACAATTAAACCACTGGAAACTAGGGCTGTTTATCGCCCTACACAGCCCAGCTTCATGTGGAGATCTGTGACACCTCTAAGATGTATTATACGGTCCTACAATTAAACCACTGGAAACTAGGGCTGTTTATCGCCCTACACAGCCCAGCTTCATGTGGAGATCTGTGACACCTCTAAGATGTATTATACGATCCTACAATTAAACCACTGGAAACTAGGGCTGTTTATCGCCCTACACAGCCCAGCTTCATGTGGAGATCTGTGACACCTCTAAGATGTATTATACGGTCCTACAATTAAACCACTGGAAACTAGGGCTGTTTATCGCCCTACACAGCCCAGCTTCATGTGAAGGTCTGTGACACTTCTAAAATGTATTATACGGTCCTACAATTAAACCACTGGAAACTAGGGCTGCTTAGATCGCCCTACACATGTGAATATTGGTGGCGCCTCCAACAACTATCTTGAGGCAGTATAAGGAACAGTGGTTTCAGGGTGTCCAGGGATGGATATAAAGATATGAAATATATCGGTGGTTTCAGGGTGTCCACGGATATAAAGATATGATATATATCAGTGGTTTCAGGGTGTTCGGGGATATGAAATATATCAGTAGTTTCAGGGTGTACGGAGATATAAAGGAATGAAATGTATCGGTGTTCCCTAGTTTTCATCAAGAAATCAGGGCAGTCAGTGCTAAAGGGTCAATAATATTACTTGTGATATATTTTTGGAATTCTCCTTTCGTGGTATCTATTCACAGTGGAAATAGATTTCCATCAATTACAGTCTCTAGAAATCATGGATTACATTAAAACAAAAATATTGTTTACAAATTTTATCTTAAAACAGAAAGTGATGGAAATGTATTAAGTAATATTTAAGTTGTACAAAATAAAATTTAAGTACGGGTACTTATTATCTTGAGTAAAAGTTGATTAGAAAATTGATTAAAGAAGGTAGTGAGATCTGACACATTTCATCCTTACAGCTCTCTTCACACAAATCAAAATATCTTGTTTGTCTACTACACTCTGATCCATCTGATGTAACAACCCTAGGCCCTATTAATGGGGGGGGGGGTTGGATGGCTGAATGGTTAGCGTGCGCACGCTGTATCATAAAGCCTGTCATTGAGTCGACTGGCGTGGTTTCGAATCCCCGGTTGTACGTGACAAGGAGTAGGGTCGCCTGTCCAACCTCGTGGGTTTTCTCCGGGTCCTCCGGTTTCCTCCCACTGCTAAAGACCCCTATGCGCAAGCGAATTATTGAAATAAAATTAAACCATATGTTAGTCCCGAAATGACCTAGTTGTGTCGAGTGGACGTTAAACCCCATTTCTCTCTCTCTCTCTCCTATTAATGGGCAGGATGTTTTGGTTTGAGTGCGTGTACAGGGCCGGTGCAGTGTAACCTTCGTGTTCTATTGTAATCTCAATTTTTACAATTTATTTTTTTTATCTAACCCTTTGTACCTGGATGATCTAGGACAGTATTATACAAAGTACAAGTAAGACATGTGGTTAATTCTACTTTCACTTTCTATCATGGAGACGTGTTCACATGTGCGGTTAATTCTACTTTCACTTTCTATCATGGAGACGTTTTCACATGTGCGGTTAATTCTACTTTCACTTTCTATCATGGAGACGTGTTCACATGTGCGGTTAATTCTACTTTCACTTTCTATCATGGAGACGTGTTCAGTAATCCGCTCTCCCTAACCCTTCAGCAACCTGAAGATCCAAGTTGTCATTGTACAAAGTGCTAGGATGGCTTGAGCATGTGTGGTTAAGTCTACTTTTATTTTGTACTATGGCGGCCTATTCCCTTGAATATAGGGACAAACAAGATCCCATGACACAATTCATGGATATTTATTTTAAGTGATAGTTCGTTATGGTTTAACGGTTATTAAGCATATTGCCCAAATAGACTCTTAGAGAAATTTCTAATAACAAGATTACTGATTGGTCAATATAAAGGTGCCCAAACAGACTTAGAAAATTCTAGTAACAAGATTGCTGATTGGTCAATAAAGGTGCTCATAAAATTAATGCATATTTCAGGCACTAGAGTTTGAAGGGATTAAGGAAATATTTATATGTTAGTTATAGTAATTGCGTAATTTCTATAACAATTTCATAGCTTCGTGTATTTATAATTTCTATAACCAGTTTGATAGCTTGGTGTATTTATAATAACTTTGTAAAGCCACATAATGTTTTGTATAATTTTTAAATATTATTTTATTTCTTGGAATATATTACTTTGATGTTATATCAAATAATATGTGTTCAGTGACTTTCCGTTCTCGAGTCATCAAATTTGTTAAACATCGTTTCGGTTATGCTGCAGGTGATACGAAGCTTCGGTATGGGTGTATTTCCAAGCTTTGGGTGGCTATTGTTTTTATCTTAATATGTAAATGTCTTAATCAAATATGATGTGTTCACTTTGATATCAAACAATGTTTATGTTTTGTATAGTATAGTCACTTTAGTTTAAGCGAGCACATAACAGAACAATATTTTGTTTATTTGAATTAACGGAACAAAATTTGTTTTTAAAAAAATTTTGAGTACATGGAACAATATTTTGAGTAAACTGAACAATATTTTGAGTACATGGAACAATATTTTGAGTACATGGAACAATATTTAGAGTACAGGGAACAATATTTTGTTCATTTTGAGTACAGGGAACAATATTTTGTTTATTTTGAGTACACAGAACAATATTTTGTTTATTTTGAGTAGAGAGAACAATATTTTGAGTAGAGGGAACAATATTTTGAGTAGAGGGAACAATATTTAATATCAGGTTAGCAACACAACATTCTATACATGTTTGATTATGGGAACAAATCTCTGGTTTTATTATACTTATGTCAAACCATTAACAACCCAACCCTAACCCTAACCCTAGCAGGTCAGAAACATGTCTTATGTCAAACCATTAACGTCACACAGGTCAGAAACATGTCTTACAGGCTGTGTTTCTAAAAAGAACATTGCTTTTTTGTTCATTGAAAATGGTGTAAATAGTTATAAATGTTAGTTTCTATCCAGAACACGCATTCCTAGTTCAGGGGAAAACGTGTCTTGTACATGTTGTACTTAACAAAGATACGCGTTGAAATGTTGTACTTATAAATTAAATCAGAGATTGTTTCCCTTTAACGGGGGTGGGGGGTGGATGGCTGAATGGTTAGCGTGCGCGCGCTGTATCATAAAGTCTGTCATTGAGTCGACTGGCGTGGTTTCGAATCCCCGGTTGTACGTGACAAGGAGTAGGGTCGCCTGTCCAACCTCGTGGGTTTTCTCTGGTCCTCCGGTTTCCTCCCACTGCTAAAGACCCCTTTGCGCAAGCGAATTATTTAAATAAAATTAAAAACCATATGTTAGTCCCGAAATGACCTAGTTGTGTCGAGTGGACGTTAAACCCCATTTATCTCTCTCTCTCTGTTTCCCTTTAAAGTTGTATTCTGTTAATGGGTTTCTCATTCGCTAACTGCCACTTGGAGATCCATGTATAATTACTTGTATTGAAGTAAGCAGTTCCGACTTGTTTCTTTTTAATATATATGTATATATTGCTTAAAGCATTCCCTATTGGCTACAATTATTATTATCATCATCATCATTATCATTATCATCATCATCATCAAATGACATTGTTTAAATTAATTAAAGGAGAACTCTGGCCATTGCAGATATTTTATACATTATCTACTATCAATAGAGTATCAACAATGCTCAGTTCAACAAATCATGTCGCCTTTAAATAAAAAAATTTTGAACACACCAATAATGTTCTGTATAAGAGGAAACAGTCATTTATACTCCTTGTACGATACATAAAAAGTTAAATGTAAAATATTCAACGTATAAATTAAACATTATATAATTGACATGAAGCGATTGAAAGAAAAACAGAGTAGATATGATAAAATGATAAAACAGCTGTTTAACAACTGTAATAGATAGATTGTAGATTGTCATTAATTAATTCATTAATTAATTCATACAAGATTAATTTTCATAAATAACTGATAATGTCATCCATGCTTCACTAATAATAATAATGATAATAATCGTTTTCTATAGCGCTGAACATTCAGTAAATCTGACACATCCATAAAACCAACAGTGGGATCATCTTCAATAGAAGACTTGATCTCGCTTTAACTACATACATCTTATCAAGGTCTTCACGCCAATACCCTACATATCTCAGCACTAAATTCGATTGGGTACAAGCCCAACTTGTGAGCCTATCAGATTCCTCAATCGTCGCGAATACCAGGTCTCGCGATTTCAAGCTAAAATGTCTACCTGTGATAATCGAGTTGCAAAGTTCAAGGTTCGTTCAATGTCAAGGTTTCCGTGGAGGTCGCGATGTCACAACCTCTGATTGGATGCTACAGCTGCCATGTCTGTAGATAACATAGCTATAAGTTTGGAAATTGTGAAGTAAACAAGCAACGGCCAGATGTTATGAAACACGCAGTAGTTGCTTCAGGAACATGACATGGGATAGGCTTTTCCTACCTTGTCTGATGAAATGTGAAAATTTAAAAAAGCATTAGTGTTTTCAAAGTTTTTGTCTGTTGTTAATTTTAATAATGTTGTTGTTTGTATGTGATTTGACTATATAAATACATTGAGCTCGTTGAAATATGCCAAGCGATCAGTGCTGTATGATTTTTTTTTATATATTTTGGGGGTTTAAGTTCATCAGCCGTAAAAAAATACTTAAGTGGTGATCAAAGTCTTTAAAGTCATATGTTAAAATCCTTTTTTGATTTGGCTATTAAATTAATAGGACACGTTCAAATATGCTAAGTGATCGCTGTGGTTTGAACATTTTTTTATTCAAATTTATGAGCCGTATGTACAAGTTGTTTTTCAAGGAGTGAAGCAAACTGTGAAGAATTCCCTACTTTAGTCAAGTTTAATTTTAGTTTAAAGATGCGATATCATTTGAAATTAAAAACATTTATTGTCATGATTTCATATACCAGTATATCTCCTAGCTTGAGTATGTTAACGCAATAATTGTTTTATTAATTCTGTTTACGTGTGTATATCTGATATAAATCAATATTTGTACGAGATACTCTGTATAACATTCCTTATCAATCTTATTAAAACACAGATCCTATTTCGTTTCGTTTTTTATAGTTCAAAATTTCGTATAACTTGTCTTTACTACACAAGGATCTGGAAGAGTTGTTATCATTGACGTGTTCTGGATGATGTGAGGGATTGGCCACAGCAAGTTTTTGGTGTGAGGTGCACGGAACTGTTGGTAACCCACTAGAAACATCAATGTTGATTGGTTAATCAAATGTCTGACGTCATGATCAGATCTTCATGTAGTGTAGGCCATCGAAAGTATTAAAAAAAAACGAAACGAAATATAGATGTGTTTTTTAATTACATTGCTTCCTTATGAACATCTTCAACATTTCCTGTCTCTTAATAAATTTTTATTGGGTTTTTTTTTTTGGTTAAAGAAATTATATATAAATCTATATAAAGGTTGTTGTTGTGTATTCTTGTGATCATATAAAAATTAATATTGTTGAATTTAAAAATATTTCTTGTTATTTTGTCATTCCAATGTATAAAGATTTTCTGATATATGAGTAATTTATGTAATTTATTATTTTTGATATTTGTAAAATGTTTCGTTTATTCTATTTATAAATTGCCCATTGATTTGTAAGAAAGACTTTGATATCAACGTAATCAGTTGGATGATACAAGCAGCAGAAAGATAACGTCTGTTGTTGGTTTACAATGATAAAGGCTAATTATACAGTAAAATCAATATCAATCACTTTATTATACACACAATGTTTCAACAATATTTCACCAGTCGTTATCAAGAAAATCCCTCCCAAAATCAATCCGATTACAACACAGATCTCATTTCATTTCGTTTTTTTTATAGTTCAAACTGTCGTTATACTTGTCTTCACAACTCTAGGATTTGGAAGAGTTGTTATCATTGACATGTTCTGGATGTGAGGGATTAGCCAATGACATGGTCTGTTACGGCAAGCTTTTGGCGTGAGGTTCACAGAACTGTGGGTAGTCCACTAGAAACATCAATACTGATTGGTTAATCAAATGTCCGACATCATATGGTCAAAAGCCGCTTGTATAACCTCGGATGCAACCTTCCACAACCTTCATGTAGTGTAGGCCATCTAAAGTATAAAAAAAGAAACGAAATATAGATCTGTATTTTAATCAGATTGGCCCAAAATAAAAATAAATTGTATGCTTGATAACGACCAGTGATGCTTGATAACGACCAGTGATGCTTGATAACGACCAGTGATGCTTGATAACAACCAGTGATGCTTGATAACGACCAGTGATATTTTGTTGAAATGTTGTGTGTATATGATATAGTAATTGTTATCCATAGAACTGTGTCGTGTTATAAAATGTTGTGTATATAATTTAGTGATAGTTATATATCCTTAGAACTGTGTTGTGTTATGTAACTTCTGTTGGAAGTCTGCAATATGTTAATACAATAATATATCAGACAAATTTTAAACTTGAACCATATAGAGAGATTTATTTATAAATGGTACATAAAAGAATCTCATAACTGTGTGTTATATCGGACGTAACTTATTAAATATTAAAACTGTACGATCAATATATTGAAACATCGGTCAGACATCCGATGGAGATCCACCAATCTTCAGTGTTTACCATCCTTGGTCTCCCAAGTGGTCTTATTCCATTCTACTCATTTATACCCTTGGTTCATCCAGGGGATATTCACATATTCCAATTATCTGCGAACCAATCAAAAAACAGTTTACAGACCAGTCTTGGCCTCATTGCTTACGTTTTTGCAACAAGATGACTGTTACTTCCCTTTGCCAACTTCCTTTGTATTTAACAATGTTTTTGATTGGTCAATAAAAATAGCACAATCATCAAGGGCAGATAATTTACTCCCCCATAGATTAACCCAGGGGTTAGTGGAGTGGAGCGGAATGATATTGGGGATATCTGTTTACTAATTCAACTGGAAAACCCCAGGACATGATTTTATGATATACATTAATTACTACCGAGTATTTATTACTGAGCGATGTTCCATGACATTCCGGAGTACCGGTACATGTATTTATTACTGAGCGATGTTCAATGTCATTATGGACTACATGTATTTATAAGGTTGAAAACAGTTTAATATTTATTTATTTCATCGAATACATCTAATTAAATATAATCAACTTATAATCTAAAATTTTAACTGTAACAAGATTTATTTATATTTATTTTTGTTCATCTTATTATCTAAATATCTTAATCAAATATGATGTGTTTACACGTCCAAAATATATCTTATTTGGATACCCAGCTTCATGGGTTTTCTCAGGGTTCTCAAGACCCCTATGCACATGCAAATTATTGAAATAAAGTTTACCATATTTGTACCGCAATGACCCTAGTTAAACCCCGTTATTAAACATACATTATGCAAGAGCTAAATCTGCCTATTGCAGGTCTTTCTTTAGGCCTGATATGTTATCTAAATTATTAATTAGACATTAATTAACTTATCCAGACCATAATCAACTCTTGGTGGCATCGAGAGCCTGCGTTGTTTATTGGATTAGGTTCCGATGTGCTGTTCGACTTCCATTCATAATTTAATCATGAAATGGATAATCAAGACTATGTTTTTTATCCTACCGACTTCAGTAATGATGGAGTCTAGGCCGAAAATTCAATCGCTAAAATCTTGGTTCATAGTGGATCAATTTAACTGAACATTTCAGCAAATTCCCTTTACATTATCTAGTTTTTAACTATTATAGTGAAAACTGCCAGCTCTTTATCTAATCTCCCATAATGTATCTTTAATTTATTATTAGCAGACTTCAACATCAAAATATTGCAGTAGGAAATTGGTTAAATAAGCTTCTATTACCTTTATTAGTTTAGCATTACCGATATTAACCAACAATATCACTTTGTAATGATTTGTTTTTGGTCATGAACCAATACATTTGTAAGATGTACATTTGGAATAATTAAGAGGTGTTTGTTTTCTCTATGTGAAAAATTTAAGCTTGTTTGTTGTCTATATTTGAATAATGAAGGGAAACCATTAGCTTGTTTTAGTATCCTAGGAATAATATAAATCAATAATTAACAGTTATTTATTCTTGTTGTATGTAATCATGTGTAAAAGATACTTTATAATAAACATACATTATGCAAGAGCTAAATCTGACTATTGCAGGTCTCTCCTTAGGTCTGAAATGTTTTATAAACTATGAATTAGACATTAATCAAAAATGCTTTATCCAGGGGATGAATCTGCCTATTGCAGGTCTTTATTTTGGTCTGAAATGTTATATAAATTATTAATTAGACAGTAATTAACTTATTCAGACCATAATCAACTCTCATGGACATCAGATACTCGAAATTTTAACTAGATTAGAACGGTTAGAACATTTATTAACATGACAAACCTATAATTAGACATTAATTAACCTATCCATGACAAACCTATAATCAACTCTCTAGATCATCGGATGACTGCGATTTATAGGGATTATAAAAATTGCCATTTAATAATTTAATTTAAAAATGGATAATCTAGACTGAGTCGCGATTGTCAAGTAAATTTTCTATAATAAACCATCTGCGCTACATCTTCACATACTGATATCTTCGCACAGAATTCAATTTTCAATATATTCTATTTTTGAACTATTATAACAAGAACGGACAGCTCTTTTTCTAAATCTTACATAATGTATCTTTAACTCGACGTAATTAATCTGCTATCAAACCATTTTGTGTTCATCTATTAATGTTAGTAAATTTATATATTTATTGTATTTTTTTATTGTTTCTGTTTCAAATATACAGTGTAATATTTTAATTTTTGATTTGTAATACCATAATAATTTTTATTTCTTTATAGGCAATTTGTTTATTGCATTACGTTTTTGATTTTTCATTAGCATTCCACTTTTACTTCTTCATTAGCATTCCATTTGGCTTTTTTTTTGTTCTCCAATTGAATCTACTTAATATATGAATAACTGGGATATAGATAGATTTACATTTTATTTTCAACATTTTTGGTTATTTTCAAAGTTAGTTTAGATTTACATTTTATTTTGAATATTTTTGGCTATAATCAAAGTCAATGGTATTAAACAATAAACTGGTGTTAGTATTTGAAATATAATTATATAGCTATTAGTTTAGTTGGGTTACACTTTAGATGATAAGGTTGTCATTGAGTCAAGTGGTATGGTTTTGATGTACATCACCAGGTGGGTCTCTTGCCCAACTTTGGGTTTTTTCTCTAGGTCCCCTGTTTTCTGGGTTTCCTGTTTTCTTCCCACTGCTAAAGACCCCTGTGTGCTTGTCTAAATGACCATATCTTATTTTAACATTGCCATATAAACTATGACATTAACCATATTATCAGGGGCCCAACACTGATCCTTGTGGAACACCAGTTGTAAAACAGAACTTTACAAACTCTTATTATTTTATTCAATGCTCTCATTGCTATTGGGCCATGAAAGTTTAAATCTAGCTAGATTTAGTCATTATTAAATATGCCCAGATTTCTTATTCCCATTTGAGGTTTTTTTGTGGCAACTTTGGTTTTCCCTAGTTTCTGAAAATACCACTTGGTTGTTTATTAGGCCATATTAAAGTCTGTGATTAATTAGATATATTATTGATGTCTGTGATGAACAAATTATTATGTAAATGTTTGTGCATGTGTAAATAAAAGCCTGTCAATACGGTAAAAGGTCTATGTCTTTATATTCGATAAAACGGGAAGCGTAGTGGCGCAGTGGGTAGACATCTGTGTCTTTCTATTATAGCGTGGTTCTCCCTTGTCAGGGGGTTGGATGGCCGAATGGTTAGCACGTTCGCACTGTATCATAAGGCCTGTCATTGAGTCAACTGGCCTGGTTTCGAATCCCCGGTTGTACTTCACAAGGAGTAGGTTGCCTGTCCAACCTAGTGGGTTTGTCCCTGAGTCCTCCGGTTTCCTCCCACTGCTAAAGACCCCTACACGCAAGCGAATTAATGAAATAAGATTAAAACCATATGTTAGTCCCGAAATGACCTTAGTTGTGTCGAGTAGACGTTAAAGCCCATTTCTCTCTCTCTCTCCCTTGTCAGTGATGCAGGATGGAGGACCTGACAAGGATAGCTGTCTAGTTGTTCGGATGGGACAAAAAACCGAGGTCCCGTGTACACATTGGCATGCATGCAAAAGATCCCTTGACAGTTGGAATTCAATATAAGAGTAGGCTGTAGTGCCGCTGTCTGGGCAAAATTTCCCTCATAATACACTCTATGGACGTTAAACCTCATTTCATTTAATTTCTTTCTATTATATAATGTTGGCGCTGTAGTATCTTCATTAGAAGACTTGATCTCGCTTTAACAAGCCCTTCCCATAATACCCTGCATACTTCGTCACTAATTTCGATTGGCTATTGACCCAGCTGGGGACCTCTCAGATTCCTTGATAGAAAATATTATCGGAAATACCAAGTCTCGCGCTTTCCAACTAAAATGTCTACCTGTGATAATTGAGTTGCAAATTTCACGGTTCATTCAATGTCAAGTTTTCCGTGTTTGATTTGAGTGTGTTTGTGCCACAACCTCTGATTGGACAATGCTATTGTTCACGTGTCAGTGGTAAAGAGAGATAACATTCCTATAAGTTCGTGAATGTCCGACTAATTTAGCATCGGCTAGATGTAATAAAACTTGTGGCCGTTGCTTCTGGAACATGGAGAGAGAGAGAGAGAAATGGGGTTTAACGTCCACTAGACACAAACTAGGTCATTTCGGGACTAACATATGGTGTCTTAAGCAGGGGGGGGGGGGGGTCCGGAGAAAGATGACCCTACCCCTTGTCACGTACAACCAGTTGACTCAATGACAGATTTAAAATATAAGAAATTCTCCACCTTCTAAATAAATAAAGTGATTATTATTATTACTATTATTATTATTTAGCTTATACAGAGATTATTGCATTAGTAATGTTTTGATATGATGGTCATTCAGGTCTAGTCTAGAAGTGAATAGTTCTCTGTATGTGTGTAGAATGGGGGTATGACAGTCTTAATAAGCTGGTTAATTGGAGCAGAACAGTTAAACGTATATGATTTCATTGATTGATTGATGAGAAAGTACGCCATACCAACACAATCTGGTTAAAACACAGATCGTATTTCGTTTCGTTTTTATAGTTCAAAATTTCGTTTTACTTGTCTTTACTACACTTGGATCTGGAAGAGTTGTTATTTAACTCGTGTTCTGAATGGTCTCAGGGATAAGCCAATGAAACGGTCTGTCACGGCGAGCTTTAGGCGTGTTTTTCACGGAACTGTGGGTGATTTACTAGTAACATCAATGCTGATTGGTTAATCAAATGTCTGACGTCATAGGTCAAAAGTCAGTCTTTTGACCCCTGACGTGACATATCGCTATAACTTGTCAGATCTTCAGGTGGTGTAGTCCATCGAAAGTATAAAAAAACTAAACGAAATATAGATCTGTATTTTAATCAGATTGTCATACCAACACTAGGCTATTTATATATAACTACATGTTTACTGCTAACGGTGTTTATTATAGATTCACAGATCGCTTAATGTTCACGGCAAGTTGGATACACCTCCACTGGTGGTTACCTAACTAGAACATTCTCTACAGTTTCAGTTGACCATAACAGGTAAGCGTTATTACATTTTTTTTAATCCTGCAATTAAAGCACCCGTTAAGTACATTGTCATGCACAAATTAGGGTTGTTTTCTGTGTTATAATTATAAAAAACTAAAATTCATTGGACGCTTATGGCTGGCCTCCGGATCCATTCACTTTATTTCTTGCAAAGTTTGTCGTGTCCACAGGTTCTTTATGTTTTGCTTTTGTGTGGTGCCATTGTAACCAGGGTATTATTTAATCTTCTGTACCTAGCACTAATTTCTTTCACATTCATTGAATATCAAATCTTTGTTTTAAAATTCGTAAAAATCTTTTATAAATCATTTTAAAATAATTTGTACTTGTGTCCAGTTTAAAGCTGACCATTCAATTTTGATAATGAGTGTCCAGTTAACAGGCGTTTAATTTCTGTTAAAAACTAAAAACAAATCAATTGATTATTGATGTATAATGATTAATTTTTGAACAGGGGTCGGGGAATTAAATACTTGTAAACCGAACACTCATTATCAAAATTAATCAGTCAGCTTTAAACCGGACACAGGTGCAAATTCCATTATTTTGGGTGATTTTAAATGATTTTAACAAATTTTTAAAAGAAGATTTGATATTAAACGAATGTGAAAGAAATTAGCGCTAGGTACACAAGATTAAATGAAACCTGGGTTACAGTTTGCGGTTCTGCTACACTTACTAGTGAAAATAGAGGGGGGGGGGGATGTCCGAATGGCCGAATGGTTAGCATGTGCATATTGAGTCAACCGCCTTGGTTTCGATTCCCCGGTTGTACGTGACAAGGTGTATGATTGCCTGTCCAACCTCGTGGGTTTTCTCCGGGTGTTCCGGTTTTCTCCTACTGCTGAAATTATTGAAATAGAATTGAACCATGTGTTAGTCCCAGAATGACCTAGTTTGTTTCGAGTGGACGTTAAACCCCATTTCTCTCTATATATATATATTTAAAATATTTATAACATAGGGAGAGGGGTTTTACGTTGGTTAAACCTGTTCCCCAATCCCATTCAGATACCATGAATAAAAATATTGTTTAAATAAAACCCTTTTTGATTTGTTTTTTCTGAATGAAATATCCATGTACCCAAATATGGGAATAAAATTTAACAATTGTAATTTTTTACAGATCTGTAGACAATTGTAAAATGGGAAGTTTCGGAGGTCACGCTCTCCCGGGATCTTTTTTCTTTGCCCTTGGTCTGTGGCAGACTGTACAATCTTTTCGTAGATATCACCGATGTCGAAACAGCAAGGGAAGGTTTAAAAGTTCGACCTGGTATCCTGCTGGGTCCTGTTGTAAGCAATTAAAAGACTTTCCTGTGGAACCCTGCGTAAAAGTTTTAATGTGTTTAGTCGGCTTTATCGGAACAATAATGCACGCAAAGAATTTCAACGAAATTTTACACGATCCTATGAACGAACAACATATGACGATGTACTTATTTTTTGGATTAAATGGCGTTTTAGAGATTTTGACTCATTTCAATCTGACCTTCTCTGTGTATATCAACCATATAAGTTTGGCATCGGCCTATTTCGTGGAATTTATTTTATTTAAATTTCATCTACACGGTCGAACTGGTGTGGACAATTTGCTACATATATTATTGCTGTATGTGATCTGTGCTTCCATGTTCGCGGTGATCTATATGATGCGATACCCCTCGCATATCTTACCCTCGTTAATGCACAGCTTCTGTTTGATACTACAAGGAACCTGGTTTTGGGAAATAGGATTTGTTTTGTATAATCCGGTACTCGGAGCGCAAAAATGGCACGGAGACAGCCATGACGATATGATGCTGGCAACTTGTCATTTTGCGTGGCATTTTGGGGTCGTATTGCTTTCGGTGTTGTTGATTGGCTGGATTATTTCATATTTTAATCCCTTGTTCCATAAAAGTTTGAGTAGAAATGAGGCAACGCAAAAACTAATTCCTGATGGAAATTCTGGTTACCATGACGATATGTGTGTAATAGAAGAAGTAGATGAGAGTGATGAATAAAATGAAATTATTAAAAATGTATTTATGTAAGAGGCAGATCTTTAGTTTGACTTCAGATGTTAGATTAGGGGGTGGGGATGGGGCGAATGGTTAGCACGTGCGTGCTGTATCATAAAGTCTGTCATTGAGTCAACTGGCGTGGTTTCGAATCCCCAGTTGTACGTGACAAGGAGTAGGGTCGCCTTTCCAACTTCGTGGGTTTTCTCCGGGTCCTCCGGTTTCCTCCCACTGCTAAAGACCCCTACGCGCAAGCGAATTATTGAAATAAAATTGAACCATATGTTAGTCCCGAAATGACCTAGTTTGTGTTGAGTGGACGTTAAACCTCACCTCTCTCTCTCTCCCTCTCTCTCAGATGTTAGACATTTATTCACATGACAAGCCTATAATCAAATCTCTAGAATATCGGATGCCTGAGATTTCAATGGATTTAAGCATTTGCAAGATTTAAAAATTTAACAATAAAATGGACAATCAAGGCTAAGGCTCGTAAGTCAAGTACTGTTGCTACAATAATAAACAATCATAACTTGGCTCAGAGTAAAGTAATTTGAATGAAATTTTCAGTATATTCATTATGCAATATCTATTTTCGAACTATTATAGCAAGAATGTCCAGCTCTTTGTCTAAATCTTATATAATGCATCTTTAAGCATGACTATAATTTGCAGTCCAATGTTTTTGCAAAGTTTTATATGATGCTTCTGCCTACTACGTGTGAAACTGTTACCCACCACTGAACCTGGGGGTCCTGTTTCACGAAATTTTAACTAAAGATAAAATCAAAATTTTAGTAGATACTTCAATTTTGATTGGCTAAGCACTACAATCAGTCTAATATTATCCAATCAAATTACTAAAATTTGGATTTTTATCTTAGTTAAAATTTCGTGAAACAGGACCCTGGACCTTTCAGTGATGATAATTTTTGTCATTAATTCATATAAGTGATCATTGGTTAGTAATTATAAGGTGTGTAAATAGCTGTACAAGATGTGACTACTGGTGGAAAGGCGTGACTTTCTATAATACACAAACCTATTGAATTCACAAACCTGTGTTTTATTCAATGGTCACAGTTTTAACACCTTAGTGAGACGGGGGGTTGGATGGCCGAATGGTTAGCATGCGCGCGCTGTATCATGAGGCCTGTCATTGAGTCAACTGGCGTGGTTTCGAATCCCCGGTTGTACGTGACAAGGAGTAGGATTGCCTGTCCAATCTCGTGGGTTTTCTCCGGGTCCTCCGGTTTCCTCCCACTGCTAAAGATCCCTACGCACAAGCGAATTATTGAAATAAAATTAAACCATATGTTAGTCCCGAAATGACCTAGTCATTGTCGAGTGGACGTTAAACCCATTTCTCTCTCTCTCCCCCTTAGTGAGACCAAACACCTACTTATTGACTTCCGTCTGATTACTAGCAATTTTAATCAACTAATAATTAACAATATGTTTATAAAATGACGTATATATTCATTTATAAAAGTTATCTGTTGTCTGCGATATCAGGTCGGTGGAAGCAGACGTTAAATAAAGCTATTTCACACATTGTCTGTTGCTTACTCAACGATATCAACTTTACAGTGATGGAGTGGGTTAAAGAGGATAAAGGTGATGGGAGGACTGCAGCATCTATACGACCGCATTGTATGAGAAATGGTGTTTAACGTCCACTCGACACAAACTAGGTCATTTCGAGACGAACACATGGTTGAATTTTATTTCAATAATTCGCTTGGGCGTAGGGGTCTTTAGAAGTGGGAGGGAACTGGAGGACCAGGTGAAAGCCCACGACCCTACTCCTTGTTACGTACAACTAGGGAAACGAAACCACGCCAGTTGACTCAATGACAGACCGTATGATACAGTGATACAGCGCGCACATGCTAACCATTCGGCCATACCCCACCACAAAAAAATAAAATAATGGTGGATATTTCATTAATCGTCATTTTCGTCCGTTGGATATGGCTTGTAATTTGTCTTATATACTGGGTTCAATTCTGACTCTTAAAACTAAATTTGAATAGCCCAGATGTTCAGTGCCGAACTGGGCCCACCTAAGAGAAAGGAGAAAGAAAAGAGAAAGAAAGGAGAGGGGGGGGGGGAGAAGAAAGAAGGAAGGAGAGGACAGGAGACAGGACAGGAGAAAGAAAAAATAGGAACAAAATTACAAACAACACAAAAAAAGAAGTGTACTAGAATTCTCATATTCATCTAATGCTAGTGCTCTTAAGTCATTCTGTTATCTAAGTGTATCAGGAAATCAAACATTTGCCTTCTTCTGATTTGGTCTAAAAGGCTTGGAAAATGGGTTTGCGGTTGTCAATTTTCACAATTTTCCTGGGGGGAGAGCCCCAAAGACCCCCTCGGACCGAGCTCGTGACACGCCTTCGGCGGTACTTGTGTGGGCCTTGGTCAATGACCTGCTGCTGAGATGTTATAAATTTAAAACGGCAATCAAAATAGAATCCATAATGGGGATATTTCTATTTGGATATTGCTTTTAAATATATCTAATAAGGTTACTGAATTCTATTCTGGGTTCAAAATTAAATTTAAGAATTCCAAACATATGTTTAGCGTTCCCTTTTCAAGTGCAATTTTCTTCATTTTGTGTATCTTTGCACTATCTTCACCGGGATTAAAAGTTGTTTTATATGTAGTTGTTAAGAATTTATGCCCTAATATTAGATCAAAAATGGTTATGCGATCCGTGGACTGAAAAGGATTATGGTAGTTTCAAGGGTCTCTAACATAATTAATGTTATTTCGTAGATACCCCCCCCCCCCCAGTCAGTCATGAATTTACTTTGTTTGAGATGAATTGTTAAGATTGCCACAGGTTAAACATGTGCATAAGCTAGAAACACCATGATATGCCATAGAAAGTACTATTTACATACAGTTTTTCAAACACATTTCGCGCCCAGTTGGAGCGACCCCCTCACCCTTTAAACAACATTTAAATATCGCATACCACCTGTAGCACTTTCCTTTCAGTATAAATATAAATTGTTTAGTGGATTTCTCAATTAAACGTAAACTTCCATGTATGACTAATATACCAAATGTTAATTTGTAAGACATTTAACATCATATCTTTCTACACGAATGAACAATAAATTGTTCATTGGATAAAACGGAAACCTTTTTTTATACCTGTAAAATAAATACCAGTTGTTTGTATGATAAGATAAGGTCTACCGTGTAATACGGAAATTTGCAACACGGCGTAACAATAAATTGTTTATTGGCTGAAACGGAAACATTTTCTTTTTATAACTGTAAAATAATATACGAATTCTCATTTTATACGGCGTATATATGTTTACTGATAATTAAAGTAATCAAGTAAAGCTGGAAATTGCAACATGTTTTAACGTCCTATCGTTCCCTGCATTTTTCGGGGATGGACCGCAAAGGGGTATGGTAGTTTCAGGGTTCCCTAGACTGGTTATTGTTCTTGCGTAGGTGATGAACTTGCGTCGTTTTTCATGAGTTTTTAAGATATATGCATAAGCTAAAAACACCAGAATACAGTCTAGAAAGCGCCATTTACAGTCGGTTTATTAAAAAAAATTACGAACCTGGTTGGAGAGAACCCCGTCGTTCCCCTCACGGGAAAGAGATCAGCCCGTCCTAGGTATCATATATCTATTGTATAGTGTCCATTGCTGGCGAAAAACAGTATTACCATGGCAATTGCACGAACTTGTGAAATGAATAACAGACATAAATGAACCTGTGTTTACTATCGGTGTAGATTATACCAGATACGGACCCGGGGACGAAAGGTTCCCACTGTATGGGGGTCCGGTGTGGTTCGCTCCTCCCCGGTGTGATATTTCTTTTGAAAAACTGACTGTAAATTTGTGTTTTCTTTAGTTTGTCCTGGTGTTTCGAGCTTACGCACAAATTTGATGTGTGACAATCCTATCGGAAATTAATTTTTGAAGCCGACTTTGAATTCAGTAATTCCGAAAACTTTATTTTACAATATCCACACGAACAATATTTTCGCTGGTTATACGGAAAAAATGCCATTTTATTACGATTAATTAAATCCTGGCAATTTGGATTTCATTTTAGCAGCAATTTGGAATTTCACCCATGTTACACGGCATATTCAACAGAAATAAACGACGATTAACTTAAATTCCGTCTTTTTGGATTCCATTTTGGCTGCCATTTTAAAGTTCTACCATGTTGGATTTTTGAAATTATCTTTAAATTCAGAGACATCGAAAACCATATAAAAGAAACAGTAAAAGTCACATTTTACGAGTTTCTCGTTGGTTATATAGGGAAAAGGCATTTTTATTACCAAATTTTACAGCCATTAGCCGTCCATGTGAAAAATACATTTTTTGTTTTTTCTTCTTCAGATTCTTTGTTTCGGCACATTTCGCCTCTCTAACTATTTTTTGTTTGAAGGATTTTAAAAAGAATTAGTTATTCTCCCACCACTAGAAGGATGGCTTGGCAGTAAAAAATACTCTTTTCACTTCTATGTCATTAAACAATCCATTTTGCTTTTCGAGCTTGAACAATTTTAATAAAGAGACAGAATGCGTTTCATTTTTCTGGATTCAAATTTTGAATAACGAATAACGAGACAGAACAGGATTGAAATGAAATTATTATTTTTTCCTAGAAATTTCATATTTTTACTGTCTGTCTGTCAAGTAAGCTATTCTTTTTTATTTATTAATAACTGACAAATAAGAAGGATGTCCCAGCTGTAAGAAACCTAATTATAACGTATTTCAATGTTTTCGAAATGGATAGAATGCTTTCATACATGTTCAATACATCTCAACACCTCAAGTTATTTGTTAAAATTATAATTGGAGATTAATAAGTATTTTCGACTTTAATTTTCATATAGCACATTCTATTGTTATATTAATTTAAAGACTACTTTATTAAGTTAATACTATTAATTTAACACTACTTTATTAATTCAAATACTATTTTATTAATTTAACACTAATTTATTAATTCAAATAATATTTTATTAATTTAACACTTCTTTATTAATTCAAATAATATTTTATTAATTTAACACTACTTTATTAATTTAAATACTATTGTATTAATTTAACACTAATTTAAATACTATTTTATTAATTTAACACTAATTTATTAATTTAGATACTATTGTATTAATTTAACACTAATTTAAATACTATTTTATTAATTTAACACTACTTTATTAATTTAAATACTATTATATTAATTTAACACTTTATTTTGTTAATACTATTAATTTAACACTACTTTATTAATTAAATACTACTTTATTAATTTAAATACTATTTTATTAACTTGAAAACTGTTTTATATTAATTTAAACTATTTATTAATTTAGAACTACTTTAATAATTTAAAACTAATAAACTATAACACATACTTATGGAAGAACAATTACTGATTTATTTAGGTGATGTTTGGAAGAGTATTCTATCAACGTTTTCAAGCTTGAGAGAATACTCTTCGAAATAAATACTCGCCTAAATAAATCAGTAATTGTTCTTTCATAAGTATGTGTTATAGTTTATTGCTCTATCCAGTTACTAAATGCCTCTAAAAGATCACAATTTAAAACTACTTTATTAATTTAATACTATTGTATAATAATTTAAAACTACTTTATTAATTTAATACTATTGTATAATAATTTAAAACTATTTTATTAATTTAACACTACATGTATTTATATTAATTTAAAACTACTTTATTCATTTCATAAATTTAAACATTATTTTATTCAGTTGAATATGTAACTGTGATATTCAAAATAAATTACACAAAATTATAGAAATTTGTGTTTTTATAAACGACTTATTAATTTATATTCTTCGTTTTAATTTAAACAATATTTATTCAGTTAAATTCAATGTTTTTGGATTTGATTTTTTATTCTGATAAACCCCATTTCATTTTATACATGACTGACATAGTTTACTTGACAAATGGATAACGATGATATGAAATTTACAAGAAAAAATAATAATTTTGTTTGAATCCCGAATTAAGTAACATGTTCTGTCTTGTTTTTCAAAATTTGAATCCCGAATAAAGAAATACCTTTTGTTTCATTCTATTTCATTATTTGTTATTTGCCAATAACGAATGAAATACGATTTAGGAAACATATTGCTTGTAATAAACTCCATATATTGCCTGGATATAGAGAGAAATGGGGTTTAACGTCCACTCGACACAAACTAGGTCATTTCGGGGCTAACATATGATTTAATTTTATTTCAATAATTCGCTTGCGCGTAGGGGTCTTTAGCAGTGGGAGGAAACCGGAGGACCCGGAGAAAACTCACGAGGTTGGACAGGCGACCCTACTCCTTGTCACGTACACCCGGGGAATCGAAACCCCGCCAGTTGACTCAATGACAGACCGTATGATAGAGAGTGAGTGCGCGCGTGCTAACCATTCGGCCATCCAACCCCCCTCTATATAACGGAAGATCTCGCCTGGATATAAGTGTCATGTTTTATATTATTTAATCTCTGTTCATAATAATCTGGGTTGGGAGGTCCAGTTTCTTTGATCATAAAGGTCTGCCGGATGGGATGAAAAACCACATTGGCGTGTATATATTGGCGTGTACATTAAAGATCCCTTGGCACTTGGAATTCGAGATAAGAGTAAGCCATAGTCCCACTGCCCAGACACAATTTCCCTCATAGCACACTGTATGGCATGTGCCCTCCTTGATTAGTCCATTTTATACAACATTTCATTTCATTTAAGCAGATGCTTAAAACAAACTTGATAGACATGATAGAATTTTAATAGATGAATAAAAATATCATATACACTCATAAACATTTAATAATTTGATCATATTAAATCAACAAAAAGATATCATTACAATATTATAACATACAAAGATATTATACACGATGAGATTGTTTTTAAAGGAGCAAAATGTAAGAAAGTCTCCACCTTTAAAATAAAGTGATTAATATTATTATGTAGCTTGTACAGAGATTAAAAAACAATTACTGACGCCAAAGTGGTTACATTCATTCTATGATAAAACATTACATATGATACTTTTGAAGTGGGGGAATACATGTATTGGGTTTGTAAGATATTTGAGCTATTTTTTTTTTTAAAACATTGAGCATATTCCATTGATTGCTAATCAATTTGGAATTATTTTTTTCATTAGGTGTCAAATTGTACAAGTTTCAGCGGACTTGGTAGGTCAGTAAAATGTGGGAGTGTGGCCCGGAAATATTATCTTATGGCATTGTGTATAGTTTAATGGTGGAGTGCCAGACATTAATTAATATATTGATATTGTATGAGTGTGTTTAGCATGAGGGCTATATCTATATACCTTGCACAAGACCAATAAACAACTTACACCACAAACACTATCCAGCATGTGCAACTAGTATAAATAATGTATTATGTATTATTGGTAATAATGGTATGCCAACATCAAAGGATCACGTCACATCTGTATTTTATGAGTATTTAAAGATGGGTTCCCAGAAAAGTATTTATTGGGTGGTTATTTCCAATAAAAGTATGGTAATTTTAGTATACATGGAAAGTAAACATATCCAATCTTACTAGAATAATACTGGATTCCCCGAAAATTGCTCATGGAGCGTATACAGGACAAAAATGTAAGGGTTCCCCTAATCAACAGCCCGATGATTAGGAATTACTGCACGCATGATGTCAAAGGTCACACGCGAACATTGAGCGCTTGATGTACAAGTTGATAAACTTTATGAAGAGTTAGACGCACAACACTTTCTGAGATAAAAAAGATGGAAAAAGACGCGGGTAGTGGATAAAGCTGAGAATTAAATTAGGATTCGATATTTGTCATAAATAGTAAGCGATTAAAGACAACATCGTCTTATGTATGCAATGAATTCTCCTCTGACTTTCAAGAGAGGTAAGTCACATGACGTAAACATGACCTGGTTTGATCGAATTTTTATAGCAGGACATTCCTTCGCAATTACAATGTTTGAGAAGGATTTGAAGCAAAATTATGACAAATTAATTAGTTTGAATATGTTTTTAGTCCATATATACCATATATACTATTAAGTTTGGTACGTCTACGACTCTACATCATAAACAAACATAATATATTAAATATATAAAATAACTAGGTGTGATTTAGGGTGTTACCCAGACTAAATTAGGGTTCCTGTATATATATAATTGAAATAGGTTTAAAATATAGTTAAATATAGCAAAGGCTGATTAAATAATAAAAAAAACCACATCAAAACTGTTTCACTAGAAACTAATCAAATATCACAGACTAACATTTTTATACATCAATAAACAGTTACCAATATCACTAAACAGTTACCAATACCAATAAACAGTTACCAATATCAATAAACAGTTACTGATACCAATAAACAGTTACCAATATCAATAAACAGTTACTGATACCAATAAACAGTTACCGATACCAATAAACAGTTACCGATACCAATAAACAGTTACCTATACCATTACATAGTTACCAATATCAAAAAACAGTTACCAATACCAATAAACAGTTACCGATACCAATAAACAGTTACCGATACCAATAAACAATTACCGATACCAATAAACAGTTACCTATACCATTACATAGTTACCAATATCAAAAAACAGTTACCAATACCAATAAACAGTTACCGATACCAATAAACAGTTACCGATACCAATAAACAATTACCGATACCAATAAACAGTTACCTATACCATTAAACAGTTACCAATATCAATAAACAGTTACCAATACTAATAAACAGTTACCAATACCAATAAACAGTTATTGATACCAATAAACAGTTACCAATATCAATAAACAGTTACCAACACCAATAAACAGTTACTGATACCAATAAACAGTTACCGATATCAATAAACAGTTACCAATATTAATAAACAGTAACTGATACCAATAAACAGTTACCAATACCAATAAACAGTTACCAATACCAATAAACAGTTACCAATACCAATAAACAGTTATCAATATCAATAAACAGTTATCAATATCAATAAACAGTTACCAATACCAATATCAATAAACAGTTATCAATATCAATATCAATGAACAGTTACTGATACCAATACCAATAAACAGTTACCAATATCCAATAAACAGTTACCAATACCAATAAACAGTTACCGATACCAATAATCAGTTACCAATAAACACTTACCGATACCAATATCAATAAACAGTTACTGATACCAATAAACAGTTACCAATATCAATGCTGATAAACATTTACCAATACCAATAAACAGTTACCGATAAATCACTATCATTTTACGATATATATATATCAACAAAAATAATTCTGCCAAAATATTTAACATTTATACCACAAACAGATATTACAGGATAACTACACAACAAAACACAGTCAGAACAAACTATACATTGACAGTGCAATTAGATACATTTCCAGTACTAGAAGTCTTGCTAGTGTTTTTTTCAAGTTCTACTTCCAGTGGAATGGTTCGATGATTGAAAGAATCATAAAAGAATATTTTGAGTATGAAATATGTCCATTTTCATTTGAGCAAATCTAATCTAATTTCACCAAACATAAATTGTTAATAATAAATTAACAAAAAATAAATTTAACCCTTTCACTAAAGGAACGAGCTAACCAGTTTATCACACATAGTCATAAGGTGCCTGGGAATTGTGGTAACTCAGTGAGTAAATTAACCCTTTCGATACGCGGGATGAGCTAACCAGTTTATCACACGTTGTCATAAGGTGCCTGGGAACTGCAGTAGCTCAGTGAGTGAAAGATCCTTTACAGTTGGAATTCGATATTAGAGTAGGCCGTAACCCCACTGTCCAGGCAGAATATCCCTCATAAAACACGTTGTGGCATATGCCAATCTTCATTAGCCCAGATGGAGCAGAACAGTTTCGGTTTATTATTAGAAAATCTATAGCAGTTAGCTGATTACCATAGTGACCAAATAACAAAAGGGTTAATCTCAGTAAGCTAGTTGCCATAGTGACCAAATAACAAAAGGGTTAATCTCAGTAAGCTAGTTATCACAGTGACCAAATAACAATAGGGTTAAAATCTCAGTACCTAGTTACCAAATAACAAAAGGGTTAATCTCAGTATGCGTGTTACCATAGTGACGACCAAATAACAAAAGGGTTAATCTCAGTATGCTAGTTACCACAGTGATCAAATAACAAAAGGGTTAATCTCAGTAAGCTGGTTACCATAGTGAACAAATAACAAAAGGGTTAAACATGTGTAAAAATACAAATATAAAGATTTAATGCCTTAACCTCAACATAAGAAGTTTTCATAATGACTTCTTTAATCCTATTAAATTTATGATGTTTACTTGCATAGATCGTTTCATTTCTTCCAGCAAGTGGTCGATATGGGTTTTGTTTAGATCTAGGCCTTGCAATCAAAGGATGGGTAGAGCAACATTCCTTGTTTTACCGTTCAGTACCTGGTAAATGTATATATTGACTACTCCAGTTCCTTCAAGAAAATTTAAAGAGTGTTATATTAATACCAGTACAACCCTAGACATTGGCAATTATCAATCAACTAATCATTAATCCAAGACAACTGATTAGTATTACTCATTGACGCGATCAAGATTTACAGCCAGTTGATTAATTTAGAGTAGGATTTTTAGATATTTTCCGCCAGTTCGCAAAAAGAATCGCCAGTACTGCAAAATAAAATTTTAATCACTACTTTCACATTTTTATCGCAAACTGCAACTTTGGCGATGGAGTTAGGGTGGTCTAAATGTTAAAGGAGTTCTATGGAAATGTACCGATTCAAATTGAAATTGACATTTAATGGTTTAAGAGATTCACCTAGGTTATCGGGCAGTTAGTGACCCTAGTTAAGGGGATTTAAGGTGGTCTAAGTGTCAAAGCCATTTTAATTGTTAAATGCATAAACGTTTTCAGAGATTGCTTTTTATTATTTCATACCATATTTTATTCTAATGGTTCAATGATGATAGGTGTTTCTTTGGTGTCTTTTTAAATCTTATTCTTGAGAAGCTTTGTATACACCTTAGAGTTGTTATGGTTTTTGGTTCATGATATTTTTATTTTGTACTTTTACCATAATGTAATAGCGCCATAGAGAAAAAAAAAATTGGATTATAGACACTCTATAAATAAATTATTATTAATATATTAATATCAATCATTCGAAAGATAATTTGCTTAAAATTTCAAAATTTAACAATTTGAAACTAGAAGCTTTGAACAGCACAATCAAGTACTTTTGGTTTTTATATTAGTTTTTTTCCAGAAGAAATAAAAAGGAAATTTTTACAGGTATTTTTATACTATTTTTACAGGTGTTTTGCAGGTGTTTTTATACTATTTTTACAGGTGTTTCTGAAGAAGAGGAAATCAAAATGGTCTGAAGAGTTAAATATATCTGGTATTACATTCTCTAGAAATGGATTTGCTGTTACTTTTACAATAAAAGTACTTCTTAAAAAAAAAATAACAAAATAAATTTGGATTTTTTGAGCATTAGGGGACGGATAGTAATAGAAATAAAATCTATGATCGAGCCATGACCAGAAAAATAAAATCATGACGGTTAACGTTTACTGCGGTCTTAAAGCTTTCATTTCACTGGACAATACTTCCGTCACTTTAATACATTCTTGAGCCTCTTCAATATTCATACGCTTCAAAGCCAATGATGCTGCTTCACGGACAGTAGATATAGGATCATTCCGCCTGAAAAATTAACCAGAACACATGTTTAGTAAAATATTCTGAACTGAAAAGACAAACTTTTTGATAAAATTCCTTTACTTCATATCATGAGAATTATCTGGCAAATCGTCATATATGACTAAAACAAAAGAATAAAAGAAATGAAATGAAATGGGATTTAACGTCCTACTGTTCAGCTCAGACTGGGCTAATGAAGACGGGCCTACGACATACAGTGTGCTATGAGGGAAATTTAGCCCTTCTCTCATAAAGAATTCAAACTGTCAAGGTTTCTTTACGTGCATGCCAATGTGTATACAGGACCTTGTATTTTTTGTCCCATCTGGAGGACTATACATTGTCCCTTGCCAGGCCTAAAACAAAAGACCGGATGGACATGACCAGTGAGTTATAAGGAGCTGACTCGGTAACCAGGATCCTGTTGTTTGCCGAGAAAGTTCCTGGTGGTAGATATTCCAGTGCAGAAGGAAGGGCCTGGAAACGAGAGAGAGAGAAATAGGTCAATTCGGGACTAACATATGGTTCAATTTTATTTCAATAATTCACTTGTGCATAGTGGTCTTTAACACTTTAGCAGTGGGAGCAAACAGAAGGACCCAAAGAAAACCCACGAGGATGGACAGGCAACCCTAACTTGTCACATACAAGCGGGGAATTGAAACCACATCACATGACTCGATGTCAGACCTTCTGATCCAATGCGCACGAGTTAACCAAACGTCTGGATGTATGTGGCATGACAGAAGGTTTTACTGGTATATAGTGTAATGTAGAAAACGTCTGGATGTATGTGACATGACAGAAGGTTTTACTGATATATAGTGTAATGTAGAAAACGTCTGGATGTATGTGACATGGCAGAAGGTTTTACTGATATATAGTGTAATGTAGAAAACGTCTGGATGTATGTGACATGCCAGAAGATTTTACTGGTATATAGTGTAACGTAGAAAATGTCTGGATGTATGTGACATGGCAGAAGGTTTTACTGATATATAGTGTAATGTAGAAAACGTCTGGATGTATGTGACATGGCAGAAAGTTTTACCGATATATAGTGTAATGTAGAAAACGTCTGGATGTATGTGACATGACAGAAGGTTTTACTGGTATATAGTGTAATGTAGAAAATGTCTGGATGTATGTGACATGGCAGAAGGTTTTACTGATATATAGTGTAATGTAGAAAACGTCTGGATGTATGTGACATGGCAGAAGGTTTTACTGATATATAGTGTAATGTAGAAAACGTCTGGATGTATGTGACATGGCAGAAAGTTTTACCGATATATAGTGTAATGTAGAAAACGTCTGGATGTATGTGACATGCCAGAAGATTTTACTGGTATATAGTGTAACGTAGAAAATGTCTGGATGTATGTGACATGGCAGAAGGTTTTACTGATATATAGTGTAATGTAGAAAACGTCTGGATGTATGTGACATGGCAGAAAGTTTTACCGATATATAGTGTAATGTAGAAAACGTCTGGATGTATGTGACATGACAGAAGGTTTTACTGGTATATAGTGTAATGTAGAAAATGTCTGGATGTATGTGACATGGCAGAAGGTTTTACTGATATATAGTGTAATGTAGAAAACGTCTGGATGTATGTGACATGGCAGAAGGTTTTACTGATATATAGTGTAATGTAGAAAACGTCTGGATGTATGTGACATGGCAGAAAGTTTTACCGATATATAGTGTAATGTAGAAAACGTCTGGATATATGTGACATGCCAGAAGATTTTACTGGTATATAGTGTAATGTAGAAAAAGTCTGGATGTATGTGACATGACAGAAGGTTTTACTGATATATAGTGTAATGTAGAAAACGTCTGGATGTATGAGAGTAAAGAGACAACTTACCACCTATCAACGACATGATTGACAGCTTTAGATGCTTTAAGATATCCGAGTGACAGACAAGCACTCTCACGAACTAATCTATCTTCATCTTCTAGAATACGAATCAATTTAAACACAGTATCGGGACGATTCTTTCCTATAAAATATAAATATCATAAACTTATACACAGTATCTGGACGATTCTTTCCTATAAAATATAAATATCATAAACTTATACACAGTATCGAGACGATTCTTTCATATAAAAGAAAACAATTTACACTGTAAACAAAAAAGCAATAACTTAAGGAATTATTTATCTGATAACTTAAGGGATTATTTATTTGATAACTTAAGGGATTATGTATCTGATGTAGGTCATCAGTTGTATGAACAACACAGCATCAGGTGGACCAAGCCTGGAAATAAGATACCTGTCACAGATATTGTCAGGTGTTAATTCAGACATGATTTCTCTAGCGTCTGTCATTATGTCCGGAACAAAATTTAAAATGTCATTAGTCAGGTACAACTACCATGATTATTTCAAGGATTGATGGATCTCAATGGACGGTTACGGCTAGCCCCCGGATCCATTCACTTTATTTGAATTATGCGTTTGTTTGTGAGTTCTGCGTAATATGTCTTGTCCGTATATTTGTTTTTTTGTAAATTATGTGTGGTGAAGTCCCCCTGCACTTACTATTATATCAAAGGTTATAGCATCTAAATGACACCAATGAAAGATCTAATGATCTAAACTGGACGTTTTAGACAACTTGACGACCTCCGCCCCCCCCCCCCCCCCAACCCAAGTCCTGCAATATATATATAAATCAATACAAGTTCTGATACAAGACACTAAAATAAGATGTTAATCAACGTATTTCTATATTGAAATTCATCTCTAACCTGATTTAGCTAAAGCAATGGCGGCCACAGCACGAATATTTGGATCTTCATCTTTTAACATATCTGTTAAACCACGAACAATCGCTGGAAACGAAAAATTACCTGCAAAATACAAAACAAAATCTTTTTAAAATATCATGTATTTTTACACTTTGAACCCAGACACAGGTTTACATGGTCCATCAGTTCAAACGTGTTAAAGCAAAGATCGAAATTACCAGAAATCACGAGACATGAAATGAAATGGGGTTTAACATTGTACTGTTATGCTCTACTGGACTAATGAAGATAGATGAGCACACGCAACAGAGTGTGCTATGAAGGAAATTTAACCAGACAGCGGCACTTTCAAATTCCAACACCCAAGGGATTTTTTTTACATCCATTACCAATTTGTACTCTGGTCTCGTGTTTTCATGCCATCCACACGAAGCCTCGTCACAAAACTTACCCAATGCCTAGTAGTTTGGATGGGCCAAAAAATAGTGTCCTGTGAACCTGTAGAGCACGTGAGAGAACCCTTGACAGTTGGAATTTGAAGCAAGAGTAGGACGTAGGCCAATTTTCCGTCATTGCACACTGAATGGCAAAGATCTATCTTCAATAGTCCAGTTGGTGTAGAAAAGTAGGATGTTAAGCCCCATTTCCTTTCATTTCATAAAACATACCTAGATTTTGAATGGTATTTATGAAGTGTAGAGTCCATGTTGAATACATAAATGAAATGAAATAAAATGGGGTTTAACGTCCTATTGTACTGCTCCGAACTGGGATAATGAAGACAGACGTATGCCATACAGTGAGCTATGAGGGAAATTTTTCCTGAACTGCGGTACTACGGTCTACTCTTATATTGAATTCCAGCTACCAAGGGATCTTTTACGTGCACGCCAATGTGTACACAGGGCCTCAGTATTTCATCCCATCCAAAGGACTAGACAGCTGTACTTGTCAGGCCCTCCGTGTTGAATACTTGAGTTGACTTACCTAGATTTTGAATGGTATTTGCGAAGCGTAGAGTCCATGTTGAATACTTGAGTTGACTTACCTAGATTTTGAATGGTAGTGATTCGAAGCGTACTGTCCATGTTGAATACTTGACGTAACGATATGTGAGCTATGACGTATTCCTGTAGCTGATTAAAGAAGCAGTGAGGATCCGAGTAGGGATTATCATTACAGAATTTATCGTAAACTTTTCGTTCGACGGTCTTACGCAAATCAAAGATGTCCTGATACATTAAATTACGAAATAACTTCTGATTATCCTCCGTAAACAGCTCCGCGATTCTACTGTTGTAGTCTTGTTGAAACTTGTCCCGGAATTCCGTCCATTTAACTTGCGTTCTATTCTTGAAATGGAGATCCCAGAAGTCCACAGTTTGAGTATCCTGAACCTCCGGGGATTTGGGCGGTGAAATCGCTCGTTCGTAGTCGTTGCTTGTGTGAGTAAATTGATTGGCGCTGATTACCATGCCGTGAGTTTCAATAAAGTTACTGGTTCCTATTTCAACTGTTGTATCCATGTTGTTCATTAATTCAAGTTGGTGATTTACACTCTTCATCAAATTACTGATGCTGTCATTATATTCAGAATCTTCACAAACAAATATCCAATTAATTCGAGCTAAAATTAACTTCCTGAAATTAATTGATTGATGTTCCTTTAAAAGCATTTAGTAACTGGATAGAGCAATAAACTATAACACATACTTATGGAAGAATAATTACTGATTTATTTAGGTGACGTTTGGAAGAGTATTCTATCAACGTTTTCAAGCTTGAGAGAATACTCTTCGAAATAAATACTCGCCTAAAAAAATCGGTAATTTTTCTTCCATAAGTATGTGTTATAGTTTATTAAATTGATTGAATAATGCACAAACTATTATTTCATCAAATTTAGAATTAAATTCTTGATTCCTTTAGCATTTGAACAACTTGTTGAAAAACAGGCCGATAAACAAAACTTGATTTCATGTCCGGCACAAAGTTAAAAATGTCAGATACACCTTCAATCTTGACAACTGTTTCTGTGTGAAAGTAGACGTTACGTGCACAGATGGTGATAGGTGCGTCACTGACACTAGGTATTCATTCCAGGGCACTATCCATCCAAAGGGTGAAATTAAAATTTAAGCTTTCAGAATTTGAAATATTATCCATGTTAACTTTGGTGTACAATTAACTGACCTACTTAGTTTTAATAAGTTTATTTCACCTATTTTTACATATTTAAAATATTTTTTTTTCTCCAATTTCTCAGGACTTGGGGGGTTGGATGGCTGAATGGTTAGCATGTGCGCGCTGTATCATAAAGACTGTCATTGAGTCTGCTGTAAAGATTTCGATTCCCCAGTTGTACGTGACAAGGAGTTGTGGGTTTTCTCCAGGTCCTCCGGTTTCCTCCCACTGCTAAAGACCCCTATGCGCAAGTGAAATATTGAAATAAAATTAAGCCATATGTTAGTCCCGAAATGACCTAGTTTGTGTCGAGTGGACGTTAAACCCCATTTCTCTCTCTCTCTATTTCTCAGGACTTGAGCCTTGGGGACATACAATCACGCCACTGCAAAACAGACACAGAACAACATTTCTTCTGCATTTTGGTATTATATCATATGATGTGAAAATAAGGAGGGATAACTTACGATCCAACATCTAAAACAGCTGATATCTCAGGGAATGAACTCAGACCAACAGGGAAAATAGCAGAGTTAGAAATATAGGCTAAAGCTAGTTCATCACTAAAACTCTTTTCTTGGACAGAATCTTTACTTAAAACTGGTGCAAAAATCTGAAAAGATAATAGATATGGTGAATCAGCCTTTCAATTTACAGAATTGTGTACCTGGGGCACTAGGAAATGAAATGAAATGGGGTTTAACGTCCTACTCTTCTGCTCCTAACCTGGGCTAATGAAGACGGGCATACGCCATACAGTGTGCTATGAGGGAAATTTTGCACGGGCAGCAGCACTACGGCCTACTCTTATATTGAATTCCAACTGCCAAGGGATCTTTTACGTGCAGGCCAATGTGTACACGGGACCTCAGTTTTTCGTTCCATACGAACGACTAGACAGCTGTCCTTGTCAGGCCCTCCGTCCTGCATCACTGACAAGGGGAAACCACGCCGGAAAATCTGGATGAACTTTCTCGGCCAATGCAGGGATCGAACACCCGACCTCCAGGCTAGCGAGCCAGCGTCTTACCCACTTAGTCACGTGATCCCCGGGGCACTAGGAGCCACAGTGGCTCAATTAGTAAGGCGCTGGCTCGATAACAAAGAGGTCCAGGGTTTCGAAACATGGTCTTGGCCTAGTAAGTAACTCAGGATTTTTCACCATGGTTCTCCCCTTGTTAGTAGTACAGGATAGAAGAATGGCAAGGAGGAAAATATTGTGGTTCTGATGGCACATTTACACATAAAAGAAACTGTGACAGTTGAAATAGGAAATAAAAGTAGCCTGTGGCAAAATTTCCGTCGTACACACAGTCTGGTCTATTCCTTTCTTCTATAGCCTTGTTGGCAAAGATACATAACCGAATCCAGAAAGGTATCCAGTCATTCGGAAGGGATGAAAAACTGAAGCCATGTGTATACAATTAGCTTGGTTGGTGCAGATACATATAGCTGATACCAGAATGACATTTAGTCAATCGGATGGGATGAAAAACTGAAGCCCTGTGTATAGTCTCACCACGGTCTTTCAGGACCTTATAATTATCCCGCTATGGTTGAATTAATTATGCCAATAGAGAGAGAGAGGAATGGGGTTTAACTTCCACTCGACACAAACTAGGTCATTTCAGGACTAACATATGGTTTAATTTTATTTCAATAATTCGCTTGCGCGTAGGGGTCTTTAGCAGTGGGAGGAAACCGGATAATTATGCTAATAAGATGTTCTATCAGTGTTAAGGTAACCCATAATTAATTCAACCATAGAGGGATAATTATAAGGTCCTGAAGGATCGTGGTGACAATAGCATTAGGAGCATGTTAATGATCTCCTGAAGTTGGAGTTTGTGTAGGCCTCACATGGCTGTCAAGGCAAAACTTATAGAAGTTGATCGGTGCTGATAAACAAGACATTAGACCTTATATCATTTCCTTACCTTACAGCCCATAATAGCTTGACTTTTTCTTTGTCCTGCGCCTCTTTCATTACTCGACGGATCATGGAACCAGACATCTAGATTACCAGCTTTCAACGAATCTAAAATAATCAACGACCAACTCAGTATTACTCATGGATACAATCATATTATAAAACAAACATTTCTGTACATTATTCAATTGTCACATTCTTTAAAACACAGGGGGGTTGGATGGCAGAATGGTTAGCATGTGCGCGTTGTATCATAAGTTCTGTCATTGAGTCAACATGTGTGGTTTCGATTTCCCGGTTGTACGTGACAAGGAGTAGGGTCGCCTATCCAACCTTGTGGGTGTTGAGTGGACGTTAAACCTCATTTCTCTCTCTCTTTAAACACCTAAGTGACATAACACTTACTCAATGACTACAGCCATATAACTGCAGTAACTATTTTAACTGGTCGTAAACATTATGTACATGTATATAAAATAACACATAATCTGTTTTTGTCAAACATTTTCATCTGTACAAGGGAATGATATCAATATTACCTGTAGTTTTACAGTGAATTATAATACATACCTGCTAATTTCTTGATAAAAGCTAAATCATTTTTATGACCAGTTAAAACGACTTCACTGAGTTTAACTGGACTGGCCATTTTTACATGTATCACTATTCTTATGATTGGTTGAGCTGCTTCCCCTTTTGTTACCTAACTCACTGAAATCTCCAAGACTTGTAGCTTCTATAACTACAATACAAATATAAACTAGAATTAATACCTGTAGCTTCAACAATTTAAACTAGAATTAAAACTTGTAGCTTCAATGTGCAACAATTTATTTAAACTAGATTGAATACTTGTAGCTTCAATGTGCAACAATTTAAACTGTAATCAATGTAAGATAATCTGGAAAAAAACTACCGCGAAATCTGAGTGGGCGCTTCATTGGAAAGCTACAAGAAAAGTCTAAAAACAAAAGAACACTCTGTAAGCAATCTGTTTAAAACACAGATTAAAACACAGATTCTATTTTATTTCATTTTTTATAGTTCAAAATATTGTTTTATTTGTCTTTACTACACTAGGATCTGGAAGAGTTGTTATATTACCAGCTTTTTGGTTAAGTGAGGGGTTAGCAAATGAAACGTAGTCCCGAAATGACCTAGTTTGTGTCGAGTGGACGTTAAACCCCATTTCTCTCTCTCTTTCTTTAGCCAATGAAACGGTCTGTTACGGCGAGTTCAACCCCTGATGTGACCTTCCAGTACAACTCTTCAGATCTTCATGTAGTGTAGGCCATCGAGAGTATAAAAAAATAAAACGAAATATAGATCTGTATTGTAATCAGATTGACTCTGTAAGTAACAATTTGGTTTTTTTTATTTGATTTACTTCGATCATCTTTGTATATATTTGTATATATATATATATATATATATATATATATATATATATATATATATATATATATATTATATATATATATATATATATATATATATATATATATGTACAGAGCCATTGAATACATCAAGGATGTTATAATGAGTGATTAATTAAATCAAATAATTATAAACATAACATACATTATGAACATTATTCACACAGGAGACTTAAATTTGAAACAGAAACGAGAGATGAAAACATCTGCAAGAAGTTTTTCAATTTTCATTTTTAGGGTCAGACTAATTTAAACTTTTGATCTTGAAGGGTGGGGGGAAATTATATAAAAATAAAAAGTACTCGTACTTTATTTAATAAGGGCCAAACAACCAATAATTACTATCGATTGACCTAACTTAATGTAATATCTATAATTTTTACTACTTATAAAATAATGCCTTAAAAATTTAAAATGTCCACATTGTACGCTACCCATGCACTGGTAAGCTGATATCATTGACTTATCAACCTGGGCCTATTAGTAATGACAACTTTTGTCAAAAATGAAATATGCGCCTACTGGGCTAATGAGGATGCGCAATATTTTATCAAATCATATAATTAATTCCTTATTCTAAACTAATGTTTAGTATGTATATAATGTGTTTAGAAAATACAGTAGTCATTAATTAGCAAGTGTGTAACTAGCTTTAAAAGATGACACTATTTATAACACCCATCACTATTGAATACACAAACCTGGACAAGAGTAGTGTATATCATTCAATAGTCACCGTTTTAACACCTTAGTGACATAACACCTACTTAATAACTACTGGCTGATTACTAACAATTTTAAATAACTAATACACATTCTGTATATTAACTGACAATTTTTATCTAATTCTGGCTAATATGGTCATTTGTAAAAGTTATTTGTTGCTAAGTCAACGATGTAAACTTTACAGCGATAAGAACATGTTTAACACAAAGTTTACAGCCAAGGTACATGTACCTGTACAGGTAGTAACATACCGAATACAGGTAGTATCATACAGAAATTAAAATTAAATAAACTTTTATATAAACAAAAAAACTTTTTACTAAATTCCAAGTCGGACAAAATATTGCACAAACCACAAAAACTGTCATATCAAAAACAAAGGTAGTAAACATTAAGTGAATCTTTTGAATGAAAAAGAATAAAAAATAATGTCTGTGATAAAAGTGAATGCTCGAAAACATTCTATCAAAAATAAATGTGCTCAAAAAGCATTTCATTGTATTTAACAATCAAGACTTTTTCTTCTGGAGATTTGGTATATAGCAACACACAATTTAACACCAAGGCCTTGTTTGTCTGGAATTAAGACTATGCCTCGGGATATATAGTACATGCACACCTTCTAACATAAAGTGCATGCTGTAGAACACTGACTCAATTAGCCCCCCCCCCACCCTGCTGACATCTCACCAGCACAATGAACACTGAGGAGCATTGGTCCAGATACTAAACCATGTGGGACACCAAATTAATTAATAAGTACAAAAGAAAACACTGAAATTAATCCTTACATTAAGACAGTACATGTACATGTATGTAAATAAATTCTTTAAATTCATTTCGAAAAATATTAAAGACTAACATTTATTGATAAATAAGAAAATTATGACAAGTACATTCAGCATGCACCACCAGGCATAAAATACATGCACATGCATGACCAGGTAGAATTCATTCTAGTATATCTAAATACAGAATTAGATAATCTGGAGCCTAATGGCTGTGAACTTAATTTAACTATTATCTGTGATTCTTTATTAAGATATGCTTGAATAAATTCTCCCTGTAGTGGTCACAAGAATAGACAGACATTTTATATACAACATGAAGCACACACCACGACCAACAAGTTATCTAACATACTATTTATGGTTATATTAGCTGTATTTTCATCTTTATTTGTAGGAACCGATGAGGTACAACCCATAGCAGCATACCGTAAACTTCTAATACATGAATATTATGGGTTACTGGAAACTGATTAGTTAGAGAAAAGAATTAACAGTAGTAAAAAATTATTCATTAAAGAGAAATTATGCAAGCAAAATGTGTCTGTTGCCGGTATTTAGGGTTGATTACAGGATTGTCATGTCTTAACATTTTGCTTTAATTCTTTAATTAAACATACATTATGCAAGAACTGAATTTGCAGAGCTTTCTTTGGGCCTTAAATGTTACATAAATCATTAGACATTTATTAACATGACAAGACCATAATCCACTCTCAATGCCATTGGATGATTCCGATTTTAAGTAGATTAGAACAGTTTTTGCTATTCAATAACAAAATTTAATAATGGAGAAGTGAGGCTAAGACTTGAATGACTATGGTAAATGGTTTAAAGGATGTGTGTGAAATCATAAGGTCTGTCATTGAGTTATACATGTAAGAGGTGTGGGTTCGATTCCCTGCTTGTACGTGATAAAGATAACAGTCGTCTGCCCAACCTCATTGGTTTTGTTCAGTTCCTTTCCACTGCTGAAGACCCCTACATGCAAGCAAATCATTGAAATAAAATTGAACCATGTGTTAGTCCCAAAATGATCTGCTGGTTTGTGTATGGACCTTAAACCCCAATTTGTTCTCTATTTCAGCTATTAGTGATTGGTCGAAATAGAATCATAAGCAGCAGGCGAGTGGTTACCCAAAATATCTTGTATTTATTCAATTTAGACCCTTAGAGGTCAGGTTGGGAATTCAATCAGGGAACGTCCAATCGATCTGACATCTGTGAGTGTGAGCCCAGTGGCCCCAGTGCAGTGGAATCTGTTAGTGTTTTTATTAATTAGACATTGATAGCCTTAAAACAGTTCAATCTTACTTAAATATATCATTATGGAGTTTATATCCAAATTGGAATTACATAAATAAATTCACTAGCAGATTATTACCTTCACTACGAATATATTTCACAATAAATAATTATTGTTATTATTTTCTAACCAATTTTCACTTCCTGTTGTTATTGAATTTTGTCTTGATTAACCAGTATTCCTACTAGCATCGTAATTTAGGAACTGAAAGACTACTAAATTGTATTTTCTACTCAAGCGGAGATGAACACAATTTTTAAATTTCTTTTTCACAAATAAACACACTGTTTCTTTGTATTATCAATATTAAGATTACAATTATTTTGACATTAATAAGCTGCCATTGAGAGTTATTTCCCCTTTTTTGAGTTTTCTTTTCATGAGAATACGTTTAGCTATTACTTAGAACGGTTATCCAGACAGAAAAATAAACAGAAATAGCTACACAGTGTTCAGACTGGTTATTCAAGAAAAGCAAAATGGCAGGCATCGTGAAATTTTGTAAGCCGTCTGCTATTAGAAGTTTGTTGCAGTGTACTACAAGTATGTAAATCACCCACCCAAGTATGCAAGAACAGAAAAAGTTATACTCTTCTTAAAGAAAATGTTTCTGAGTTCCAAAAAATAGTTTTTACTTTTTATTTTGGAGGTTTAAGTCCAAGAAAATTGTTATGTAAAAATGTTTCGTTGCCACCACGGTTTGTTGACCGTTATCTAATCAATCTGTGCCACTGCCTTTTGACTTCTGTCACATGCTATGTATACTTTTCAGAAATCAAACATTTTATCCAATATTTTCTTTCTTCATTGAACTGATTCTCTGAGGAACAAGAAACAACATGCAATTATTGGGATCCATGCATGCCCCGATCAAGCGAGTGAAGGTCAGCTTATTAATCAAGACAATTGGATTTCGATCCTGGTGTTGGCCCAGACAATTACCCAGGATTCCACTGTGTCATAACGAAGGGTCTGTCAATGAACACGTTTGAATGGTATGGAATACCAAAGTCACTTAAGTCCATCTCCATGCACATAATTATAAAAGGACCCTTGGAAGTTAAAATACGACGATGAGTAGATGAAAACGTCGCTGTCAATAGAAAAAATTTTCCTGAATATATCTGTCTGCATTACCCAGTTGACACAGACAAGTAAAGGGCCATAGCAACAGAGAAAGAGAGAGATGGAATTTAACATCCACTCGACACAAACCATTTTGGGACTATCTATAGCAACAGACGATCATAAAAGTAGAAACATTTTCATAACCACACTTAGAATCTTGTTTTACTTTAGGAAAGTTCTTCATTCCTCATTTCAGTTTCTGAATAAATTAAGAGAGAGAAAGAAAGAAATGGGGTTTAACGTCCACTCAACACAAACTAGGTCATTTAAGGACTAACACATGGTTCAATTTTATTTCAATAATTTGCTGGCGCGTAGGTGTCTTTAGAATTAAGAAAAGAAGATTGATCACTAAATTTGAGAAGAGAAACAGTGTACAAACCAAACACATTATAGACTTGCCTTAAAAAAAAAATCAGTTTGTGTCAAGTGGACGTTAAACCTTTTACTCTCCTGGTACCTTTTAGACATAAGGGCTACTCATCTTGTTCTTCTTGTTGTCTTGGTGATGACACTGTTTGAAAAAGGCCTTAGTCTATGCCAATTCAAGTACCTGTACGATCAATATGAAACTATCTTGTTCCTTAAAAATTGTACCTAGGTTTACAGATTTGATTTTTGATGGCATCATGCTCAGTACACAGCACACTTGTACTTGTTTTTATGGCAAGGTTGAATGATCTGAGTGAATTATAGTAAAATTTAAGAAATAAAAGGAGAATTTATGATTTTTGTTTATCTCCAGAGATTGGCTGTAGACATGTTTGTAGTTCAGCTGATTTACCAGAGACTCATCAGTTATTGAAAGAGACATGTGCTGGTTTTGCTAATAATGAATTGATCCCTACAGCAGGTCAAAATGATAAAGACCACAGATACCCCGTAGAACATGTGAGTTTCTTTGTTTATATTCAGTTCACTTTTTCAGGATATAAAGATTCTAGTTTTGTATCGGAACTCAATTTATGCTCACTATAACCAATTATGCAAGTAGCTTACATGGAGCAAGAGAGAAAGAGAGAAATGGGGTTTTATGTCCACTAAACACAAAGTAGGTCATTTCAGCCTTCATGACTAACATATGGTTCAAGTTTTATTTGACTAATTCACATGCGTGTAGAGTTCTTTAGTGGTGGGAGGAAACTTGAGGACCCAGAGAAAACTCATGAGGTTGGCAAGCGAGCCTACTTCTTGTCACATACAAACTAGGAATCGAAACCAAGCCACTTGACTCAATGACAGACTTTATGGTCTAGAGCACACATGGTAAACCATTCGGCCACCCAATCCGCCACAGCTTGAATGGAATGCCTGATACTATTTTCTATATATCTATAACTTGTGGGGTGGGGTGGGGGGTTGGTTTAACATATGCGCTTTAGATCATAAAGTCTGTCATTAAGACAACTGGCGTGGTTTTGATTCCCCGGTTGTAGTGGACAAGGGGTAGGGACACCTGACCAACCTCATGGGTTTTCTCGGGGTCCTCCAGTTTCCTCCCACTGCTAAAATTGAACCATCTGTTATTTCGGCGTGGTTCCCCCTTGTCAGTGATGCAGGACAGGGGGTCTATAAAAGGACAACATATTTATAGTCATTTAGATGGGAAGAAAAACCTAGGTCCCTTGTACATATTGGCGAGCACAGAAAAAAAACCCTTGGCAGATGGAATTCGATATAAAAGAGTAAGCAATAGTGCCGCTGCTCAGGCAAAAAGCAATAGTGCCACAGCCCGGGCAAAATCTCCCTCATAGCACACTGTATGGCATATGCACGTCTTCATCAGCCCAGTCAGAGCAGAAAAGTAGGACGTTAAACCCTGTTTCATTTGATATATTTCTAGGTAAAGAAACTGGGTGAATTGGGTTTATTATGTGTTGATATAGAAGAAAGTGATGGAGGAACTGGACTGGATTATTTAGCTTATTCTGTTGCTATGGAAGAGATCAGTAGAGGATGTGCATCACTCGGATGTATTATGAGTGTAAATAATGTAAGTATTAATAATAATTTCTGTCAAGTTTTGGGTAAAAGTCATTTCAGTACAGGATGACTGCACCACACATAAACAATAGCCATGAGACAAACATGCGGACACAACACAATCTACAGAGTCATTGCAAGCAAATAATAAACAAAAAAAACACAAGATTATTAAAGAAGCCCTAGACTGTACTATTTGTTAGGCCCCTCACAATCCCTAACCAGAGGAAGATTAAGTCGGAGGATGGCGACGAATGGTTAAGAATAGTTTGGATAAGTAAAGCTTATGGCAGTGACAATGTTATTCTACACCAATACCGGAGGCCCCCAATCTGATTATAACACAGATCCTATTTCGTTTCGGTTTTTCTAGTTAAAAATTTTGTTTTACTGTCTTTACTACACTAGGATCTGGAAGAGTTGTTATCATGGACGTGCTTTGAATAGTGTGATGCACTAGCTAATGAAACAGCCTGTTACAGCGAGCTTTGGACGTGTTTTGTACAAAACTGTGGAAAATCCACTAGTAACATCAATGCCGATTGGTTAATCAAATCCTGATGTCATAGGGTCAAAAGCCGCTCGTGACCTGACGCGAACTATCGCTACATGTAGTGTAGGCCATCGAAAGTATAAAAAAACGAAATGAAAAATAGATCTGTTTTCTTTGTTTTATTTGTTTCGTTTGAATTTGATTTATCTGTTTAGTTTTTGATTGTTTAATTTTTGTTAATGAAGCTGATTCTTTTAAACTTCGTTTTTTATTTTTGAACTCTACTTGGTGTAGGTGTTCATCAGGTAATACCTCGACTGAGTTCAATATAGAGATTAGCCGGTTGATTTGTTGGATATAAACCTTTGAATAATAGCGCCTAACAGGCAGCTGTGTTTAATTATGTTCTCCTGATTTTGATTGTTTTTGTGTGTTTGAAGTATATGTTTGTGATATGCGCTTAGAAACACTTCACGTGTAATGAAGCGCTATATAAATCGAACAATAATAATAATAATAATATATGAAATCAAGTGAATGGATCCAGGGGCCAGCTGTAAGTGTTCAATGTGATATATCGTCCCGGGCCTGTAGTGATACAGTCTTCACTCAAAGTAAAATAAAGATAGATGCACTTTGACTATTCTTGATAAGGACAATAGTAAGTGATTAAGTGAACTATTTGTCCTCTTCAAGATAATATCAGACAGTATCATTGCTTAGTCAGGGGGGTTGGGTGGCCGAGTGGTTAGCATGTGCACGCAGTATCATAAGACCTGTCATTGAGTCAACTGGCGTTTCGAATTCCCAGTTGTACGTGACAGGGAGTAGGGTCACCTGTCCTACCTTGTGGGTTTTTTCCGGGTCCTTCGGTTCCCCCCCCACTGCTAAAGACCCCTACGCGCAAGCGAATTATCGAAATAAAATTAAACCATATATTAGTCCCGAAATAACCTAATTTGTGCCGAGTAGACTTTAAACCCCATTTCTCTCTCTATCATTGCTTAGTCGATATTTTTCCCCCAACACTACACATAGTCCTACAAATCTGCCTATTGCAAGTCTTTCTTTAGGCCTTAAATGCTATATAAATTATTAATTAGACATTACTTAACAATCAACAGATTTTATTCCGATTTGCGTAACGATTCAATAGTGGTTCATGATTAACCGTAAAACTGGATAATTGAGACATTGTTTATTATCGTAATAACGGTAACAATGACAATCGAGACTACAGTGTTATTAAAATGAGTATTCCTCGGCTCAGAGTGAAGTAATTTCCCTTTACATTATTTTTTTAAAACTATTATAGCGAGAAATGTCAGCTCTTTACCTAATCTCCCATAATATCGCTTTAAGAACTACATGGAGCTAAAATCTAAATTCAGTCAAATAATAGAATGAATGTTTGTAATACTAGCAAAAAGAAACTAATTTGAAGTCGTAATGAAATCATTTTGTTTAATTGATCACACAATCATTTCTTAATCTGATCTGAATATTTCAACATATCCAGAATCTATTAGGCATGGTTAGTTCTAGTAGATTACTGGGTAGAAAGTTGTGAATTGTTGATATGAGAATCGCAGTTAACTAAAACATAAGCTTAAAAACTAAGACCCTCTGATATTGGTCACTTTTGTACAATCTACCTGAAAATAAAATCAAACGACTTCAGAAACTTCAAAATAAAGCTGCCCAGATCATAACCAAGACGACACCAAATGGAAATATAATACCAATTCTGAAAGATCTCCACTGGCTTCCAGTCCATCAACATATCAATTTTAAAATACTGTCTATTACGTATTCTGCTCTAATTGACGATTCTTCACCACAATACTTTAGAGACTTTCTCATCACCAATAAACCTTGCAGAAACCTTCGATCACAATCAGGCAACCTCTCTATTAAGCCCTTTTCAAAAACCAACTGCGGTGATAGATCTTTCACCGTCGGTGCTCCGAAGTTATGGAATTCAATATCAAACGAAACCAAAAGTGCAAATTCTATTAAAGGTTTTAAAAAGTATCTCAAGACCGAACTTTTTAATCAAATTTACAACTGATTGAATACGGTTCTAGCTGTGTTTGTGTCAGACTATTACCATGTGTACTAAATAATGTTCTCTGTTTTTTGTTTTTTTAATGGATTAATGTGTTGTGATTGTTGTAATTTTATATTAGTTGTACTTACGTAAAGTGCCCGAGAGCAGCTGGCTGAGTCAGCTGGCTGAGTTGAATTGTTGGCGCTATATAAATCAATTATTATTTATTATTATTATTTCATCTTAGTTCTGTGAATGTGTAGTTGATTTCATACCGAGGGTCAGTTATTCATGGTGTAGTTGAGTGTTAACTGACGTTACAATTATTGATACCTGTTTTCTTATTTTTCAGTCTCTGTATCTAGGTCCAGTAAAAAATTTTGCTACTCCAGCACAGAAAGAAAAATTTTTAAAACCATTTTTAAACGGTGACAGAGTCGGATGTTTTGCTTTAAGTGAACCAGGTAACGACAATCGTTTTTCACCTTCTTCTTTTACGTCTTTGGAGGGTCACCTGTCCAACCTAATGGGTTTTCTGGAATTCCTCCCACTGCTAAAGATCCCTAGCACAAGTGAATTATTGAAATAAAATTAAACCATATTTAAGTCCCGAATTGAACTATTTTGTGGCGAGTGGATGTTAAACCCCATTTTTCTCTCTCTTTCGCCTTGTGTTGGAAGAAAATTAAAACATTTATTTATTTATATATTTATTTATTCTTCAACATGACAACAATAAATATAGCTATGTATATGAAATAAGGACTATGTGCTGCATTGTATGATTGGGAAAATAACATATGGATATACTACTTCTGAAGTTAACATGCTACGTTTCAATACACGTACAGGTATCATTATCAAGCAAATAATAATTAGTTAACAAAAATGTGATGCAAGATGTTGAAACCTAGCATGTTAATAAACACACAGAAGTAGAATATCCATATAAGTGTTTTAATTGATTTCTTCCGACATGATTTCCCCTTGTCAGTAGTGCAGGAAGGAGGGCCTGACAAGGACAGCTGTCTAGTCGTTTGGATGGAACGGAAAACGAGGTCCCGTACATACATTGACGTGGACGTAAAAGTTCCTTTGGCAGTTGGAATTCGATATAAGTGTAGGCAAAATTTCCCTCATAGCACACTGTATGGCGTATGCCCGTCTTCATTAGCCCAGTCGGAGCAGAACAGTAGGACGTTAAACCCCATTTCATTTCATTTACTTATAAGGATTATGTGTTGGAACAGTTTACTAGTTTTATACCTCCATCCTTTAACACCTGGTACTTGTAACCATTGACAACCATATGATTCCTATAATACCTGGTACTTGTAACCATTGACAACCAGGATTCCTATAATACCTGGTACTTGTTACCATTGACAACCAGGATTCCTTTAACACCTGGTACTTATAACCATTGACAACCAGGATTCCTTTAATACCTGGTACTTGTAACCATTGACAACCAGGATTTCTCTAATACCTGGTACTTGTAACCATTGACAACCATGATTCCCCGATACTACATGGAAGCTTGTAGCTTATTTTCAAAACAGCTTGAAAATATTGCTTCGTAGACCACATCGAACTCCCAGAGTCAAACAAATAGTAATTGATGCTGAAATAGTTTACAGCTATAAATGTGACTGTAGAGAGATCAGTGGTTTCTGTTTGTCCAAGCGCTACACACACACACACATGGCAATAATTCATTTACTGTACATGTAGCACCTTAATCTAAAATCATATTTTCCCATTGTTTCAATGATTTGTCAATCATTTTGTCGGTATTTAGATTTGGTGTACTGTACATTTGTTTTATTCAGGAAATGGTAGTGATGCCGGAGCAGCGTCAACAACAGCGCAACTAGATGGTGATTCGTGGGTTTTAAATGGAACAAAATCATGGATTACAAATGGTTATGAATCTGAAGCTACAGTAGTAAGTTATTACAGATTTAACTATATTGTTAGTCTCAAAATGTGACCTCCAGAATGTCTGGTCCCATCCCACTGCTAAAGAACGCTATGTGGAAGTGAATTATTGAAATAAAATCGTACCATATGTTAGTTCCAAAGTGACTACAACAGTTCTGTTCTGGTAGGAGGTCAGTTCATTTGGATCAATTAGTATAGATTCCAATGAGTATACATACATGAGTATATCAGAGGTATAGTAGGGAAAACTGAAGATTTTGTGTCTGCAAACTACAGTAAATTAACCATGTTCAACAGTCTTAAAGACATGTAGATATTAATCGTGTATTACAGTTTGTCAGAAAATATCTACATGTATACTGAAATAAAAAATGATAATATGTATATACAATAAGTAAGGGTAGATATTGTTTTAATGTACCATATTCCTTATTTCAATTTTTCAGGTCTTCGCCACAACAGATAAAAATATGAAACACAAGGTAATAAATGACTCTTTATGTTTTACCTGTCTTTTCATCTTCACAAACATTTTTGAACCTGGAAATGGTTGCTAAGCCTTACACATCTTGTGGCTCCACCAGTTTAACTATATCTACGATCGACTTGAATCTTGCCTTGGACAATTGCGCTTTGATCAACAGACTGTGATTTTTGATACGACGTCACAGTTCCAAGATGTCAGCGATGATAGCATGTCTTGTTTGTTTGTTGAGAAAAGGATAGTGAAATGGTCATTAAAACTAACATTTCAATTCAATTTTGTAATTCGTAGACTTAACATTAGGCAATAAGGAAGATAAATTGGGTATCCGAGCGACGTCAACATGTAATTTTATATTTGTTTTTGTCAGGGAATCAGTGCCTTTCTGGTACCTAAACCAACTCCTGGTTTAACATTAGGCAAGAAAGAAGATAAGTTGGGTATCCGAGCGACGTCAACATGTAATTTTATATTTGTTTTTGTCAGGGAATCAGTGCCTTTCTGGTACCTAAACCAACTCCTGGTTTAACATTAGGCAAGAAAGAAGATAAGTTGGGTATCCGAGCGACGTCCACATGTAATCTTATATTTGATGAGTGTAGAATACCAAAAGAAAATTTACTCGGAGAACCTGGGTTCGGCTTTAAAATAGCAATGGTAAGTTTTACATATTTTAAAATAGCAATGGTAAGTTTTACAAATTTTCAAATAGCAGTGGTAAGTTTTACATATTTTAAAATAGCCATGGTAAGTTTTACAAATTTTAAAATAGCAGTGGTAAGTTTTACATATTTTAAAATAGCAGTGGTAAGTTTTACATATTTTAAAATAGCAGTGGTAAGTTTTACATATTTAAAAATAGCCATGGTAAGTTTTACAAATTTTAAAATAGCAGTGGTAAGTTTTACATATTTTAAAATAGCAGTGGTAAGTTTTACATATTTTAAAATAGCAGTGGTAAGTTTTACATATTTAAAAATAGCAATAATTGTGCATATTTAATGAAATGAAATTAAATGAAGTTTTAACGCCTTAAGTATAATTAATGGACTTTAAAGATAATTTAAAGCCCTTAGCACCTTGAACAGCTGAACTACTTTTCCGTCTAGCACCTGATTATATACCGTCTTTAATTAATTCACAGGTATTCATGTGAATTAGAATGTTACAATTAGAAATTGGAAGTGTTTACAAAATATTGTTTGTATTTCAGCAAACACTAGATGCAGGAAGAATAGGAATAGCTAGTCAGGCTTTAGGTATTGGTCAGGTAAATATTTATATATACACCTTGATTTACACAATAGCCAATTTATGTTTTATTTGAAATTATTTTGTCAATCTGATATTTTGTTAGTACTTTTTGTATGTAAAGCACATCGAGGAACAGGTAAAGACAGGTGATATATAAATGTTTTGTAATACAGGTATTTTGTATCTTACAGGCTGCTATTGATTGCGCTATAGATTATGCAACAAAAAGACAAGCGTTCGGTTCTCCTATATCAAAAATGCAAGCCATACAGGTAAGAGTAAACATTATAGAGTTATGTTTTAAATGAAAATGGGTTGGCTGGTCAAGTGGTCTAACTGGTGTATTTGGCTGGTCAAGTGGTCTAACTGGTGTATTTGGCTGGTCAAGTGGTCTAACTGGTGTATTTGGCTGGTCAAGTGGTCTAACTGGTGTATTTGGCTGGTCAAGTGGTCTAACTGGTGTATTTGGCTGGTCAAGTGGTCTAACTGGTGTATTTGGCTGGTCAAGTGGTCTAACTGGTGTATTTGGCTGGTCAAGTGGTCTAACTGGTGTATTTGATATTAGAAAGTCTGTCATTGAATCAAGTCACATGGTTTCGATCCCTGTGGTAAAGATCCTACATGGACCTGCAAGAGAATTAATGAAATAAAATTTACCATATGTTAGTCCTGAAATGGTGTAGTTTGTGTCAAGTTTCTCACAGACTGGTTTAGATTTACTTGAAGCATTGAGACTGGATGATAGTGAGTAATGGATGTATTGAAGGATGATCGAGTGTTTGGATCGTCCAGTCATTACTCACAAAAATGTTAAGTGGTATCGGATTTTCGATATAGTAGCAAGGCATATGGTAACTCATGCATTACACCCAGTTCTATTTGTATAGTGAAATGATGAATGTGATGCAAAGAAATATTTTGATAATTTGATGTGAAGTAATATATTGATGTGAAGTAATATTTTGATATGAAGTAATAATTTGATGCGAAGTAATTATTTAATGTGAAGTAATAATTTGTTGTGAAGTAATAATTTGATGTGAAGTAATATATTGTCATGAAGTAATAATCTAATGTGAAGTAATATATTGTTGTTAAATAATAATTGTTGTGAAGTAATAATTTGATGAGAAGTTATATTTTGATGTAAAGTAATATTTTGTTGTTACATGAAGTAATATTTTGTATTACAGATGAAATTAGCTGATATGGAGGTAAAACAAGAATCTGCTCGATTATTAACTTATAAAGCAGCTTTATTAAAAGATGCTGGTAGACCTTATACCAAGGTGAGTTTATATTATGGTAATGTTCATCTAAACTTAATAATGTTGTGAAATGAGATGGGATTTAACGTCATACTTTTCTTCACCAACCTGGCTAATGAAGGCAGGGTTATTCCTTGCCATGTGCTTTGATGTAAATTTTGCCTGGACAGCAGCGCTATCGCCTACTATTTATTTCAAATTCCAAAAATCAAGGATTCTTTTACATGCACACCGATGTGTACATAGGACAACAGACCACGATTTTTGGCCCTGTTCTGTTCTGTTCTGCACAACTGACAGGGGGAAACCTGGGGAGCTTTCTCTGCCAACAATGGGATCGAATCTGAGTCACCCAGCTAGCTACTTAATCACGGAGATACACGCCATTAGAATGTTTTATGAATTTAGTGCTTTATAAATGAACATATTATTATCTTCAAAAACATTGAATGAAGTCAACTGGTATTCAGAACTGAAGATTTATTTGAAAGTTTCACAAATTCTAGAAATTTTAATTAATGAATTTAATAAAAATCTAGAAATCAATCATTTGAATTGTAAAATTAGAATTTGACCGCTATTAATTACAATATTACTTGTGTTTTGTAGGAAGCTGCCATGGCCAAATTAGCAGCATCAGAGGCAGCTACATATATAGCTCACCAGGTTTGTAGAATTTTTACATTAAATGTATCATATAGTTATGATATCGAGTGACAAGCTTGATGTGTTGCTCGATGTTTGGCTTGAGGTGTGGCTTGTTGTTAATAAACGTAATTGACACAACACCCAACTGGTTAAGTGTGTCTAGTATAAATATTTATTTTCTTTGAGCAGCAATTGACACAATTACTATTTTGATTAAGGATTATCTCAACGTTATCTCATCATTTGTTTGATAGATAACCTCTCTCTACGAAATGTCGCTTTGATTCAAATAGTTATTGTGTTCCATATTATGTTTTTATGTTTATTATAAATCTATAAAATAAAAGGGAATTTTTTTTGTTTGTATGTTATGTTTGCTATAGTCAACCCAAAAGGTTATTTTAAAATAACTTAATTAATAATGATAGGATTTTTATCTAGAAATTTAATGGTGGTAATTATTTTGTATTATATTTTCCTGAATGAATTACATGTACATATAATGATAACATGTTTTGTTCCCAGACTTGTGTTTTAAGATACTGTTTGTTTTAATTTCAGTGTATTCAGATATTGGGTGGAATGGGTTATGTGACTGATATGCCTGCTGAAAGACATTATCGTGATGCTAGAATAACGGAAATATACGAGGGAACGAGTGAAATTCAACGGCTCGTTATAGCTGGTGCTTTATTGAAAGAATTTAATATGAAAAATTAAACAACAGTCCAATATGTCTATCTGTGTTGCTCAAATGTCAAATTATCATTTTAAAACAATGTAGGAGTTTATATGGGCGTTATAACTCGGACCAACAAATATAAATGATCAAATGTTCATTTTAAAACTCTCACGAATAAATACTAATGTAATTTATTTTAAATAATAATTTGAAAATATCTGTGAATTTTCTGAATGGCACAGATCACAGATAATGTTTGAACATAGAATTCCATATTTAAAAAAATAATTGTTAGCATTTAAAAAAGAAATCAGTAGGATTTGAAGTCTCATCCTTTATCCGCAAACTAATTCGATATAAGAGTAGGACGTAGTGCCCTTGTTCGAGCAAAATTTCTCTCATAGCTCAAAACTCCATTAATTCGAGTTCCATCGACATGAAACTATGCATAATTTCATTTTTGTTTTCCTTATAAAAGGTCATCGAGAGAGCCGTCTTCACTCTCACCAACCAATATAAATGTTATTATTATATTCATGTTTAAGGAATTCCAGAGTTAGTATTTTAAGAAAGGAAGAACAGGTTAATACGATTTGGATTTTTATCATTAATCCGCAAACTTTATACATCTGGAGAGGCATCTTCATATCGTCAAGTGTGACAACGGTTATGGTTTTTGTTCCTACATTTGTATGTGACAAGTGAGGATGGATGGCTGTATCATAAGATCTGACATTGAGTCAACTGGGGTGGTTTCAATTCCCCAGTTGTACATGACAAGGAGCCGGGTCGCCTGTCCAACCTTGTGGGTTTTCTCTGGGCCCCCAGTTTCCTCCCACTGCTTAATTAAGACCCCTACAAGAATTATTGAAATAAAATTGAACCATATGTTAGTCCTGAAATGGCCTACTTTGTGTCGAGTGAACCGCACTACATGGATTTGATGTGATCCGCTCTCCTGTTCCTCCGACTATGCAGATTATTAAAAAAATTCATACATGACCCCTTCTTAATGTATTAAATAAAATTTCCATCATGTTAGCAGATGAATATATAATACTGTATTTATTTTTCGAATTAGGGTTGAGTGCCTGCGAAAAACTTACAAGGTTAGGCAGGCAATCTGACTCCTTTTCTGTCTGAACACGATTTGCATAGGTAACAGGTCATAAAGTCTACAGTATGTTCGTTCGACCACTTGTAGACACCCCTCCACCCTCCGACACACTAACAACTTGCATAGGTAACAGGTCATATGTTCTACAGCATTCTCCGTGAACTACTTGTAGACACACCCCTCCCTCCCTGCAACACACAGATGCTTGACTTATGAAAGCTTATCAACAGTCATATGATCTACAGCATTCACCATGGACTACTTGTAGACACACCCCTCCCTCCCTCCGTCAGACACACACAGATGCTTGACTTATGAGAGGTTATCAACTAATAGATGATATTATGGGAAATGAATGAAATAATTTGAGTAATTTACATGTATTCAGGGATTATAATGTTTATAGAAATTGTATATATAGAGTATATATGATAATGTGTGATTAATTAATATATAGAAATGAATAAATGATGTTGATTTTCATTCTCAGAGTTCTTTTCTCTTGTGGGTTAGGGGGGGCTGAATGACCTGTCAAAGAGTCAAATACCATGGTTCCGATTCACAGAATATATGTGACAAAGATTAGGAATTTAGCTGATGTGGTTAAAGTCAATGTTGCCCAAGCCATAGCATCTGTAGCAGTGGGGGAGGGAGGGGGAACTGTAGCAGTAGGAGGAGACCAGAGAAAACCTATAAGGTTAGGCAGACAACGTTTTCGTGTACAACATTTGGATTGAAACCACGTCTCTTAACAGACAAACCTTATGATGAACAACTGGACAATGATGAATGAGGGGTGGGCCAGGGTGTTACACTCATGTAGTATTGGTATAATATTTTACACTGTAGATCAGAGCTTCTACTTCAACATTTTCACTGTCAATTGTTTTTGATAAGGTACAAAAACTTTGCAAAATAAATTCATATTTAATGTTTTTTTTATTTATGGTAGGATATTGTTTATTACGTCTGCAAGGTGTAAGATACCTGTAAACTTGGTCATATTAATCTACCTGGTAATGTTAGATCATAATCAGCCTCAGGCTACAATAAGGCTTTTACTACCTTTTGTGAGGCCATAACAAGTTGAAGTTTTGTTTTTCAAGAACACCTAGTAAAATTTGACTTCCTAGTTCTTGGGAGAGGAAGAAAAATTAATTTAAAAACTAAATAACTGATTGGTCGCTCTTATCTAAAAGCTTTTAGTTGAATTCTTAAAGGAGCTAAATTGCTAATATTTGGGACCTAGAAATTGACACAAATGGGTTGCAACGTATATGATAATGTAATATGAATGTATTATTTACTGATCTACATTCAATCATTTCCATTTTTACTCTCATTTCAAATCAGTTATGTTTGGCAAAATACACCAGAAGTCTCAACCGAATGGCAATCTCTAGCATCTGGTTATTCCAGTCTATTGCCCATGTTCTCAAGATAAGCATATGAGGTCACCATTTGACATGACGTGTGGAATATGTTACAAATGTCTTAAATATTGGTAATCAGAAGACCATCTTTTCCCAGGAAGACCACAAAATCAATGTTGATTTAAATTTAAATTGACAAATAATTTGTGTTTTACGAGTAAGACTTTGGATGATATTGAGTTAGAGATTTATTTACTTTAAGATCTGACATTGTAACCAAATGATTGTTTATGATATTCAAGTGGCTATGTTTATCAAGACCTTGAAGTGGCCTGAAGAACTAAACATTATATTGATTTGGCCTGATCAGGTGAATATTATACACAATGTTATTGATTACAATACTGGGATAATAAATTACATAACATGTCATAATATCATAATATCAATCGGTTGACATAACTTTATATACATATCATATATCTGTCATATGATATCTAATATTAATCAACAGGTTGTCTTTTTGATTGATTCAAACTTTGACAAGATCTTTTATAATATGTCACTTCATTACATCAGTCAATTGTTAAAAAGTGGAAATGATGTCAAACTATTGATATTTATGATCAGAGAGATTGTATTGTTTATGAATGCAAACGGACAGACAGCCATTTTTACACATCACTAAGATTTTAATAATAAATGAAATGAAATGGGGGTTTAACGTCCCACGGTTCTGCCGCGACTGTATTTAAATGAAATGAGGTTTAACGTCCTACTGTTCTACTCCGACTGGGCTAAGGAAGACAGGCATACATGATACAGTGCGCTATGGGGGAAATTTTCCCAGAACAGCAGTGCTAAGGCCTACTCTTATATTGCATTCCAACTGCCAAGGGATCTTTTACGTACACGCCAATGTGTACACAAGACCTGCACCACTGACGAGACGAAACCACGTCAGAAATCCTGATAAACTTTCTCGCCCAATGCAGGGATCGAACACGCGACCTCCAGGCTAGCGAGCCAGTGTCTTACTCACTTAGTCACCGTGGCTCCAATAATTTTGAGACTTACATATAGTTATTGTTTTCTATGGTCACATGATGTACCAGTTTTCTCGAACAGCAAGGTTTTTACTACTATTCATTGAATTCCATCTGTCCCATCCTAACGACCAGACTTTTGTTGTTCCTTGCCACGCCCTCCCAGTCATACTTCATTAACCATCCCAAAATTTTTAAAGGAACTTTCTCAGCCATAACCATCCCAAAATTTTTAAAGGAACTTTCTCAGCCAAAGCCAGGAATAAACCTGGAACTCCTGCTTAGAGAATCTGAGCCAACGAACAAAGATGTTTATTTTTAGTTATATCATAGAGAGAGATATGGGGTTTAATAACCACTCGACACAAATTAGGTCATTCCAAGACTAACATATTATTCAACCTTATTTCAATAATTTGCTTACCCATAGGGGTCTTTAGCAGTGGGAAAAAAATGGAGGACCAGGAGAAAACCCACAAGGTTGGAGGTGAACCTTCTACTCATCACATTCAAGCAGGGAATCGAAACCTAGCAGGTAAACCAAACAACGCCAGTTGACTCAATGACAGACCTTATGATACAGCGCGTACATGCAAACCATTCAGCCATCCAACCCCCTCTTTTATCATAGATGTAGAAACAAATAAAACCACCATTAAATATATATATTAAAACATTTATTCTTCATCAATAACTACACTCATATCAACAATCCACATCATATTTACATACACTGGACATTCTAGTCTAGTATTTTATACAAGATCATTTAGTATTTCATTCTACTAAATAATCTATACAATTATACTGGACATTTTAGTCTAGTATTTTATACAAGATCATTTAGTATTTCATTCCACTAAATAATCTATACAATTATACTGGACATTTTAGTCTAGTATTTTATACAAGATCATCTAGTATTTTATACTACTGAATAATCTATACAATTATACTTTCAGGTAATTATAACAGCCCTAATGCCTCAAGAAAAGAAGTTTACTTAAACTGTCTTAAAATCAATTGTTTACTTGACATTTTAAGAGTGTTGAACTACTATGGTAACCAATAGTAACCAAGATATCTTACTTCCATCTGTTATAAATATCGTATATTTAAAATCAAATACAAAAAAATATGATTAGGAACTCTAAAAGCCATGTGGGCTAAACCCCAGATTTAAGTCTGTAAACATCATCAGAGGGATAGAGGAATCCCCATGTAAACACCAACAGAGGGACAGGGGAATCCCCCTGCAAATTTAATATCTCGGTTCAGAGTGAATCAATTTGACTGAAATTTTCAACATGTTCTCTTTACGTTATCTGTTTTTTTTTAACTATTATAGCGAGAACTGTCAACCCTTTATCTAATCTCCCATAATGCCCTTTTTAAGTTTTGCTGAATTTTTTTAATTTGATGGAATACAACGCGGGACATTATCTGGCGTTGGTATTTTGATTTTATTTATTAAATTAAATAATTAATTTAAGTAGTCTGTAGCGTAGATTAAGTTGCACAAAATTTGATATTTTTGGAAAAATGGAAATGACATTCAAAAACTCATCAGATAAAAATTAGAAATGAATGAATGATAAATACAATATTAAATGGAAGTTTTTATATAAAATTGAGTATTTTATTTGATCAGATCTAATTCTCCTTCTTCTGTTTTGATAATGGATGTTTTTTACAATCACCATAAATCTGATTCATGTCAAATTCTTGAATCACGCTTTCCTGAAAAAAACAAAACATAGAAGAAATGTCATCCTACCTTTTGGAGATTCCTACAAACATGGTAATATTTGTTTTAGTGTTTAAAAATAACAACAGACATCTGGGGATCATACAATTAGCTTTCTTGATTTCTTAGAAATGGGGGTTGGATGACCGAATGGTTAGCACGTGACGTGTGCACTGTATCATAAGGTCTGTCATTGAGTCAATTGGCGTGGTTTCGATTCCCAGGTCGTACATGACAAGGAGTAGGGTCGCATGTGGTTTTTCTCCATGTTCTCCGGTTTCCTCCCATTGCTAAAGACCCCTACGCACAAGCAAATTATTGAAATAAATTTAAAACATGTGTTAGTCCCGAAATGACCTAGTTTGTGTCAAGTGGATGCTAAGTCCTATTTCTCTCTCTCCTAGTTAGGTCCTCTATATATATATATATGCTGTACCACTAACAAGCGGAAGTCTTGCTGAAAAATTTTCAGGCAATTTCTCAGCCAACACCGGGGTTGAACGCAGGATCTCCTGTTAGTGAACAGTGGCTTACTCTCTGATTGACCACGGCTCCCAACTTGTATTAAATGGTATTAAAATTAACTTACCTTGGTCCATGTAAATTTAATTGTTTGTTTTCCCTTTGAGAGCGGTCGTCTCATTTTTTCTTTGCCTCCTTCAAATAAGATGACCGTTGGTAACTGTCTCGACCATGACGTACAATCTACCTTAAATCTGAAATATAAACAAGTACGATAATACTATATAACCCATGACATCATCGTGGCCATCTTGAAATATTCACATCATTTGTCAATCCACAAGTACGATTATACCATATGAACAGGAAACCAGCAAGCAAATACAACTTCATTACTGCCATCATAGCATTATGACGTCATTAAAAATTGATGTCCGTCAATCTATTTGCAATTGGGCAAAGACCAAGCTATCCTACTCCAAATGGAGACGTAGGTCTTTTTGAAGCGTGTCGCTCAAAGAACGAAAACAAAATTACCAAATGTCTGGAAGTTTAGGAGCCGCTGTAGCCAAAACACCCACATTCTAGGTGTCGACAAAAAAGAATCTCAGGATTTTTCAAGTCTAGCTAGGGTCTGACGTCCTTGAAAAATTTCTGGTCCCTTCTTAAGAAAAATGTGTATTTTGAATGGTCGAATACTTACTTTTCAGCAATAATAGGAAACTTTGTAATATCCATCTTACCAAATCTTAAATTATCTAAATGATACCTGCAACAATAAAAGTTGTTATATTATAAAATTGTCTGGTTTTTTTTTAAAACTGGTCAAATAGAATAAAAATCAATGTAAACTTTATTTACACATTTGTTAACATGAAAAGACCATAATCAACTCTCGATGTCCGATTATCTGATCTGCTGTTCAATGCTCCTTGATGTTTAAACGCAAAAATGGATAATCGAGAATTTATTAATTATCGTGACAGTGGTATCAATGACAATCAAGGCTACAGTGATTTTAAAATATTGTTTACTTGGTGTAAATTGGAGCAATTTGACTGAAATTTTCAACATATCCTGTTTACATTATCTAGTTTTTAATTATTATTGTGAGAACTTCCAGTTGTTTATCTAATCTTCCATAATGTATCTTTAAAAAATGGAATGATTTTTGAAGCAGCCTTGTTTTAATAAAGAACTTTTAATTGTATATGGCCTTAAAATTAATATAAAAGGTGACACAAAAAAATATAGCCTAACCTCTATTCTGGTAATTCAGGGGTCAGGGGTTATATAGACTTATCACCATAAACTTTATTCTTGATGTTTTAATCAGTGAATATTTTAGTACAAAGAATATTTAAAACAATACTTACTCATTGCTTATTTGAGAAAAGATTGGTGCAAATGTAACACAAGGTGGTGACCAGGCAGCGTAAAATGCTACAACCCACGTTATTCTTCTGTCCCTTTCTAATTCTTCCTGTAAAAATATCATAGTAATATTTAGTACATCTCAGCAATTCTTACTTATACATGAGAGAGACAGAGAGAGAGAGATGGGGTTTAACCTCCACTCAAAACAAACTAAGTCATTTCGGGACTAACATATGGTTCAATTTTATTTCAATAATTCTCTTGTGCGTAGGGGTATTTAGCAGTGGGGGGGGAAACAGGTATACCCGAGAAAACCTACGAGGTTCGACATGCGACCCTACTCTTTGTCACGTACAACCGAGGAATGATACAACGCGCATGTGCTAACTATTCGGCCATCCAACCTTCCAGCATCACAAAAGGAAAAGTGGGTCAACGCATTTGCGATAGAAATATTTTATTGACGAGCCAAAATCCTACACCTAATGTCTACAAGGCGATTCATAAAATCTGTAAGAAAAATCTTAAAATTCTACGGTTAAAAACTGCTTTATTGGTAATATTGTTTATTACAAAAGCTAATTTTTTGGGTACTCGTTATTTCTCAATAAGTAGTTTATGTCTCTAACAGATAAAATACTTTCTGGTTTAACGAACTATTAAATGTGGTGTAAAATATTAAAAGTAAGCATTTAGCTTCCATAGATGTGTATATTGATGATGTAAATATTTCTGTCTATATAAATAGTAGGACCAGACCTAAGAGCTTAACTTACCTCAAGATGGGGACCTCTAAAATAGGTGATATAATCAGGTCCAGCATAACTTGGTTCTGGCAGGAATATAAAATGTACTGAAAAATGAATTTTTTATCAACTATCAAGCTTTCTGTTTTAAGTTGTTTAAGGTCATTTTGTGTAATGTCATCAAATGAATATTATTAGCGAGAGAGAGATTAATGGGGTTTAACGTCCACTCGACACAAACTAGGTCATTTCGGGACTAACATATGGTTTAATTTTATTTACATAATTCGCTTGCGCGTAGGGGTCTTTAGCAGTGGGAGGAAACCGGAGGACCCGGAGAAAACCCACGAGGTTGGACAGGCGACCCTACTCCTTGCTACGTACAACCGGGGACTCGAAACCACGCCAGTCGACTCAATGACAGACTTTATGATACAGCGCGCGCACGCTAACCATTCAGCCATCCAACCCCCCAAATATTATTAGCAATTTTCAACAAAAATTTATCTTAATAAGACATTAATGTCATTCATAAAATCACTAGATCTGTAAACTCAAGTTGAATGAATTTTGTTTTTTCATCATATGAGTACAGACTGGAGTACACTAAAATGATACGAAATGAAATGAGGGAAATTTTGCACTGACAGCGGCACTATGGCCTACTCTTATATCGAATTCCAACTGTCAAGTGATCTTTTATGTGAACGCCAATGTGTACATGGGACCTCTGTTTTTCGTCCCATCCAAACGACTAGACAGGTGTCCTTGACAGACCTTCCGTCCTGCATCACTGACAAGGGAGAACCACGCCGGAAAATCTGGATGAACAATCTCGGCCAATGCAGGCATCGAACAGCCGGTCTCCTGGCTAGCGAGCCAGCATCTTACCCACTTAGCCACCGTGACCCCAACTTTTCATCAAATGAGCACAGACTGGAGTAAACTAAAATGGTACGACAATTTATAATAGAAAAAAATATAATTTATGATTACTTACATATGCAGAGACCTCCATATATTGTGCCATACATGGGGTTGGCTTTAAAAAACATGACTGTGTTTAACATTTTTGAAAATAAACACGCTGTGTGTATGTAGTCGACAAAATATGCTGAAAAATAAATCATAAAAAGTTTTAAAAAAAATATCAAAATTTAATTTTTCAAATTTATATATATGTAATGGTAAATCCCTGTCAGTGATGCAGGACAGACGGCTTGCCACAGAAACACATCTGGTTGTTCAGATAATATGGAAAATAAAAACAAGGTCATGTGCACAATATAGGCCAACTATTTCCAGTGTACAGCATACATGTAGGCCTATTATTTCCAATGTACAGTATACATGTAGGCCTATTATTTCCAGTGTACAGCATAGGCCAACTATTTCCAGTGTAGGCCTATAGTATACATGTAGGCCTACTAATGACAGCACCTGAAAGATATCTCACTGTACATTTGGAAATCAAGACACATGAAAGAACCGACCATAGCTACATGTATTAGCTAGCACTGCTGACAGGACAAAATATCCCTCATACATAGCACACTGAGTGATATATGCAAATCTTCATTACATTGCGCAATATCTACAAATGGCACAAGCGAATAATTCTAGTTTTCTTTAATTTTAAAAACAGTGACAGATCAATAAAAACCCTTAGCTTGCAAGACTCTATGCATAGTATATTTACCTAATTTTTTGGTCTTTAACACAATAACACATCCCAGAAATGTTATCCATTCCCATTCTTGCTGCAAATATAATATCATAAAATACGTTTATTTATACATGGAAAAAGAAAATCAAAATACGTCCAACAAATCTGCATAATAAATGATGATGACATTTTTATTAAAAATCTACAATATATTTAAACATTCAACATAGCTTTTGAGTCATTTTGACGTCTTATAGGGCTCAATGAAATATTACTTGGGCCCTAAAATGACCTTTTGAAGCAATCTAATTATTTCAACAATACCTTTTGTAAAAGATCCACGTCGACTAACCACCGTTTGTTTTATTACGTAACGGAGTAACCGACTGTGACGAGGGAAGCCACTATTGCACTAATGAAGTGTCACCTTGAAATTTTAATGCGCTTGTGTTTACGTTTACCCAAAAAAGGTTCGAAGACGAAACAAAACTTCTACTTACCAAAGCTAGAGTGCAATCATAAAATAAATACGTGCAAACAAATGGCGTGGTTTTTAGAATAAAATATGCGAGAGCTAGGAAAATATTTGTTGCATGATGCGGAGTTAACAGGGTTCTTGTCCCATACAGTAGCTCATTCAACCCCATCTTTCCTCTCAAGTAAAGTCGACTTCAACTTTACAACCGGAAACATGTGTCCAAGGGAGACAACTCTCATCTTCAAGCGGCGAAAAATAGGCTATACTAAGTGATAAACAGAAGTTGATATTTGGCAATCCAAATAAAATTTATCAAAAAGCAGAATGTAGTTTGATATTTAAATTAATTTAATATGAGAATATCATTTGGAGTATAAGAAGTAAATAACAAATTTCAGGGTAACAAATATATATTTCAGAGAATTTTTCGGTTAGTTACGAAGATCAAGCATGGCTGCTTTGATTCTGTATTGCGATTTCTGTTGTTATTTGTTTTGTTTATGAGACCACGTGGGGTCTAATTTAATCATGGACAATTTTTACAGTATACTAGATTGTGGTGATTTTTCTGGAACAGAAGAATTAAGGCGGTCGTACATAAGACTAGTGAAGAAGTATCACCCCGATAAGGCCGTGCCATCAGAAAATCCACCACAATATTCACTGCCTGACGCAACTGGAGATCGTCAACAAACCTCGCCGTCCAATTCTAATGACACTTTTATTAAGATCGACAAAGCATGGAAAATTTTAAGTGATACAGAACTAAAAAAGAGATATGATATCGTTTTAAAACAACGCCTTTTGTCTCAAGACTGGCCGATACAAGATGAGGTTATGATAGGAGATTTTGAAGATGATGATGATGATAACCTTCTTCATCCATGCCGCTGCAGTGGATACTATGTTTTAACCAAAGACGATATGAAGTTTCAGTTAGATTTTGTTTGCTGTGATTCGTGTACTTTATGCGTTAAGGTTCTGTATGAAGAAGAACTAGATGATCCGGATTGAAATTTAAAAATTTAAAATTGTTTGTGATAGTACATGTCTTTAGTTTATTCATAGCCCTACGCCCTGGCCTAGCTGTGTGACTGTGTGTACATATATTTATTCATAGGCCTCGCCTGGGCTTAGAATTAAAGATTCTGGTTGTACATTGTACAAAACATGTGCATAAAATATATTAACTAAAAAAAAAAGCACAGAAAAGATGAGAAGCTGTGCCTTGCAGCTTGTACATGAACATGTATGTGTGTCTTATGCCTTATGTACATGTAATTTTTATTTCCGGCAGGGTATAAATGGGTGAAATTGTAGTCAATCAAATTCAGATTAAAGTACAGGTTAAAGAAACACGATATAAACTATTTAGATATTTGTTTGTTTGTTTGTAAGTAGAGAATGACTAAAAAAGCTAGCCCCACTAACGGGAGAGGAAGGTGGGATTGACCCCCACTAATGGGAGAGGGGAGAGGGGGGTGGGGTTAGAGAAGGCACTAATACTACATGTAACTGAGGGATGGATGGAGAGGGGTCGAGAATGGGGGTTGTATAGAAAAAAACCTACCCCCTCTGAGGGCATTCATTTGATTAGACCTAATCTCACTCTAGGGATTTTTCGGGCCATTGTTCTGAGGGTTGCTTGGAAGGGATTTTATAGAGAAGAGACCAATAACAAAAAAGTAAGTTGGAATACATGATACATGTCCAGGTGAAAGAGGGGAGGCCACTGTCATGCATCCTTATCTGAATCTGATCTTGGCTAGCCGATCTTTTTGTTACAGACTTGTTAAAAGCCTTAGACTCCACAGTCCTTTATGTACACGTAATGTCCGATTCTTTAATACACTAATTTGTCCATAATTATTTATTCATGTGGACCCAGAAGATTGGTGGTTCATGTATATACAAATGTCAAGAACTAATCAGTCGATATCCTACAGAATGTGAGCTGTTTTATAACCTGGCTGATTCGTACCTAGTTAATTCGTGACTCAAATTGATTCACAATTATACAAAATTACTGGGCGATGGTTTCACTAGGAATCTCTAGTCTTTATGAAGCAGGAATTGTATTCCATACTAAATGACACTGAAACAGCCTATCCTATATTATGACCAAAGGATTGGATCTGTTAGATTGGACATGTATCACATCAAAACACAACAAATACCATCAAAAATACATCAAATACCATCAAAAACACCTAAAATACCCTAACCATAACACACCATCCAAAACACCTGTAATATACACCCAAAAATCTCCTCAAATACCCATCCAAAACACATCAAACATACTCACCCACCAAAACACATCCAAAAACACATTAAATACGGGACTGAACACGGTTTTAATGGGAACCAATCACTGGCTTTATTCTAAAAGCACGACATTTCAACAAGTATCATTTTAATATACACACCAAAATACTTGTATTTCTTAATAAAAGTTTGGAAACTAACTGCAAAGCCAAAGATGATTAATCTAAGTAGCAATCTAATATCTAAATCTATTTATCAGGTATAAAGGGAGATAACTGAGTAAGATTTCAATTTTCTGCAAATTATCGAATATTCCAGCCACACTGTTAAAAATAATAAGGCAGTTTACACCAATTCGAGTGGCAACTAGCTGCCACGTAAGTTAGGGTAACTCCTAACCTTTAGTGGTGTAAACTGATAAAACTAAAATAGTGTATAACATTACATCAAAGTTGCCACTTCCATTAGTGTAAACTGCCTGATACACTACACTAGGATAAGTGTTGCATTATGTGTAGGATAAAACACGAGACGTCGGTTATGCTGGGGAAAGAAAGACTGAAGAAAATAACCAGAGAAAAAGAAAAACCGAGACCGGCAAACCGAGGTTTTCTGTCGAAGGGTTTTTCTGAAGTCTTCCCCCGCATAACCGAAGTCGAGGACTTTATCTTACTTATAAACCGTCTATGTTTACATGTACGTAAAATGAGAATATCCCAGAATTCCAGTAAGAAAAACCTTATATCATGTTTTCTAATAGAAAAAAACCCCTACGCTGGAAGAATAACCCGTTACAGGTTTAAAGAAAAACTTTCAGAAGAATAACCCCAAATTTCCCTGAATATATCGAAAGCCGCCCCGACTTTCAGACCGCAAGTTATTCCGGGCATAGAATATACCCCAAAGATCAAAGTGATTTACCGTTATAGGTTTATAAGACAGTTTAATGGTACACTTCAATAGCTTACATCCGTGGGTGTAGATTTAGCATTACACCTCAAGGGTGTTTTATAAATTACACTTCTATATTACACAAAAGCGGGTGTAATTTGTTTCATTGAAAACACTGTTGTAGAACAGTGTTAGGTTGGATATTTATTTCAAGCCAACGAATTTCAAATTCAGAAAACTTGAAAAATTGGCTCTGTGATAATATGTATAGGGCATTTAGCCCGATTCAGATTACGTCAAGACCGTCGACTACTTCTATTCATTGTACAAAATTAAATTAACAAATATCCACCAGACCGATTCAATGTTAACTGCTGTTGGACAATTAGACAATCTCTATCAATTTACAATGAATATAAACCAAGGGGAATATTCAATATACATATCCTTGCAACTTAGTTGAATTCCCTGTGCTGTGGACAATTTGATGTTTCCCGAAAAATGTCAACAATGATCAAACAGTTTAAACGGGCACAATTTATACGGTGTCTAATTTTCCAGTGGTATATTTCCGTTCATTATATGTATAATAATATACCTATCTAGTAGCTTAGGGCATAGGTGATAACAAGACGCGAGACATTGAGTCCGAGTCAAGTCGATCGAGTCACAAAGTCTTCACAAAGTCCAAGTCCTGTTCAAGTGGCCAGTTCATTAAACAAGCCAGCAAATCAACTTAGCCCACTATTTTGCCACCAGTGGACCTATCATGCAGTTGCCTTTTTTTCAATGAAATTTATTTTTGCGTAAACACGTCATTGATGTTGCGAGTTGCCAAGACTGCCAAGTCCGAGTTGCCACGACTGCCGATTCCGAGTTGAATCTAAGTCGAGATAAATATTCCCACCCCTGACTGAGGGGATATAAATCTCTCAGCCAGAACGATAACACATTATGAGGCGAATTCTCGAAATAATATAGTAGTATTTATAATCTCAAAACACCCGACATTACATCACCTGGCTAGTGTCACTCTATTGCACAAGGACAAAACCAGATTCTAAAGTTTCGGGCGGGGGTGGGGGTGGAGGTGGGGGCAGTATATAAAAAAAGGCATCATAATATTTTTAACAACATTGACAGTAAGCTGACAAGTCCCAAAACTTAAAAAATCATGATCGTTCCAACTTTTTTTAAATGTAGAAATGGGTCGTTTAAACGATTTAGCGTGAATTCAACGATACAGGTGTCGAGTCAATAAAGTAGCGAATTTCTCGGACAAATGACAGTTACAACATACGAATCATTAACATACACTCGTTATTTTTATGCTTATTTAATTTCAGTTGACATCATCTTGTCATCTTGATCTTCTCGTCAAAAAATACGAGAGAGAGAGAGGGGGAGGGGGAGAGTTTAACGTCCACTCGACACAAACTAGGTCATTTCGGGACTAACACATGGTTCAACTTTATTGCAATAATTCGATTACGTGTAGGGGTCTTTAGCAGTGGGAGGAAAACAGAGGACCCGGAGAAAACCCACGAGGTTGGACAGGCGACACAACCCCCTGTCACGTATACAACCGGGAAATCGAAACCACGCCAGATGACTCAATGACATACCTTGTGATATAGCACCACCCCTCTCTCAGATGTTAAAGGAGCTCAAACTCTAACTCAGTATTATCCATGAAATTAAACACAGGAATTAGAATTCAATACTGGTCCATTTCAATCAATATTGATGTTATTATCTTTTATCTTACTGTGAAAATATAGGAACCAAATACATGTATCCAATATTTATACAAGACACAATATGAACATTTTAAAATCACTACACGAGTCGTGTATTCTATGGACATAATGATTTCGAGTTCCATCCATTCGTAATGCTTAAAGAAAAACATTTCCTTCAAGACTATGTGGAAGTACATGTAATTAAAAATGACTGATTCAAAAATTCACCCCCCCCCCCAAAAAAAAAAAACCAACAAAAAAAAAAACCATGTAGAATGGACAAAGCAGGCGTAAAAGACTGTCGTTCAATTTGTACGGTTCACGTATTTCACTGAACAAGATTGATTAGAATTTACAATAAAAATAAAATTCAAAATTGGATATGAATCCCTTTTTATAGACACTTAAAGATACATTATGGGAGATTAGATAACGAGCTGGCAGTTCGCACTATAATAGTTAAAAACTAGATAATGTAAAGGCAATTTGCTGAAAATTTCATTCAAATTGATCCACTATGAACCGAGAACTAAGTGATTGAAATTTCCGCCTAGCCTCGATCATCATTACTAAAGTCAGTACGATAAACAGCATAGTCTCGATTATCCATTTAATCGTTAAATCGTGAAGGAAAGTTATGCAGTAAATCGGTTCATAATCCACTAAAGATCGCAGACTAGCGATGGCACCGAGATGTGATTATGGTCTGGATAAGTTAATTAATGTCTAATTAATAATTCAGATAACATTTCAGGCCTAAAGAACGATCTGCAATAGACAGATTTAACTCTTGCATAATGTATGTTTATTATGTGCTTTTACACCCGGCTTCGTTTATTTTATGGTTCAAAAGAATAGAGCTGCACCCCCTTTAATTAAAGATGGGTTATTTCCAATAAAAGTATGGCAATTTTGGTATATATGGAAAGTAGAGATATCCAATCTTACTAGAAAAATACTGGATTCCCCGAAAAACACTCATGGAGCGTATACAGGACAAAAATGTAAGGGTTCCCCTAATCAACAGCCCGACGATTATGAACTTCTGCACGCGTGATGTCAAAGGTCACAAGCGAACATTGAGCGCTTGATGTACAAGTTGATAAACTTTATGAAGAGTTAGACGTACAATACTTTCTGAGATAAAAATGACGGAAAAAGACGCGGGTAGTGGGTAATCCGAGAATTTAATTAGGATTCGATATTTGTAATAAATAGTAAGCGATTTATAAAGACTACATCGTCTTATGTATGCAATGAATTCTCCTCTGACTCACAAGACGTGACGTAAACATGACCTGGTTTGGTCGAACTTTTATAGCAGGACATTCCTTCGCAATTACAATGTTTGAGAAGGATTTGAAGCATAATTATGACAAATTAATTAGTTTGAATATGTTTTTAGTACATATATACCATTAAATCACCCAGTTTGTACGCGGGAATGTATCTTTAAGTGTTCGATATGACAATATGAAACATTCAGGAGAAGATAACTGGAACAGAAATCGCACTAGTCTGTGATCAGCTGAGAAATCTAAATTTCCTCATGCATTATAAAACTACATGGTCATCAAATGTTTGCAGAGAGAGAGAGAGAGAGAGAGAGGGGGAATGGGGTTTTAACGTCCACTCGACAAATACGTCATTTCGGGAACAACACATGGTTCATTTTATTTCAATAATTCGCTTGCTCCTCGGGGTCTTTAGCAGTGGGAGGAAATCGGAGAAGCCGGAGAAAACCCACGAAGTTGGACAGGGGACCCTACTCCTTGCACGTACAACCCGGGAATCGAAACCCCGCAAGTTGACTCAATGACAAACTGTATGTTACAGGGCGCGCTTGCTAACCATTCGGCCACCCCCCCCCCCCCTGCACACAGAGAACATTCTACTTCCTGAATAAACCACCATTTTCAAAAATGAGTATACTATTTCGTATTGACGTTCTACTCTGTTTCACAACTGTCAAACGCACAACGATTACATTTTCACACACACACACACACACACACACACATCATGCGATGTACAAAAACGAAAATATTGCTTTGACAGCGTTTTGTCCGCCTAGTCTGTGGCGGTTAAAGCCGCACTTTATAACCACATAACGTCGACCCAGTTAAAACGATATGCCGCTTTGACTGAACACACTGCCCGTGCATTACCATTCATAACGCTCAACTTAATCAACGTGTAAGTAATTTATTTTCCGACAAATGACATTTTTTAAAGAATTCTACACTATACAATCGTATTGTTATACCACAGAGAAGCCTTCACCATGTGCGCATTTAAGCGTTTGTTTATATTTCAAGAAATAATAAAATCAACATCAACCCAGCTTATATTTATTATGAATTGGATTGTTGTCATTCGTTCTAAGCAACCATTTGTACATAAAGCACCGCTTTACCGTCTAACAAATTATTAATTTCCTACAAGATCCATATAATTGTCTATTATTATAAGCCGACCTATTCCGCAACACTGACTCTGTTTGTTCTAGAAGACGCTATATTATTTCAATTTCTCATGCTAAAGATATTACAACAACATTTAAGATGACAGCCAAAAGTCCCCGGTATTGTGAACGTGCAGAGCAGTAAAAAGATTAATTAGCCACGCATGGTGAACACAAACAGTGACGCATAGAACACCGGGGCAATATGATCGCTTTCGTGTTTATATCTTCTCTTTTTAAACACCATCACGTGATTCAAACAAGATTAGAATTACCGATATTCTATTTGTCATTTCGTGGACATTGACGTGTAACCACCTTAAATTTACCCGTCTGCGACATAACAGTTCAATTAGCGAACACATAGAGCCTAGATTATCAGCTAACACTATTCTAAATGGTATAATTTTCAGTGGCACGCTTCCAAAACAAATAGAAAAGACATGATAAATTCTTAGACTCAGTTTTATGATTATTGGGCAGGCTATTACGGTAATCCCTGTTCGTGTGTATTATATTGTTTATGGATGAACAAGACTCCAACTCGGCACCGGAGCATTGTTTATAAACTGTGCATATATTTATTATCGATTATCCAGTAAAGAGGTTATATAGAACGCACCTCGTCTGACAAGTTTACAAGTCGCATTAGCTTTAGTGCCATTGTCAAAACCGACAATTTCTTTTACTATGTATTATCGATCGAGTGTTGTGACGTAGATGTGAGGTGAAAACAGACTGTATCAGGCCTATAGTGTTATATTTAGTTTTAACAGGCTTTTATCACGGACTAGAACGAACGAACGAACGAGAGGAAATAACTCGTGTATATTTAAAAGACTTCTGCTTTGTTCCGTGTCTGTGATTAACTAGGAACAAGATAAAAGCACACGTTGAACGGTTTCACAATTTAAACCCAGATAAAAGTGGAAACAGTTTATATACCTTTCAAAAGGTAAGTTTAGTTTTCTTCTGACAGGGAATATAATAATTCACAACAATGAAATAAAATGGTGTTGATCTTCCATTTTTTTATAGACTACTTCACCAAAATAAAATGTTTGCTCGTCCTTCTCTTCCGTTCCACAACAGTCGGTCTGTCTAACGAAGACGAGGTTCGAATAATGAATTTTAATGTCTTAGTTTTCTGCATCAAACCGTGCACGTTAAAGAACACTTCAGAATTATAAATGGACGAAAAGTTGACGGAGAGAGAGAGAGAAATGGGGTTTAACGTCCACTCGACACAAATTAACATATGGTTTAATTTTATTTCAATAATTCGCTTGCGCGTAGGGCTCTTTAGCAGTGGGAGGAAACCGGAGGACCCGGAGAAAACCCACGAGGTTGGACAGGCGACCCTACTCCTTGTCACGTACAACCGGGGATTCGAGACCACGCCAGTCGACTCAATGACAAACTTTATGATACAGCGCGCGCACGCTAACCATTCAGCCATCCAACCCCCCTAAAAGTTGACGGAAAGTAAACTGGAAGGGAATGAAATGAAGTTTAATATCCTGCTTGTCCGCACTAGCCGGCTCTATAATATACAGTTGCTATATCAAAGTTGCAATTTCATATTTTTACGCTTTTTTTTAAAAATTTATTAAAAAAAAGCCTTAAAATAGATGGTATCTATAAACAGTCCTACCTTGTTAAAGAATAATCCTATTAATCCTATAATTCACTATTGCCAGTTGAGAAATTGGCAAAAATATCAATTTCCTCTTCAAGTTCAAACGTTTGAATATAGCTACTCCATGGTGGAGAATACAAAACAAGTGAGGTAATTGGGAGGTAATTGTGTTATTATTTCCGGTGTAAATGAGTTTTAAGTGTGAGAATGACACCTATGATCGTATAATAGTGAGTTGACAACCTATTGAGCAAAAGACATAGAAATAATTATGTTTTGACTTTCTTAGAAAGTATGAAATTCTAACTTTAACGAAATTCTACTCCTGCCAGTAGAAATGAAATGTTCCTGCATTTCTGTGCGGTCGACTGGGCTAATGAGTCTACTCGTATCTCGAATTTCAACTGTCAAGGATTCTGTCGCGTGCACTCCAGTGTATACACGAGACCTCGGTTTTGCGTCACATCTGAACGGCTAGAAACTGTCATTGGCTCTGGAACTTCCCCACGAACGTCCTCGACCAACACGGGGATCGAACCATCGAGCCAGTTCCTGTTCACCGAACCACCGCGGACCCCCTTGAAAGTGGCTCTACCGTCTTCTCTTATTTCATTGTCCGGGAATTGTTAACATGCTGCCAATGATAAAAAACACGGGAGCTCGGGTTTTCGTCCCTTCCGGAAGACTAGAAGCTTTTCATGACAGGGGAAAGCAGGCTGACAAATTCCGAGCAACTTTCTCGGACAACACCTGGGTTGTATCTGGCCAGTGCACCGACAAATCTTCTCAACATTGGACCAAGTTACCCGGGAATATCTAGCGTGATTTCGCCTTGTTAGTATTACAGGAAGGATGACCTTACAAGGGACTGTGTCTAGTCTTCCGGATGGGACAAAGACAGAGGCCCCGTGTAGATAAAAAAGTTGGGACAATATCTATTACACATGATATTAAGTGTAATGCTTGTTGAGAATAACACAATATTAAAACCTATTATTCTAACTAAAGATATATTATGGAAGATTAGATAAAGAGCTGGCAGTTCTCACTATAATAGCTAAAAACTAGATAATGTAAAGGCAATTTGCTGAAAATTCCATTCAAATTGATCCACTATGACCCAAGAATTAATCGATTGAAATTTCCGCCTAGTCTCGGCCATCATTACTAAAGTCGGTACAACAAAAATCATAGTCTCAATTATCCATTTAATCATTTAATCGTAAAGGAAAGTTATGCAGTAAATCAGCTCATAATCCACTAAAGATTTCAGGCGACGCCATCTAGAGTTGATTATGGTCTGGATAGGTTAATAAATGTCTAATTAATAATTTAGATAACATTTTTAGGCCTAAAGAAAGACCTGCAATAGACTTAGATTTAGCTCTTGTATAATGTATGATTAACATTTATAAAGGTTTATTTTAAACACACGGAATGCGTAATGGTTCTCGCTGGTTCTGGAAATTCTGTTAAAATGGTGAATGTATGGGTTACGTCAGAATTTATAAACATATATATAACCTGTTGGAAAAATAATAATTATTATTACATACTTCAGTAGCACACAAATAAATCTGTCCATGTGCAGCGGTCTAGAAATACAATACTATATTTACATAATAAAACAGGATAACGTGATACAATATACATACAACAATATTCAGTTTAAATTACATATGATTAATATATTTACGCGCAATCAAATTATAAAATAAATTATGTTAGTCACGAAATGACCTAGTTTTTGTTGAGTGGACATGAAACACCCCCCTCTCTCTCTCTCTCTCTCTCTCTCTCTCTCTTTCTCTCTCTGACCGTAACCAGGTGATGAAAGGACGCTGAATTTTACTTATCAAAAACTGCACGACAACCCGAGTTCCCACGTATTTATTAGGGGCACGTAAAATATCTCTTGGCATACCTACGAAGAGAAGGCAGACACGCAGCTGCCTGGGCAACATTTCCACATAACATACTGAATGGTACGCACCGGCCTTCGTTATCCCGGTTTGAGCAGGAAACCAAGACGTTCAACCTCATTTCATTTCTAAATTATTTGTAACTGCTCTAAGCCTATGTTACTATATATGACAGGAGGTCGCGGGTTTCCTCCCGGTTTTGGTCCAGAAAGTTCCGGCGTAGTTTCCCCTTGTCAGTGATGCAGGACGGAGGGCCTGACAAGGACAGATGTCTAGTCGTTCGGATGGGACGAAAGACCGAGGTCCTGTATACAAATTGGCGTGCACCTAAAAGATCTGTTGGTAGTTGGAATTCGATGTAAAAGTAGACCAAAGTGCCGCTGCCCGGTCAAAATTTCCCTCACAGCACACTGTATGGCTATGCCCGTCTTCAATAGCCCAGTCGGAGCAAAACTGTAGGACATTAAACCCAATTTCATATTATTTCATTTAGTATATATGTTATATGATAAAGCACGAGACTAAGGAAGTGCTGAGGAAAAAAAGACTAAAGAAAATAACCTAAGAAAAAGAACTTAATCTTGCTTATAAACCGTCTATGTTTACATGTACGTAAAATGAGAATATCCCAGAATTCCAGTAAGAAAAACCTTATATCATGTTTTCTCATTGGAAAAAAACCCTACCCTGGAAGAATAACCCTTTACTGGTTTAAAGAAAAACTTTCAGAAGAATAACCCCAAATTCCCCTGTATACATATCCAAAGCCACCCGACTTTCAGACCGCAAGTTATTCTGGGCATAGAATATACCCCAAAGATGAAAGAGATTTACCGTTATAGGCTTATCATTTATAATAATTAATAGCCCGGTTGGTGCAGGGAGAGGGGTTCACTAGACCGCGGGTTCTCTAGTCTGCCGCTATAAGAAATACTATAAATATGGGTATCAAAAAACCTAATCCGAACCCTAACCCTAATAATAGATATCGGTGCGGACTAGTGTGTCTTAACCCTAACCCTAACCCAACCCCTATAATAGATATCGGTGGACTAATGAACTCGCGGACTAGTGAGCAGAATAGTAGGAAATTAAACCCTATTTCATTTAATTGACCTATGCCCTATGATTATTTCTCCTAATTAATAGCTAACCAAACGAATTGAATTTATTGTAAATAATAAAGAACAAGTTGGATCAATATATTTTATAATGGACGATGTATTTACATACCGACTTGGTATAGAGGATTCTAGGAATAAAAATACACCTCGTGTATTGATCGTAGGGAAACGCGAAACATACATTTAATGATTGAAAGCACACACTCCCTACAGAATAAAACAATAGAACACTTAAAATAACAGTCAATATGTAAACAATTCATTGATTCACAGAACAGACAGATGAAATATCATTATCTGATCACAGCCAGATGAAATGGGGTTTAGAGTTCTACGGTTTTGCAGCGATTGGGCTATTGAAGACGGGCGCACACAGCGACTGGGCTATTGAAGACGGGCGCACACAGCGACTGGGCTATTGAAGACGGGCACACACAGTGACTGGGCTATTGAAGACGGGCGCACACAGCGACTGGGCTATTGAAGACGGGCGCACACAGCGACTGGGCTATTGAAGACGGGCGCACACAGCGACTGGGCTATTGAAGACGGGCGCACACAGCGATCTATGTACTTTGAGAATAGACCTTGGCCCTGAATGGCCACCATATTGAAAGATTAGTGTACTAATTTGTTATGCATTTCCAAATTTTTTTTACATATGTCATTTACACAGAAAGACTAAACAAAAAAAAACATGTTTAGAAAAATGCTACTCAAAATTCTAGAAATGTTTTCAACCAAAAACGTAGATGTATGTATTAAAATGTCGGTTAATTATCTTCGTGTTTGTTCTCAAGGAGAGCTAACTGTACACAGACAGCGTATGTTTCGTATGGAAATATCAGTGGCCGTTGAGTGACGTAAGAACATCTGTCAATGACCAATGTCCCTTTCATTACCATTTGTCGTGTTTCCCGTGAACCGTGATAATGATAATTTAAATACTTCTGTGTTGGCACTTGACTCATCGCCATTATCACATTAGTTTTAACAAATAAAATATGAATGAATATCCATTGAACTGCCAAAAGGTTGAGATAACTTTCAATTTTACCATTACAATCCTATCATGTCAGTTGTTTTTATAAAGGGAGTCACGGTGGCTAAGTGGGTAAGACCCTGGCTCGCCAGCCTAGAAACCGGGTGGTCGATCCCTGCATTAGCCGAGAAAGTTTATCCAGATTTTCCGGCGTGGTTTCCCCTTGTCAGTGATGCAGGGCGGAGGGCCTGACAAGGACAGCTGTCTAGTCGTTCGGATGGGACGAAAAACCAAGGTCCGGTGTAAACATTGGCGTGCACATAAAAGATCCCTAGACAGTTGGAATTCGATATAAGAGTAGGCTGTAGTGCTGCAATCCAGGCAAAATTTCCACTACAGCACACTGCATGACGTACGTCGGTCTTCATTAGCACAGAGGGTGGCTAGCACGTGGGCGTTGTATCAACTGGCGTGGTTTTGATTCCCGGCTTTTACGTGACAAGGAATAGGATCGCCTATCCAACCTCGTGGGCTTTCTCCGGATCCTCCGGTTTCCTCCCACTGTTAACGACCCCTACGCGCAAGCGAAATATTGAAATAAAATTGAACCATATGTTAGTCCCGAAATGATCTAGTTTGTGTCGAATGGACGTTAAACCCATCTCTCTCTCTCTCTCTCTCTCTCTCTCTCTCTCTCGTACATATGACAATTATAAACCAGCCTGACGTACCCTCTCTTTTGAAGTAAAACATTAATAATAGAGAAGGGGAATCACGTGGCTAAGTGGGTAAGACGCTGGCTCGCTAGCCTGGAGGTAGGGTGTTCGATCCATGCATTGGCCGAGAAAGTTCATCCAGATTTTCCGGCGTGGTTTCCCCTTGTCAGTGATGTAGGACGGAGGGCCTGACAAGGACAGCTGTCTAGTCCTTCGGATGAGACGATAAACCGAGGTCCCGTGTATACATTGGAATGCACGTAAAAGATCCCTTGGCAGTTGGAATTCGATATAAGAGTCTGCGATAGTGCCGCTGCCCGGGCAAAATTTCCCTCATAGCACACTGTATGGCCGTCTTCATTAGCCCAGTATAGGAGCAGAACAGTAGGACGTTAAACCCCATTTCATTTCATTTACAAAAGATGTCACAGCAGAGAACACAGATAGAAACAAAACAAAAAACGGGCAATGCTAGAAACATGTCGATGATAATAATAGAAATACAAGACAGCAGACATGTGGTGAAATAAATATAATAATCAATATCTATCTATATTTAATCAATGTCACCAGGTAATAAAGGTGTAATTCAATTTCTATCAATGGAATATAATACTCGAGTACCCACCTGAACTCGGCGTTTTTATTAAAGTGTAACCCTAGAACGTATATATAAACATATTATAACAGATCAAAGAATATAGATATAATAATATTTATTTATAATTACCTGTTGCCACTTATAAACACATACTCCCAGGTGTATTAATGTACAGGTAAATTAGTGTCCTACTTTTCTCCTTAAGGACAGCAGCTATCTAGTCGTTCGTTTGGCACGGAAATCCAATGTCCCGTGTACACATTGGTGTGCTCGTAAAAGATCCCTTGGAATGCGACATAAGAGTAAGCCGTAGTGCAACTGTCTGGGCAAACTGTTCGTCATAGCACACTGTATGGCGTAAGCCCGTCTTCATTAGCCCATTAGGAGCTGGGCCCTTATTCACGAAAACTTAAACTAAGATACAATCGAAATTTTAAGAAATACTGCAATTCGATTGACTGACCAGTAAAATCAATTTGCATATATCCAATGAAGTTGCAGTATTTCTTAAAATTTCGGTTGTAAATTAGTTTAAGTTTTGGTGAATAAGGGCCGAGGACAGGAGGATGTTAAACCCCTGTTTCATTTTATTTCCTACTTTCCTGCATCAACCGGGATGATGAAAATGGTGTGTGCTTTAAGGGACATTTTGACCTTACAGCTGTCAGGGTATCTCTAGCGTGCTCTCAATGGTATAACCTGTTCCTTTCTAGACGTTTAGTTTCTTTGGTTTGATAACCGAGAGAGAGAGAGAGAGAGAGAGAGAGAGAGAGAGAGAGGGGTAGAGAGTGAGAGAGGGAGAGAGACAGAGACAGAGAGAGAGACATAGAGAGGGAGAGAGAGAGAGAGTGGGAGAGAGAGAGGGAGAGAGGGAGGGGTAGAGAGAGAGGGAGAGAGGGAGGGGTAGAGAGAGAGGGAGGGTAGAGAGAGGGAGGGGTAGAGAGAGAAAGAGAGAGAGAGAGAGAGGGAGGGGTAGAGAGAGAGGGAGGGTAGAGAGAGGGAGAGAGGGAGAGAGAGAGAAAGGGATTGGTAGAGCGAGAGCGAGAGATGGGTTTTAACGTCCACTCGACACAAACTAACACATGGTTCAAAGTAGGGGTCTTTAGCAGTGTGAGAAAACAGGAGGACCCGGAGAAAACCAACAAGGTTGGACAGGCGATCCTACTCCTTGTCACGTTCAACCGGGGAATCGAAACCCGGCCAGTTGACTCAATGACAGATCTTATGATACAGGGATCACGTGCTAACCATTAATCCATCCAATCCCCCGATAGCCGTTCGAATACCCTGGGACCTGTTTCACGAAATTTTAACTAAGATAAAATCCAAATTTTAGTAATTTGATTGGATAATATTAGATTGATTTTAGTGCTTAGCCAATCAAAATTGAAGAATCTACTAAAATTTGGATTTTATCTTTAGTTAAGATTTTGAGAAACATGGCCCGGACAATTTGTGTAAAACGAGATGATTGTATTGATACAATACTGGAATATTATTCTGATAAATATGACAGGGTGAGAACATTCCTCTCTCATATATAAAATGTTTTTATATAAAACAAATGACTAAATACGACAGCTGAATAAATGTTAACCACTAGTTGTGATGTTGTTTGAGTAACCTACTATTCGTATTTGATTAAAGTTAAAAAACATATATGGTGTGTCTACTATTAAACCCCCGCGATGATTTCTTTTCTCATACAGTTAGATACGGTAAACACGATAGCACTGTGGTAACCACGGTGACGCAGTGATTAAACACGGTGGCACAGTGGTAAACGCGATGACGCAGTGGTAAACACGGTGGCACCGTAGTGAACACGATAGCGCAGTGATTAAACACGTTGGCACAGTGGTAAACACGATGACGCAGTGGTAAACACGGTGGCACCGTGGCGAACACGATAGCGCAGTGGTAAAACATCCTGCATCACCGACAAGAGGAAACCACACTAGGATATCCCAGGAATTTTCTAGACCAACACCAAGATTGAACCGTAGACCTCCTGGTTGGTGAGCCAGTGCCTTATACTCACTGAGTCACCGCGATTTCCCCAATAATTAGATAGAACCAAAGAGAGAGAGAGAGAGAGAGAGAGAGAGAGAAAGAGAGAGATAGAGATGGGTTTAACGACAAACTAGGTCATTTCGGGACAAACATGTTTTTTTTTAAATTTTATTTCAATAATTTGCTTGCGCGTAGGGGTCTTTAGCAGTGAAAGGAAACCGGCCCGGAGAAAACCCACGAGGTTGGACAGGCGACCTAACTCCTTGTCACGTACAACCGGGGAATGGAAACCACCCCAGTTGACTCAATGACCGGCCTTATGATACAGCGCGCACGTGCTAACCATTCGGCCATACTACCCCCTAGAACCAAAGAGGATTGCCTTCCTTTAGTTTGCAATGCACTTAAAATAATGTTTCCTATATGTGATTTCAGAATGACACAGCGAAGAAAGAAGGCGTTTCGTGTACCGTCAAGACTATTCCAAGAACGACAAACACAACATCAAGCGGACGAACATGTCACTGATCAAAGCACTGATACCCCGGATCGTTCAACGTCTAACAGAAAACACAAAAATAATTTTAAAGTTACAGAAGAAACCGGTTCAAAGCTTTTACTACCAACATGGCTGCCTTGGTTTCTGGTATTTTTCAATATGGTGTCACGTGTTCATTACGTCATGAAACCAAAGAACTGGTGGATATTACACCCGGATGAAGTATTCCAGGGAGTTGAAGGTTGGTAAATTAATACACTCCCTCCGATTATTTTTATTATCTTAGTGCACACTGTGGGGGGGGGGGGGCGGATAGTACCTCGAGAAGATACACGAGGCTGAGAAGGCGCCCCTATCTCCTAGCCACATACACTCACACCAGGGATCGAAAATCTGGGAATCGAAACCACGTCACTTGACTCTATGACAGACGCCCACGCACTGGACCATTCGGCCACCCTACACCCCCTACCCTACCCTACCCCCACCCTACGCCCCCACCCTACCACCAAACTCAACCCTACACCCCACCACACACCCCACCCTACACCCCCAGATTGATAGAAAAAAAACCCCGTATCTCTGTAATTTAGCCGTATTGGAAGAGGGAATCTTGGTTGTGATAACAACACAGTAGTTTAAACCCGCCATCTACACAATAACTAGTTTTATATTATTCGAACCTCCCAAAAGAATTCACTAAATTAAAGCTGTTCAAGTTTTATTCGCCGAACCAATTATTGTGAAAGTGTATCTAGGGAATTTAACGGTCAATCTATTACAGATACCCCACACATCAATACTAGGATCCCGGCAAACTTGTATTGATTGGCTAGTTGTCGAGGATATGACCTCCCCATGGGTTAATTAGCTGTGGTCCCAGTGATATTACTAATTTCACGTCTGACAAATACAGTGAATTATTGGATGATTGTATGATAAATAACTATTAGGCCACGAGTTCACATGACGGCCATCTTTCCTTCATTTAAACCAGTCATATGATTAAAGACGAACGATCAGTAGGATTATATCAATAACATCACAATGTTACTGACTAGTCCTTCAGATGGGACAAAAAACCGAGGTTCCGTGTACATATTGGTATGCACGTAAAAGAACCATTGCCAGTTGGAATTAGGTACAAGCATGGAGCCACGGTGGCTAGGTGATTAAGACGCTGGCTCGCTAGCCTGGAGGTCGGGTGTTCGATCCCTGCATTGGCCGAGAATATTCATCCAGATTTTCCGACGTGGTTTCCCCTTGTCAGTGGTGCAGAACGGAGGGCCTGACAAGGACAGCTGTCTAGTCCTTCGGATGAGACGAAAAACCGAGGTCACGCGTATACATTGGAATGCACGTAAAAGATCCCTTGGCAGTTGGAATTCGATATAAGAGTAGGCGATAGTGCCGCTGCCCGGGCAAAATTTCCCTCATAGCACACTGTATGGCGTATGCCCGTCTTCATTAGCCCAGTATAGGAGTAGGACGTTAAACCCCATTTCATTTCATTTCTTTTCTAGTTATAAGCCCTCTCTCTCTCTCTCTCTCTCTCTCTCATACATATGACAATTATAAACCAGCATGACGTACAATCTAAATTAAAAGATTAATTAAACATGAATATTCTCTACACTGATCAATAATTCATTTTAACGTTAATTGATTTCCGTTTACTCGTAATAAAACATAGAAACTCTAGATAATAATCAATGTTGTAAATTATTCAATAATACATGCTAGTCATTATTGATCTCTGATCACGTCAAGTGTGTATCATATAGATCGGTGGCTCAGCGAATATGGCGCTGACTCTGTACTAACCAGGGGAGTCGTGGGTTCAACCCCGGTGTATAGATCGGTAGCTCAGCGAATGAGGCGCTGACTCTGTACTATACACGGGGTCGTGGGTTCAACACCCGTGTATAGATCGGTGGCTATGTCCACTCATGAAGACGGGCATACATCATACAGTGTGCTATGAGGGAAATTTTGCCCGGGCCAATGCAGGGATCGAACACCCGACCTCCAGGCTAGCGAGCCAGCGTCTTAACCCCCTAGCCACCGTGGCTCCCTTAACTAGAAAAGACTTTTGATGCATATCTAATGAACACAATAACTTCAACATATCTCAACGTCATATCTAATCATTCCTTGGTGATAAAAACACAGATATCTTACCCCCCCTCCCCACACACACACCGCTCCCACGCCCCAACCCATCACCCCCACCCCCATCACCCATCCGCCTCAATAGTTACTTTAAAAACTGTTATAAACACTTTATGTGCAAAAACATTTTTAAGTTCAGATTGGTCAAATATTGTTTTTTGCATTTAAGAGAGAGGGAAATGTGGTTTAACCTCCACTCGACACAAACTAGGTCATTTTGGGACTAACATATGGTTCACTTTTATTTCAATAATTCAATTGCGCGTAGGGGTCTTTAGCAGTGGAAGAAAACCGGAGGAACCGGAGAAAACCCACGAGGTTAGACAGGCGACTCTATTCCTTGTCATGTGCAACCGGGGAATCGAAACCACGCCAGTTGACTCAATGACAGACCTTATGATACAGCGCGCACGTGCTAACTATTCGGCCATCCAACCCCACTTACTACATATTATGTCATATTATGACATTATTTGTAGCTTATTGATGGAAAGTTGAAATAATGTAATTTTCTTCCATAAAAATGTTTGAGAAAACTGAAATAAATGTAATTCCCGAAACAGTTGACTGAGAGACAAAAGGTGGAAGTGAGAGCGACAAACCAATGTGCTATTTTTGAATTGATCCCGAACATTCACAGCCTGTCGTTCCATGTTCTGAGATAAAATATGATATGTGAAGCATTCCTTAATCACTTCAGACAGCTCATGTAATTAGAACTATGATGGATTTGAATAAAAAACGAAACATTTTGCTTTTCAGTTGCACATTCTGTTGTTAATGGATATGGTTTTAGAATGTATGAATATCTACCACCGTTACCACTGAACCGAACTACAGCCGCGGAGGATCAGGAATATAGTCTCGGTATATACAGTATGAGATCCTTCTTGTATCCCTACCTCTTTACACCATTTCTATATCTCACGAGGTATATGGGGTTAAAGGTCAACAGTTTCTTGGTAAGTATATACTTCAAAATATACGTACATATATATATATATATATATATATATAAACATTTTTGGAGCACGATCTGGACCCCACGCATCATCCATCTTTTTGTTTTTCTTGTTCCGTAAAAATAATCCAGGGCTTCACGATTGACATGGAATTTGGCATGCTTGATATGACGTGACAATTCCAAGATGGCCGCGATGACGTCATCCTGCGTTCCTGTTCTATATAATACGCTCGTACGTAGGTCAGACATGGTGTGGTAAGTGGCGGGGCAGGAGCGCGAGAGGAATAATTCCAAGATGTCTGCGAGGACTTCATGCTCGGTTTGTGATCGACATAGTACGGTCGTAGGAAATGGGTGTCCGCATGGAAAGGAGCGTGAATATCGTTGATATAATGTTTATCTATGTATATAAACAAAATCAAAGATGTCTGTATGCATGTTCGCCCATCACGCTTCGTCGCCGTCATTTACCCCCACATATGGTATCGAATTACAGGCCCCCGGGTGAAGGCCTGGGATCCTGCCAATAAAGAAATGGGGCGTCAGCTATTTTAATCTGTTTATAACAGGTTCAATAGATTTTGGACCAGACACGGAGCATGGCTTCATCGCCGCCATCTTGTAATTGTGACGTCACATCAAAAATCGTAATCATTTAGTGCGCAATTGTCTATGGAACAAACATGCTATGTTTCATGTCAGTTTAACTTCAATTGGCAGAGGCTTGGACTTTTTCGAAGAACATCGCGCCCAAGATGCATAAAAACATGAGTCCCAAGGGTATCCCCGGGAGAGGGGTTTTACATAGGCTAAGCCTGTTCCCCAATCCATTCAGACATCCTGAATAAAAATATTGTTTATGAAAAAAAAATAAAATTCACGGCTTTTGTTATCATAAGAAATGACTAGACTCCTTTCCATTAACACGTAATGTTCAAAAATATGTAATAGGCCAAGTTGACGGCCAGGTCTAATACTAAGGCCACCAACAGATTTCGCCATGTCAAACAGGGTTAAGGCACGTGATTGTTGCCGAGGATTGTGGGTTAGGGCTAGGTCTAGGGTTAGCGCTAGCCATGTTTACATCTCTTGACCTTGACGAAATCTGCAAGTGACCTTAACATTTAGACCTAAGAAATGAGAGATAGATTTTGACGAGTTATCACCCTTATTTTAATCTAGACCGATGAAATAACACACGGTAAAGTTTATTTAATCGAGTGTGCGAGTTTAATAGATTTTTTTGTTAATACTTGGAAGTTAATTGAATTCTATATTTGGATTTTATACAGATCGACTGTTTATCTAAAGTCAATGTTAATTAAAAATATTTTAATATTCTTCTCGACCTGTGTTTATCCTCGAGTCGACACATTGCGATTATTTGATTATCAGATTATTACAGTTACTTGGACGAGAAGTAGTAGCAATCTGTTTCACGGGGGTAATGCGAAAGCCTTCTTTTAACTCTGTACAAGATGGCTGACATTTATAAGTTTATGAGAGAGAGAGAGGGGGAGGAGAGAGAGGGGAAATGGGGTTAAACGTCCAGTTGACACAAATTAGGTCATTTCGGGACTAAATCACAAGATTCCCCTCTTGTACGTGACAAGGAGTACGGTCACCTGTCCAACCCCGTGGGTTTTCTCTGGGTACTCCAGTTTCCTCCCACTGCTAAAGACCCCTTGGCGGAAGCGAATAATGGAAACAAAATTGAACCATATGTTAGTCCCTAAATGATGTAGTTTGTGTTGAGTGGTCATTAAGCCCCCCCTCTCTCTCCCTCTCTCTCTCTCTCTCTCTCTCTCTGTTGATGAGTTAGGAGTAGGGTTATTTGGATGAGGCGATGAGGAGAGCAAGTAGAAGATGAACAATAGTACGAGATTGATCAGACCATCTTCTATATAGATATATTGACCAGACAATACGTGTTATATAGATATATATTACATGTTTACACTAGTAGGAAAATAACATGTTACTAATTATAGATCATCGGTACACAATATTATATATAGAGTGTTGTCTGGTGTTACTACATAATTGCTTGATGAGAACAAACGAAAAACTGGGGTTTAACGTCCTACTGTTAACAGCATTAGGACTAATGAAGACTGGCATATGTCATACAGTGTGATATGAGGGACATTTTGCCCTGGCAGCGGCATATGTCATACAGTATGTTATGAGGAACAATTTCTCCGGACAGCGGCACTACAGCCTACTCTTATATCGAATTCCAACTGTCAAGGGTTCTTTTACGTGCACGCCAATGTGTACACCGGACCTCGGTTTTTCGTATCATCCGAAGGACTAGACAGTTGTCCTTGTCAGACCCTCCGTTCTGCACCACTGACAAGGGGAAACCACGTCGGAAAATCCCAATGAACTTTCTCGGCCAATCCAGGGATCGAACACGTGACCTCCAGGCTAGCGAGCCAGCGTCTTACCCACTTAGCCACCGTGGCTCCTAGATATAAAATGGAATGGGGTTTAACGTCCTACTGTTCTGCTGATGGTACAACACAATCAAACGTTATCATCACAGAATAATTGGTTGACATGAATGATTTCTACAAGTGTCTATGATCAATTGAATTAATACAATATGTTGCCGTATAGATGTCGTCAAGACAGCCAGTCAACCGGAAATAAAACAGATTGCTCGTGCTGTATATTGATATCATTAGATTATCCAACCGTTAAACATTTAATGGGTGTAATGTACACGTTTATGTCCAACACGGCTAATAAAGACGAATATCCATTTAGTATGCTGCGAGGGGAATTTTGCCCGGACAGTGGCGTTAGGCCTACTGATCACCCAAACGACTAGAAGCAGGCCCTCTGTCCTGCGCCACTTACAAGGAAATGAAATGAAATGAAATGGGGTTTAACGTCCTACTGTTCTGCTCCTATACTGGGCTAATGAAGACGGGCATAGGCCTACGCCATACAGTGTGCTATGAGGGAAATTTTGCCCGGGCAGCGGCACTATCGCCTACTCTTATATCGAATTCCATCTGCCAAGAGATCTTTTACGTGCATTCCAATGTATACAATGGACCTCGGTTTCTCGTCTCATCCGAAGGAGTAGACAGCTGTCCTTGTCATGCCCTCCGTCCTGCATCACTGACAAAGGGGAGCCACGCCGGAAAATCTGGACCCTTACAAGGAGGAGCCACGCTTGAAAATCCCGAGGAACTTTATCGGCCAACAGCTAATGCTATATACATTGGTTTATCGAATCGTCTGAAGTGTAACGCTGAAAAGGGAGAATCGTGGGATGAAGGGCTGTTAGCACTGAGTCACCGGTTAATAACAGTGGAACTAATAAATAACAAGAATTTAATTCATTGTCCAAACACTATATAATTATAAATCTCACTCTCTAACCATGAAGGGTCGGGTTCGATCCCTGTGTTAGTTGAGAAAGGTCATCAGGGTTCTCCCACGTGGTTCCTTTAGTCAGTGGTGTAGGACAGACGGTCTGGCAGCGAGAGAGAGAGAGAGAGAGAGAGGGGGGGGGAGAGGGGGTTTAACGTCCACTCGATACAAACTAGGTCATTTCGGGACTAAAATATGGTTCTATATTATTTCCATAATTAGCTTTTTTGTAAGGGTATTAAGCAGTGGGGGGAAACCGGAGGACCCAGAGAAAACCTACGAGATTGTCACGTTCAACCGGGTAATGATAATCGAAACCATGCCAGTTGACTCAATGACATACCTTTTGATACAATGCGCACGCGGTAACTATTCGCCCCCGCCCCCGACAGCAAGGGACAACGATTAGTCGTTGGGGTAGAGCCAAAAAGCGATACCCCGTGTACACATTGACGTGCACGTACAAAAATCCCTTGGCAGTTGGAATTTGATTTCGGAGTAAGCCGTAGCGCCACTGCCCGGCCAAAATTCCCTCATAAACCCCTCTTCATTATCCCAGTCGTTGCAGAATAGTAGGACGTCAAACCCCATTTCATTTTCGGTTCTATGGAATGAAACATGGTTTAATGTCCAACTTTGTTGTATTAACGTGACGAATGAAGACGAGATATTCATTAAAGAAGATCTCAATAGCTGTAACGAGTATATTTTGACGCTACTTAATGTCATAACCTTATTACCTCCCTTCATGCAGCCATCTTTTTTATTATCTATAAATATTGTTCTTGTGTAATTTCAGGTCTGTAAAGTAATTCACGCCATTTTGTCTTCACTTCTGCCATTAGCTGTTTACAGATTCACAAGGGCTCTTTACAACTCGGCGGATATTGCTGTAATGACGTCAGCATTTGTTGCCTTCTCCTTACAGCTCAATGTATTCGGAACACATTGTCTAGCTAGCAGTCTCGTGGCGCCATTCTTCTTTTTGACTTTATCCGAAGTTTTATTTTTTATTGATAAAGATGACAACGCGGGAGTAACTAAGGAGAAAAAAATGGAATCAAAAATAAAATGGTCGCCGAAATTTAAGAAAATTGGAACTGTTATAGAATATGTGATATTTGTTTTGAATTGGTTCCAGAAAGAACCGGAAGTGGATGCCGATATAGAGAAAGACCCTGTGAACAAGTTCAGTAGTTACCGCGTCATCATCTCGTCGTTTATTTTGGGTCTCGTGGTTTACGTTAAAATCAATTTACTCCTACCGCTGATATTATTAGTTGTCATGGAGATTATTCACCATCCGGAATACATCACGAATTTCCTCTTCTATTGGAAGAGATACACATGGGTTAAAGTCGGTATAACCGCGGCTCTTTTACTCGGGGGCTATGTCGATTTTCTGACTTACGGCGTTTGGTTCCTGTCACCTATTCAGTGGATTCGCTTCAGCTTCATACGGGACATGTCATCGAAATATTTTGGCAAAACTTTTCCAATGGAATATATACAAAGTCTCAACATGAATGGATCGACGACGGTGCTGAACGCGTTTGCGTCTGTAGTAATTCTATTGACTTTACATCGTAGTCAGTTTAAATGGTCGACAGTATCCGTCATAATGACAGCGACCACCATGATCGTCGTCTACAGTATGCAGTGGCACAAGGAGTTACGATTGATCCATAATGTGTATGTGTTTGTTTGTATTCTGTGGGCGGTAGCAATACGAACCGCTATGGATATGTTTAAATTAAGGAAATACCGGTGGTTGTCCACTGCCATGGTGTCTTTGATTATCTGTGCGTTTGCTCTGGATAGCTACGCGGATTTCCCGACCGCTGGGTCGCAATCAACCGTACAATGGAGTCATAATAATATACAGGATTCCGCAGCTATAAACAACTGTATCGAGAAGACAAGTGCGAGGGGTAATCTCACGGGATTATTTATAGACTACACGTTATACGCTACCGGAGGATTTTCTCTTCTTAATAAAGACGTTCCGTTACTTACACGAGTACAACACGAATATTACGAGTACGATCTATCCGATCGACCACTTTACAGGTCCGGTCTTGATCCGGGTATTCGAGCCATGAATCGAATGTCGGATATTATTCATACATTAAGCACAAATTATTTACATAAAACCTTGACAACCAAGAGACAGTATAATTACATCATAACCAAAGACCCAGAAGCCTTTTATTCGCTAGATTTTGACGCGACACTCCGTTGTTCACAATTCTATGTTTTAAGACGTTTGGCGCTGCCAACGAAACCCGTTGAAAAAGTTTCAAACATAAAGATTAAAACAAAGAGGAAGATGAACGATTCGTTTTCGCCTCTACCTGATGTGCTTGAATATGAAGGATCGTGGTTGCTAACCATTGGGCATTACCGGAAGTCGTCTGAACGTCTGCGAGCCTGTATATCCCATGGTTCATCCCGTGTCCGTCCATATCAACTATTAAGTCTGTGTTATTACCGATCAGGGAATATTACGGCTGTTAAATCCATAGAAACAGAATGTTACACTCGATATGGTCAGGAGAAATGTGATCAACCACAACCAAGGTTGATACTTCATCAAAATTATAATGTCGTGTCATAAATATTGAATCAATCTTTCACTATTCCTACAGTGTATTTATCTTTGGAGGGAAATCAACCAATCATCATGTCCCGTGTATTGGGTAACCATGTGTGCGCGAACAATATAACGAGTTTCACTGGACAATAAACCTCGTTGTGGGATAGACCTGAACAATATGCCATCTCATTTCTAAACAGGGGTGTTTATCAGAATAGCACCGTGACGTAGGAATTGACGTGACGTCATTTACAGCTGACTATCCAGGTTATTGTGAGATGCTAATTGGAGGCCAGTTGGGGAGGTTTGGCTGTTTCCGGAGACCAAAATGGTCGCTTTATATAAATGAGAATTTGGCAATTTGGGGGAATATTTGGCCTAACCCTAACCCTGAAATTGGATCCAATTTACCTTTTACCCCTCTTAAAAGGGTTAGGGTTGTATTCCCCTAAATACTCATTTATATAAAGCGGTCATTTTAGACTCCAGAAATACCCCACCCCAACCTGCCTACGATTAGCACCCCTCTATCCAGGGAGCTTTCATATGTATACAGTTTGTATACAGGACGTCTCATCAACCTTTAAAGGACAATTTTGGTGTCAGTCATTATTATATATGTGACAGAACTGATTAAACACATTCAAAATATAATTTTGACACAGAGATCATTGCTAAGATAGGTGCGCGGTGAAACTTTCAAAAAGGGATGATGAACCCGAAGGAAAATACGAGTTATCCTTCTATATAACTGCCAGAAGTGACGAGTGATTCACGGGCGAATTAATGCTAACTAATAATTACTTAGAAGATCAAGAGTTGTTATATGAGGCTGTGAGAGGATATCTGACAATATCTGATGGATACGACAAGGGAAGACAGCTGGTGGAGTTCCCTCCCCTTTTATGTCAATATTTATATTTACACCTTTTTACTTCTATTTATTAATTATACACAAAACAAAGTGCATTTTATCTTCTTCGTATTTACGTCTTGTTCTTAATTTTTGTTAATTTTCTTTTCGAATTTTTAAATCAATTTTCTATTTACACCATTTATCTTCAAAATTATTTTTACACCGAATAAAAAATATATATAAACTACCTGTGTGTTATGTATAAACAATTTTCTTATTTAGTCTTAATATGTGATACGAGTGGTTTAACGTCCACTAGACACAAACAAGGTCATTTCGGGACTAACATATGGTTCAATTTTAGTTCAATAATTCGTTTGCGCGTAGGGCTATTTAGCAGTGGGAGGAAATCGGAGGACCCGGAGAATCCCACGAGGTTAGACAGGCGACCATACTCCTTGTCACGTACAACCAGGGAATCGGAACCACGCCAGTTGACTCAATGGCAGACCCTATGATACAGCGCGCACGTGCTAACCATTCGGCCATCCAAACCCCTTGTTCGGACGGAACCCTATGCCAGAAATAATATAAGTCCAAAACTGGAACCCCGGTTGTACGTGACAAGGAATAGGGTCGCCTGTCCAACCTCGTGGGTTTTCTCCGGGTCCTCCGGTTTCCTCCCACTGCTAAAGACCCCTACGCGCAAACGAATTATTGAAATAAATTTAAAAACCATATGTTAGTCCCGAAATGACCTAGTTTGTGTCGAGTGGACGTTAAACCCCATTTCTCTCTCTCTCTCTCCAAAACTGGAAGGGGGTGGGAATGGAATCTCGGGGTGCGTGTGCATGAAATTACAAGGTCTGTCATGAAGTCAAGTGGCGTTGTGTGGATTCATGGCTTGAACGTGACAAGGTGTAGGTGGGTTTTCTCCGGGTCCTTCGGTTTCCTCCCACTGCTAAAAAGCCCTACACACAAGCTAATTATCGAAATAAAATTGAACCATATGTTAGTCCGGAAATGATCTAGTTTGTGTCGAGTGGATGTGAAACGCTATTTCTCTCCCTCTGACCGGGATACGATTTACCGTGTTGTATAAGGGAAATGTGGCCTGAACTATATAGAGCAGAATGACAAACACACAGAGCTGCTTCAAGCATCATTCCACTACTGATGTCAGTCGTCTTGATCCCCAGACACGATGGTTCTATTGACTTCCTTTAAGTAAATGAATACAAAAACATTACTGGGGCCTGTTTCACGAAATTTTAACTAAGATAAAATCCAAATTCTAGTAATTTGATTGGATAATATTAGATTGATTTTAGTGCTTAGCCAATCAAAATTGAAGTATCTACTGGATTTTATCTTTAGTTAAGATTTCGAGAAACAGAGTCCTGGCCTATAACTCCCTTAATTTTTTTTTAATAAAACTGGCCCAAAATTCTACTACACATAGCCTAACAAATTTTACTGCACATAGCTTAACATACAATTCACATTGAAATAAAGGTGAAACTTTAGCACATAGAGTTGTGGTTTCATCAAATCCAAAAGCCCAGCTTAGCCATGGGCCTGGGGGGCCAGGACCAGGGCCCAACGGTTTTGGGCGTCCCGCGGTTCATGAAAAAAAGAGAAAAAAAATCAAATTTCAGATGAAAGTTTCACGGTAATCGAACTAGCGGCGCGAGGGCGGAGACTGAGCTATCCCTCTACCGTCTCTGTGAGGTTCCACTCGGTGATCGGTCTAGGGTGCTAGCGGCGCGATGGGCGGAGACTGGGTGAGTCTGCAATCCTTCAACCTTCTCTATGAAGTACCACTCGGTGATCAGTCTAGGCTGCTAGCGGCGCGATGGGTGGAGACTGGGTGAGTCTGCAATCCTTCAACCTTCTCTGTAATTGGTCGAAACCCATTCAAAGGGGTATGAAATAATCTTTCCGTCGCGTTAGGGGCCCCGCGATTCTAGTCAGGGTCAGGCCCAGGGCCCCCGCTCCGGTTAAGCCGGGCTTTGAATCCAACGGATACACGATAGTTCGTCCGCTTTTGAAACGGCCGCTTAACTAGAATTAAAACACCCACGTAATTAAACGGCGTCTCGAAACTATGAAAAAACTATGCGGAAATTATTTCAGTGATCCAGAACAGAATTACGTATTTCCATGGAAACTAGATGATATGCGTTGAGAATATTGTGCGTTTGAAACTATTTTTACTTGAGCAAAGAGTAGACGTCAATTGTAGGTATATCTACATCCGAGAACTGTAGTTTATCGCTTTAATTACCGGAGAGCCGCGATCGATCGCTGACCCGGAAGTCCCGTGTTCGATCCCGGTGTTGGCCGTGAAAGTTCATTTGGATTTTCCAGCGTGGTCCCCCTCCCCCTCGTCACTGGTGTAGAGACAACATATTCGTTCGGATGGGACGGGAAACACAGGTCCCGTCCCGTAGCTACGGATGGTATCTTAAACGTACAGGTCCCATAGCTACGGCGGATGTCGCTGTGTACAATACATTCGTATTATTTACATGATCCAGTCTGTGTTAATCGTCGGTACCTCTCGTAAGATTCAGAATTCTATGTCTTTATGATAAAGATAATAAGCCAGCTTTCCTTTTGAATAATATACAATGTACAACCATATTGCATTAGTGTTAATAAGAGTCGTATAGAGCTAGCTAACGATATCACATGTTTCGTATAGGGGATAGCCTTCACGCCAACTTAACACGCTCTACAGCACCCATGTGCAGGCTGAAACTCTAGCTGAGGCCTATCTTGGTTGGATTAACCCTCCGTCTCTGCTGCATCCGCTTGAAATAAAATCTTATGATGTGCGCGATAGTCCTACCCTAGTTCCTTTAGGAACTGTCTTTGAGCGGACGATGTCCACTGACAGTTCCTATCCGGCTTTCTATAGCTGCAATATGAAAATACTACTCTTCCCCACCCCTGTTCTAAGGCTATTTTGGAATCCTTACCTATTATTTTTCACCTTGATTCTACTTTATTCGCCAAAGGAATCATTCCTTGCCACAGCTGACACAAATTTTTAATGATTCAACACTATTTTCAAGTAGAATTCTGCGATTAAAAACATACACAAAATAGGTTTGAACTGAGCAGCCATTGCGAGACTCGAACATGCGCAAATCGCATGTTTATTTCATCGCTAAATTCTACTTGAAAACCTTGTTGAATTATTATAACTTTGTGTCAGATATAGCGAGAAATGATTCCTTTTGGTGGAAAATAAAGAATCACGGTGAAAAATAGAAGGTTAGTGTTCTAAAACAGCCTGAGAACACAGGTGGGGAAGAGTGGTATTTTCATATTGCAGCTATAGAAGGCCGGATAGGAACTGTCAGTGGACATCGTCCGCTCAAAGACAGTTCCTAAAGGAACTAGTCCTACCCCTATCTGGGTTCAACTCCATCACTAGCTATTTCCAGCAAGATACAATATACAAAAACAAAACCCAACGCCATAATGATAATTTAAGATGCATTATGTAAGATTTAGATGAAGAACTGTCAGTTCGTGGATTCTTGCTATAATGTTTCAAAAATATTTAATAAAAATGAATATATTGAAGATTTCAGTAAATATGAATGTTCGAAGTTTTAACAAGACATGCAGGCTACACGGATCCAGGAATTTTTGCAGGAGGGGATTACCTTAGACAACGTATCTTTAAGCGGGGGGGGGGGGGGGGGTGATGGGGGGACTGGTGGGTGCTTTTATCCCAGCCTTGAAATATTTTTGAGAAATGCATAGTTCTTATCGTCATTTTGGCGTATATCTAGTGTAACCAGAGGTAACTTTGACTAAACATAGGAACTGTGATGTAAAATATAAACATATTAAATACATGTACCTACCACGGTACGTTTTACTTTTATTGATATACTATAAAAATCAGTTCTGCACGATTTTGACAGGAAACTTTACGGATGCAAAATAGAAAAACAAAAAGCGATCTCGACTGTGTCAAACACCAAAATACATGTATCAACAAAATTGATTACGTAAACTATTCGTTTATTTTTTTTTAATACGCCGGGGCACAGATAACTTGTTTTTAAAAAACAAAATTAATCATACGAATTATTTAACATTATTTGTATCACTTGAGAACTTAATGATGAAGGTTTTATAATTAACAACAATCACACCAGCTTCGCTCTACACGGGCAATGTCTGTTACAATATTAGATGTTTGTTAATCCGACTGTTAACCAGTCATAATTTGAAAAAACTATCATGGCTAGATCTATTTGTTAAGGCCAGCTCAATATTCCGTCAAGGTCGCCCAGATGTAAAACAAATTAGGGAACGTGATTGTTGGCGAGATTGTAGGTTAGAGTTAGGGTAAGCGCTTGGACTAGGTCCATGGTTAGGGTTAGGGTCGCGATGAGCGCTAGCCGTGTTTACATCTCGTAATTTTTGAGCAAACGTTGAGCTGGCCTTATCATATAGAACAAACCCTGGAAACATCAGCCAACCCAACAGTGTTCGGTAGGATAAGGTGTAATTAAACGAAGCACTGCGAGGAGTAGGATTTATTTCCTCTAGTCAATGTAGTGGAGTCTGCGCACTGTGACATTAATCACGTGTTGCTATTTTTAATAAAATTTAAGTTTTTCCAGTGATTAGGATAAACAGGTGGTGGGTGTTGAACACGATGACTTAACAATTCCTCCATACACGAATAAGCTATGGGATCTTTCCGTAAATCAAATTTGTTGGTTCCAAATTGTCCCTTTCGTTTTAGTAATGGCAAATCACCGTAGCCGAACACACAGATACCTCTGACGAATTCTCCATAGCAACGATCATATGACGCGCGCCAGTTAATATGGCGCGTGACATACTCCTTCTTATCCGGATGACCTGAAAAGAAAAAGAAAAGAATCCAGCAGATTGAAAGGTATAGTCTAAAAAAAAACTATTGAATAATATTATTTCTCTTGTCTTCATGGTCGAGTTTAACGTGCATTCGACACATACTCCTTGTCACGTACAACCGAGGAATCGAAGCCACGTCAGTTTAATCAAGGACATACCTTATGATATAGCGCGCACGTTCTAACCATTTGGCCATCTAACAAACCCAATAAACATTGGAAAGATGGACGGATGAAAATGAAATGAGGTTCAACGTCCTACTGTTCTGCTCCTACTGGGCTAATGAAGACGGGCATCATACGTCATACAGTATGCAGTATGCTATGAGGGAAATTTTGCCCGGACAGCGACGCTATGACCTACTCTTATTTCGAATTCCAACTGTCAAGAGGTCCGCAATTATGTACACGGGACCTCGGTTTTTCGTCCTACTTGAACAACTATAAGTTGTCCACTGCCATGCCCTCTGTCATACATCACTGACATGGCGGGACAACGCCGGAAAATTCCAATGAGCTTCCCTGGCCTACGCAAGTATCGAACAGGAGACCTCCAGGTTAGCGAGCCAACTTCACTTTTTTGATCTTGTGAATGGTACAATAATTGAGAACCAACCAATTTGATGTTTTTAATCTTGTGAATGGTACAATAGCTGAGATAAATTAAAAGCAATATTTTTGTTTATGTGCACTGGAATTCAATTCGAAGGAAACCTGCCCTCTAACGGCGAAAGGTTTGAAATCTCCGTTATAATTAGGTGTTTCGAAAAGTACTAGCATAATAAGGACTAAGACATAAAGGATATTTGTCGTTTTGTCGTGAATAACATATTTTATTTCATCTCTAAGCAAGAAAACGTTTATATTTTCACTCATGCTACGTATTCGTGAAAATATAAGTTTTCTTGCTTCTCGATGAAATAAAATATGTTATTCACGACAAAACGACAAATGTTCTATTTATTTTATGATTTTACAATCATTTTAGGTAAAAACAACATGGACTACTGCTAGCCAGTGGAATAACACTTTTATTTCACTGATAAAACGCGGTATTCCACTACTGATCATAAAATAATAGTATTTATTTCATGAATGTAGTGCGAGTTATAAATAGACAATTTTTCCCTTAAATTTTTTCTCCCTTCTTCCTGCATTTTTTGATTGATTTGTTTGTCTAGAATTGGAGAAAAGGGATTAAATTTGCAATTTCATAGCTTTTTTGAGAAATACAGATGATATTACAGCGGAGGGATAGGGGGTGTAAAGTGTCTTTCTGCAGAGCAGAAGTGAGATTTTCACCCCATTCAACATCAAATCCCCGTAGCAAAAAATCTAAACAGTCAACCCCCTACAAAATTATGATGAGGAGATTGCCAAATGTGGTCCCCATTGTGCCTATAAAGATTGGAACCAACGGAATGTTGAGAAAAATGCTACAGCCTGTGATGTTACAGCCATTTAACATTGAAGTCAATGGGCAAATAATATTTGAGACCAGCATAATATTTAATCCCGATTATCTCCCTTTTATAGGATCATTTAGTAGATAACAGTTTATATATATTTTACAAGTCAACAGTTATTGTGTCGTCCAATTCATAGCATTTACACAGAAACGATTGTTGTGACAATATTAACTTACAATATATATATATATAAAGTATGATTAAATACTTGAACAGTTTTACAATATCAACCTCTCAGCAGGGCCGTAACTAGCTCAGAGCAACGGGGTGGGGGCGGAAAGTGTTCTCAGCTGTGCTGTAAAATGGACCGGACAATGTAAATGGTCGACAATTTTTTTCACGGTGGGGGGTGGGGGGTGCGAAATATTTTTGCAGGGGGGGGGGGGGGGAAGCAGCCCCCTCTTAGTTACGGGCCTGCCTCTTAGTGACATGGTAAAACCTCATAAGTCTACTTATCGAAAATAAATTTTATTTGAAATTCATATTCTGTGTTTAATTGTCCATCTGTCAATGTCACTGGCTACCTTTGTCTACAATTTCAGTTTGAAAACAACTTATGACGCGTTGTTCTATGATCACTAGAGTATGAAATACATTCCCTGGGGTTATTGTTAAGTGTAATTATGAAGTATAAACACATGAATCAGTATGTGGGTCCCATATTTTGAAATTGGAAACCCCGTAAGAAAGAATATACCCAGTTATTTACATTATTTTGTGTTAATTTGTTTAAATATCTTACAAATATCAAAACTATATTTGAGCAACTTCGTCTGTAATATATAATCTCAATTATACTAAAATGTTTTGTGTGGATTTTCTCAAAATCATGCAAATTGATTTACGAGATTTTTTCCATTTCACCGATGATATTTGGGGACCCCATTCTGTGTCTATAGATGGAAGATTTAGCACAGCTAATAAAAACAGGTTACACCTGCCATTAGGATTGGACTTGTTGTTAGACTGAAGTCCCATTAATAAGTAGGTGTTAAAATTATATGTTAAAAAATCATTTATAAATTCTTCAATTCTTGACTTTAAATAACGTAGATCTAAACATTCAATAAATAAATGCTGTAAATATTCAGTCTAATCTTGATAATATATATAGGATACAAATCATCATCGGTTAAAATAATTTTATGTAATTTGGTCATTGTCCATATATTGTGGGCTATTTTATAATCTAAATCGACTATTTTAGGATCTTTAATGAACATGTTCATAGACTGTAAAAATTATACATTTTTTATGTGGCCAAATTTCGTAGTTTAACTATTTTTTTCTGTTAATCGATTAACAGTCGGAGAAAATGTGTTAAATGTGTGAATTATTTCGTCAAATTACATGTTTTATGTATTTCCATGCAATATTCAGTAATAAACAAGAAATGTCCAGGACATTTAGGGATAAAGTGTTTTATTCCCTTCTATAATGGACTTAATTCTGTTATTTTACCGGATAAACGTTGGAAAGGCCAGGAATTTACGGATAACTTCTGTTGCACACGCAACAGTTCAGTTGGAGAATCTTCCATTTTGAATTAAATTTCAAAAGTTGAACGCGGTGCAAACACGTTATAATGTTTGATTTTATGTTTTTGGCAATCTCATGATCTTTTCTCATCGACGAAATGGGTCAAACTGATAAGTTATATAGTGGTGATCCGTTCCCCATCGACGAAATGGGCCCCACTGGTAAGCATTGGAGACAGCTAAGAGTAAATTGTCTCTTTATCAAAGAGTTAAATGACTCAAACTCAAACTGTAATATTTATATTGTTTTCATTTGTCTTAATAAAAATGTTATTAACGGGACTATTTTATGGTTTATGTATTTTGAAAAATTCGGAAAATGTTGTGGAAACAAAAATTGCCAGGATTTTTTTTCTGTATTTGCGAAGGAATTTCTCTAAATTACGAGACAAAAAAATACGGATAAAATTTTCGTGGTAAATTTTGTTTCCGTAACTTTTTACGTTTTTGCACGTTTTTTTGTCTGTATTTATGAAGGTGTTTCTCTCAATGACATGAAAAACAAATACGGAATAAATATTTTCAAATTTCCATATTTTAAGGTTATCGGATAATATTTTATGTTGATAATGTGAAAATGAATATTTTCTATGTGCATGAATATGAGATATTATATATTTTGTGTATACATTATTAATATCTAAAGACGCCTATAGAGGACAGACACATAGCTTATATGATTTAATGTATGTCAGAATGAAATAAAGGTATCACTGTAACAAAAATTTCCGTGAAAAAACGTAAAAAATTCCGGAAACAAAAATTACCAGGAAAATTTTATCCGTATTTGTTTTCCTGTAATTTACAGAAATTCCTTCAATTAACATAAATTCCATTTTCAAATTCAGAAAAAAAAATCCTGGTAAATTTTCTTTCCTGAGCATGAAGATGATAAAAATTTCATTGAATTAACCATTGACTTTATACCCGTGCGTCAATAAGGTTATATATAAGATCAATACCCTAAATTGTCCCGTTCCATATGTATAAACTCAAACAATGGCATTTTATTAAGAAGTATAACCCAAATTAAATGCTGCGTAATTTGATAATTTATATTTTAAATCAAATTGTCCAATGTCTAAGGGGGGAGCACTTCCTCAGGGACTATTCCCCAACCTGCTTAGTAACCTTGTGTCTTACTCACCGACTCACGAAAAACGGATGTCCGGTGTACACATTGGCGTGCACGTAAAAGATCCCTTGACAGGTGGAACTAGTAACTTACCTTTATATCCCCCAGGTGTATTTAAGAAGGTGTTATGATTCAGATTATTGAGAGTAACTTACCTTTATATCCCCCAGGTGTACTTAAGAAGGTGTTATGATACAGACTATTGAGAGTAACTTACCTTTATAACCGCCAGGTGTATTTAAGAAGGTGTTATGATACAGATCATTGAGACTGGCCCAGTAATGTTCATCAGGACTGTATGTATCAGCACACCATTTTAAAAATCGTCTGGCTATTTTATTCTTCATAGAAAACTCCACGAATCGTCGACTGAACAAATTATACGCTTGCCCTTTTACTATGGTTATATTAAATGGCGGGGGAGCAAGAAACCCCTGTCCTCGATGTATGTGGCTATTTTCAATAACATATTTATAAAGATATCTATGTTTCACTCGTTTAGCAAAAACTTCATGGATATCATTGGCACCACGAAATATCTTCAGCGTTTGGACCATCTCGATATTAGATTTTAACGGCATCTCAGAAGCCGCGAAATTCAACAAATAACGCCACTTTTCTTCTCTATGTAGCAGATCCGCCATGCAGTTTATATCGGCCTGTAATCTTGTAATGGAGGCATAAACTATTGTTTCTAATTTGGACGCTATGAACACATTTGAAAAACAATTGGTGATGGATCTTACGGCATTTTTAAAATATTCACTTGATTTGTTATCCACGTGTATACAGTAGACATTTTGTGGCGTGTAAAGCACGCGCAGCATTCGTTCAAACTGCTGAATATTATCGTAGGTTAATATTGAAAAAGCCAGCGGAAATTCTAATTCCTCTTTTGATGAATTTTTTTCCATAAAGCCCCGCTTCGATTTATATTGTTTACAATTCTTTGTTATGGTCGGAAATAATTTTAAATCCAGATGAAAATCGCGATCAAAACTTCTGGAAAATGTGATGGCCTGTTTGAGTGATCGAGAGTCATTCGCAAAAAGGCCCGGGCATATTCCACTATGTCGGTATTTCATAGTCGTGTTATGGTATAATGCTAATAACGTCACATTAAATATGACGTCATCGTGTGTCAGATGAGACGAAGAGTTCCTGACGTTATTACGAGCGGTGGTTCTTTCACTCTGGGGTGTTCTGGGATGTATTGTAGTATCCATTCCTCTGCCACCCCCATTAAATCTAACGTCGTCGTGTACCAAATGAGACGAAGAGTTCCTGGCGTTATTACCAGAGTTCGTTCTTTCACCCTGGCGTGTTCCGGGGCGTACCGTAACCGCCATTCCACTGCCGTTAAATATAACGTCGTCGCGTACCAGATGAGAGTTTGTTCTTTCATTCTTGGGTGTTCTGCTGTCAATGGCATCATTTTCGATTTCTACGAATTTCCTGGAAGAGCCTTTTAATTTTACGTTTTCACTCTTAGAAACATGTAATTGCTTATGTACTGGAACATCGTCTGAGGACGTTTTGAAATATTCCAAGGCCGACCTTATTTTAGAATTTCTAGATTCAATCGTAACAGCTTTATTATCGATTCCCATAATAGTAAATGCACTGTTGTCATGGTAAATATGAATCGTTTGAGGTACAGTGTTCAGGTATATAACACAAGCCAACGTAATCAAATACGTCACAAACAGCACGCGCACATAACCATTCATATTTGCTGATAAAATTAAACAGTTTAAAATAATACAAAGAATTATTGAGAAAATTGCAATATATCCAATCCTGAGATATCAACTTTTAACTGCTTCTGTTTTTAATTCCAGTTTAGGTGAAGATTTGAATAAAATTAAGAATAAATCCAGTTTTGGGTTATCCACCTTTTTTTTTAATCAACACCTTTTTGTTTAAGTTTTAAAATATACGTCCACGACACATGTTAGAAATTCAACATGCATGAATTAAATCAACACTACCTTATAACAAGCATACCAATAACTATACAACGCCGAGCACCTTGCCTCACAACCGGTATCCCCTTTCCAAATAAGGTTACTGTTCATCTACCGGAACCCGGACGAAAATAGGTCCATTAAATTTATTTTCTCGCGATAAACACTACCTATCTGAAACCATCTATAAATGACAATAATCCATCTATATTAAACAGCTCCATCTTTCATTGTCAACAGAAACCTGATACCAGTGATAGTATCTCTGTATATATTATACATTTCAAAGGTTATATATTCTGAATTTAGTTAATGTTGTTTTAAACGATCTATTCTTCATTACTAATATCAAACTATATTATTCAGGCGAACGACTTCTAGAATTACTTCCCAACGAGTTAACAAAACGTAACATACACCTTGGAATGAATCATACCTCTTACGTCGAGGTATTTAAATAATTTAATATTAAACGGATATCTTTTATTTACGATGACTAAAATTGTAATTTAATACGGACGGGTTATTCTAACCTAGTCTATTATCATTGTGCAAGCATCAACGATAGCCATTGGGTATTTAAGGGAGCCAAGGCCCTTGCGTTAGCCGGGAAAACTCATCGCGATTTTCCACTGCGGTTCATCTCGTTCGATCACTCTGTAGTAATACCGGATTTCTTTGTTGTGTGCGGAGTTGAATGGCCGAATGGTTAGCACGTGCGCGCTGTATCGTAAGGCCTGTCATTGGGTCAACTGGCGTGGTTTCAGTTGTACGTGACAAGGAATAGGGTCACCTGTCCAACCTCGTGGGTTTTCTCCAGGCCCCCCGGTTTCCTGCCACTGCTAAAGACCCCTACGCGCAAGCGAATTATTAAAATAAAATTAAACCATATGTTAGCCCCGAAATGACCTAGTTTGAATGGATAATATAATGCCCCATTGACACTTTCACGCATTTTGAATCCGCAATGGTAATCATTAATGCGCACCAATGCGGATGGATATCATGTATATTTAACCTGTCAATCAAATAGTTCGTGCCGTTACAGTACGCAATATCTGCGGATAGTTTGCGCACAGTTTGCGCAGGGAACCGCGCACTGTCAGGTATTGGTTACGCTAGTGTACTCAGTTTTAAGCATTCGTGACCATTTTGTGAGTCAATTTGTGGCACGCACTGGCACGCTTCATAGAAATAGTATATATAAAGGAAAGGTATTGGGATATGGTCCATTCCGTCGGCAACTCTTCAAAATGATGAACTCCAGAGACCTTGAAGAAAGGAACCTTACTTTGCAAAACGTACATCTTACAGCAGCTGCTGGTCTACTACTTTTGGAAGAAGATGAAAGTGAACGAAATATTGTTCTACAATCAAAATCTGACACCGACAGAACGTCTGCCTGCAGCAAGAAAAGAAAAGTCAGGAGACTCTGGAAAAGGCAATGGTTGACAAGGAGACAACATTTTGGCCATTATGACCAGTTATTGTCGGAATTACACAAGGAAAATCGCAGAGGTTACCGGAACTTCCTACGTATCACCCCCGAACTGTTTCAAGAGATGATTGAAAAGTTGACCCCACACCTAAAGAAGAATAAAACATTTATGAGAGAACCTCTTGAAGTTGGTCTAAAGTTAGCAATCACACTCCGCTTCTTAGCCAGGTGCGATTCCTATGCAAGTCTCCAATACAATTTCAGAGTTGAACTTAGCACTATATGCAAGTTTCTACCAGAAGTATGTAAAGCTATCGTCAAGGTCTACAAGCCAGAAGTATTAGTTTATCCTAGAACAGAAGACCAGTGGAAGACTATTGCTGAAGGTTTTAGTAGCAGATGGAATTACCAAAACTGTCTTGAAGCCGTTGACGGCAAGCTAATTGCTATGAAGAAACAGCCCTCGGTTGGATCCTTCTACTTTAACTACAAGAACTTTCATAGCATCGTGCTCCTTGCAGTGGTGGATGCTGGGTACCAATTTCTGTACCTTGATGTTGGAGCGGAAGGTGGCGCTTCTGATGGTGGAACATGGAGCAACTGTACGTTACATGAAGCTGTTGAGAACAAGAGAGCCAGACTGCCTCCACCCGTTTCCCTACCCAATGATGACAGGCCTGTCCCCTACACCTTTGTTGCCGACGACGCCTTTGCACTGAAAACATTGGATCAAAGGGAGCTCATTTACAACTACCGGTTGTCTCGTGCTCGGCGTGTTGTAGAGCATGCATTTGGGATTCTCGGTACTGGGTCCAGGCTGAGTCTCGGTACTGGGTCCAGGCTGAGACTTGTTAGTGGGTTCAGGCTGAGGCTCGGTACTGGGTCCGGGCTGAGGCTTGGTAGTGGGCACAGGCTCATTGGCTGGTTTGAATCTTGTCCTGTTTGTCGACTCATTCATGGGTTTGGACACTCGTCCCGTCTTCCTTGTTCCTTTAGGTGGCATTCTGAAATGAGATGGAAATCACATGAACCTGGTAATTTATACAAAACGTTGTGAAAACGTGGAGGCCTCTGATTGGTGCGGCGTCTGTGAGTGAAGCAAACCTGCCAATGAGTATATGAGAGTACACTATGAGCACCAGTGAGTAAATTATGAGCACCAGTGAGTACACTGTGAGGATCAATGAGTAAACTGTAAGCACCAATGAGTGACACACGTCAAGTGGCGGGAAGAATTCCTGACCACTGGCAGATACCTACATCAACCCATGAGCACCATTGTTGATCTTGTCGTACCAGTGATGAACCTTGCGCACCAATGCGTGACACTGAGTACCCCTCAGTGCGTGAAATAATTTCCATTGACACTTTTACGCACCGGGTACGCATAGTTTGCGCATAGTTTACGAAAATGGTACGCCCTGGAGTGCGTGGCATGAGCTTGGACAAATCCAAGGTTTTGGGTCGGCACTGTCACGCATGGCACGCAATGGTACGCAATGGTACGCATAGTTTACCACTGTTTCCCGTGATGGTACGCATAGTTTCCGTCTTGGTACGAACTTTAGCGTACCAAAGCGTACCACGATTGCGTGAAAGTGTCAATGGGGCATTAGACTGAATTTAGTGCTTAGCTAATCAAAATTGAAGTATCTACTAAAATTTGGATTTATCTTTAGTTAAGATTTCGAGAAATAAATCTAGATACCGATCGAATATATTAACCCCCTGTTTACGAACTATTTACACATCAAGTGCTTTTGACATATGATCAGGCTATCTATCTATCTATCTATCTATATATATATTTGTGACTGTCGTCTGTCTGTCTGTCTGTCTGTTCGGGGTTGGCGGCTACACTAGGTCTGCCCCGAGTCCGAAATTTGGGGTATAGGGGTAGCTCGGACCGGGGAGTAACATAGGCCATGTGGCGTTAGTCTACCACTTCCGGTTTCGGAGTTATGACCCCCGAGCGAAGCCGGTCTGTTCGGGGTTGGCGGCTACACTAGGTCTGCCCCGAGTCTGAAATTTGGGGTATAGGGGTAGCTTGGACCGGGGAGTAACATAGGCCAGGTGGCGTTTGTCTACCACTTCCGGTTTCGGAGTTATGACCCCCGAGCGAAGCCGGGTATCTGTCTGTCTGTCTGTTCGTTGTTGGCGACTACACTAGGTCTGCCCGAGTCTGAAATTTGGGGTATAGGGGTAGCTCGGACCGGGGAGTAACATAGGCCAGATGGCGTTAGTCTACCACTTCCGGTTTCGGAGTTATAACCCCCGAGCGAAGTCTGTCTGTTCTGGGTTGGCGGCTACACTAGGTCTGCCCCGAGTCTGAAATTTGGGTTATAGGGGTAGTTCGGACCGGGGAGTAACATAGGCCAGGTGGCGTTAGTCTACCACTTCCGGTTTCGGAGTTATGACCCCCGAGCTAAGCCGGTCTGTTCGGGGTTGGCGGCTACACTAGGTCAGCCCCGAGTCTGAAATTTGGGGTATAGGGGTAGCTCGGACCGGGGAGTAACATAGGCCAGGTGGCGTTAGTCTACCACTTCCGGTTTCGGAGTTATGACCCCCGAGCGAAGCCGGGTATCCTGCTAGTATGATCATAAATGTGATCTTATTTACATATGAACTGATCAGCTCTAATATCGAGACGAGTTTACAACAATGTTTTCCTGTATGAACATGTGAATTAAAGATAGATTATGGGAGATTAGGTAAAGAGCTGACAGGTCTCACTATACTTGTTAATAACTAGATAATGTAAAGAGACTTTGCTGAACATTTCAGTCAAATTGATCCACCCTGAACCGAGAATTTAGCGATTGAATTTTGGGCCTAGTCGGAGAAGAATTCATTGCATACTCAAAACGATGTTGTCTTTAATCACTGATTATTTATTACAAATATCGAATCCTATTTAAATTCTCGGATTATTCACTGCCCACGTCTTTTTCCGTGATTTTTATCTCAGAAAGTGTTGTACGTCTAACTCTTCGTAACGTTTATCAACATGTACATCAAGCGCTCAATCTCCGAATGCAACCTTTGACGTCACGCGTGCAGACATTCCTTATCGTTGGGCTGTCAATTAGGGGAACCCTGATATTTTTGTCCTGTATACGCTCCATGGGTGTTTTTCAGGAAATCCAGTATTTTTCTAGTAAGATTGGATATCTCTACTTTCCATATATGCCACAATTGCCATACTTTTATTGGAAATAACCACCCGATAAGTACTTTTCTGGGAACCTATCTTTAACGTGTACGTGCGAAATCTCAAGGTCTGTGTTTGTCATTGAGTCAAGTGGCGTTGTTTCGATTTCCCGCTTGAAAGTGACAAGGAGTATGATTGCTTATCTCACCGGTTTCCTCACACTGCTAAAGACACGTACGCACAAGCATATTGTTGAAATAAAATCGAACAGTGTTTTAGTCCCGAAATGACCTAGTTATGTCCAGTGGACGTTAAACCTCATTTTTCTATCATTCTATTTATACCACATAAAGGTCTTTCATTGATTCTGTACCAGTAGCGTGGTTGTTACCTAGCGTATACGTGACAAGGAGCAGGGGCAATAACACGAATTAAATTCATCTTATATGATTCATCTTACATCTGTGTTTATGGCGATGGTTCATAATTCAACACAACTTGATTTTTCACAACCAAACGAATTGATTGCATAGAATAGATCTATTATGGAACGAGGGGACATGACCTGCTTCAAAACATTTCGACATTATTAAAAAATTATATAATTTGGTTTAAAGGCTCAATACCACTCTTGTTGTAACTGAATAATATGTCCCAATCTTTATTTTTTACAATATTCCAGTAAATTGATGATACAAGTTTCATCTTAACACACCTAATTTAAAAAATTGGAAAAATTCAACTAAATGATTTGAAAAGCCTGACGTAAAGCTTTTCAAATGTGACTTGGATTTAAAAATATTTTTGA